GGTGGTCTCCTTGTCCAGGGTCATTTGACTGGTAATAGCATCCTTTGGTCCTGGTTGCAATGGTCTTCTGGGACAGGTGGTCGCCTTATCCGAGTGGTCGCCTTGACAGGTTTTTACTGAAGTGTTAATTTTATACGTTCACCTTAGGGTTCCCAGTAAAAAGGCAGTAGCCTGTTGGGACTCCCCTAGTAAAATAATAAAAAACTACTACTAAGTTAGTAACTACTATGCACCTAGCTGAATGAATCTACACCCTTTGACCTGCATTGCCACCATCACCACCGCGCATGTGATTGTACGAGACAGACATGAGAAAGCAGCCGGCGAACAAGGTCTTTATAACGTGGAATGGGCACCTAGCAGATGTGTTCAATGGGAGAGGGTTCACGGGACAGGAGTTTGACGCTGGTACGTCATTGATGCTGATATTCACTGCCTTTTCATCTCGATATCGAAGAGCTGAGTGGCCACGGACAACAACAACAAACTCAAAATAATGATTGCGAGGATTGCAATGTATATGGACGTACTGGCAATGTCGAGAGGACGGAATTTGACGGTATCCGTGATCATGGTGATACATGTAGATTGCTCCCGCCACTTGACGCTCGAAAGAAATTTTAAAATATCATTCTCCCCATACGTGTAGGGTGATCGCGATTTTAATCAAGAACGATTTTCTTTTTTCGCCGGGCACCGGAAATTTGCCGCAGTCTAACCAGGCCCTAAAGTAGGTGCCATCCAACAGACGAAACATTCAAGTACCCTGCAAACCTGCTCTGTTGGAATTCTAGATCTCTTTGCCCCCATAATACTTTGGATTGTTCGAAGCCTGGCATGGCATCTGGCATTCTGCACTAGATGTCATACTTAGGCCTACTGGGTTCGTGAATCCTGGGAATGCCACGGTCCGTACCATATAGAGACGTGGCAGAAGTATCAAAATTCGACCAGGACTCGAGAGGACAGCCGAATTCGGATGTATGTAGGCATGTACCCATCTTGGGAATCACAAACCAATGTGTCGACATTTTCTTACTGGATGTCCACCGTAAACCCTGTCACAGACTGGTCACCACAACAATATCATTAGCATCTTCAGTCACACGCGCAGTAAACTAACCCTTTAGATGCCCCATGGCATTTGAATAACTGCATCCAGGGAACACAAAGGGTGTACTAATATTGTCTGCAAACGTATTCCCATCTCCTACACCCTTAGCCATAGGACGCCCACACGATGACTTGCTTCTCCGTTCGTGCACGTATCACTGCGTGGATGCTAGCACTGAAAGGTCTCTGCACCTGGAACTGACCGACTTCAAACCAGCCCTGGTCCTATGGAGGGCTCATACTTATTATGTGACTGTTGAACCTCATCGCTCTTATGGGGACTTTAATGTATTTGTTTGTGTACCCACAGCACATGTAAGATATACAGACTGCATGTCGCTAACAGTCTCATTGGGAGGACCGGATACGGCATCAAAGCAGCGGCATACATACCTTAAAATGTACACAGGAGACGTAATACCTATCACTGTATTCTAGAATCGGAGGCAGCCTCCATACAGCTGCAACGGCAATTTAATACCGCGGCTTTCCCAAAATTTATATGTCCGTCTCTTGCACTTCGTAGATCTACATGTATTGTACATCCGGGCAAACAGAGCTTCGTGTCCTTTCTGATTTTAGTGGCACAGGCGCATGCACAGTATGTAATGTAATGCATTACTAGTATCCAATCACAATGAATGAGCCATGGCTGATAGACTGATAGCACAAACGGCATTTGCAAGACGTAGCACATGCAAGCTATTCGCACTTGTTGGTCGTCTGCTTCCTGGCCCTTGATTTCTACAGAATAGCGTAGCGACCTTTGCTAAATCCAGAGCACAAGGTAGCCAGTCAGTCGCTGCACCTCACTGTCAGGTCTCAACACTGACTGGAGGGCACATGTACAGCGATTACAGTGTTTTTATCCAGCTCCTTTGGCTACAGGCATTGGCAGCCTTAAACATTTACTTGACTCCCAAACAAAGTCTTCAAAGTCAGACCATTGGAAGAAACAAACAAGCTACAATGAGCTACAATGAGCTACAAATTACAATGCAACATCCTACACACCCAAGTGCTGCACCAATCAGGAGTTGTGAAGAGCGCATACACACGACAAAATATTCTAATTATATCTCTTCTCCCATTATGTGCATGCAATCAATATCCCCTCCACAATCATGTAGCTTGTCGCGATAGTCCGTCCATTGGCACTTGTGGTGATTGGTGTAAACATATTTCTTTTCCAGATTGGAAGTCTTGTGTCATTTACAGTTAGTTGAGGCTTCTTCGGTGACCGTGGTCATGCACAAGCCCGCTCTTCCGACAGCTCCGCCTTTATAATTATAGCCTGGAGGACATGTTTCATATCAAGCTCCTCGTCTTTGTCCCTCGCCTTTTGTTTCTCCAAGCTAGCTTCCTCTTCGGCACGTTTTTCCTTAGGGTTACTAGTACTAGCAGTCGCACACGGGGAGCAGCACAGCGCCTTGTCTGAGTTCTCGTCTGGCCCGGTCCTGCAGGTCGAGCAACCACCCAGTTCATTGGCGCAGTCCTGTGGAACCATCTCCTGCCTGATCTCCGCTCTGGGCCCAGTCACCTCCAGTTCTATGCCCTGCTGAAAGCGCACCACTTCACCGTTTAAAGACTGCTGATTCTTTGTGTATTCACACTCGTATCTGCTCTTGAAATATTGTACTGCTGCTTCTGGATTTTCTCCTATTGTGTTTCTGTTGTATAGCAGGCTAACATTGTACTTTGGAAACTTTTTTCGCGATTAAAATACGATGCTATTTGATGTTATTTATTTTGTCTATTTCAATTTCGTTTATTCCTTTTCTGTATCTACGAGGTCAACTCGACCTTAATTATTAATCTTCCTCTCCCTTCCTCTCCCTCGTTCTCTCTCTATCTCTCTCTCTTTTTCTCTTTCTCTCTCCCTCTCTCTCTCCCTCTCTCTCTCCCCTCTCTCTCTCTCTCTCTCTCTCTCTCTCTCTCTTTCTCTCTCTCTCTCTCTCTCTCTCTATCTATCTATCTATCTATCTTTTAATCTCTCTGCATTTTGTATTTACTGAAGTATATTTGTTGCAATTAAAGAAAACCACGAAAAGAAGCAGACACAGCAATTGCGAAAGTCAAGGTGTTGGTATGCCATCAGTGCAGTGAGTGTATCGGAGACAGCGGTGGTAGTGGGAATGTTTGAATTCGGGGAGACAGGTTATAGAAGTGAGAGATGGCGGTAAACAATTTCATAGCCTGCTGGCTGTGTGGAAAGACAGGGGAAAACGCTCTCTGGTTATACATGTACATGTAGTTCTAGCTGCCCAAGTTAAATAATAAAATACAATACAATACAACAGCCGGCAGTGGCAGCGGATTTTTCTTCAGACCCTTCCCTTTTCAACTCCCTCAAACTTACGAATACTGTTGAACTTCAAAACTACATTGTTCAAATTCAGTACTGAACGTGTCGTGAGCTGAATATACGTGTCTGAACGTCTATTTCAGTTGTGTTACAATAGCCTAAGACTCACCTTGAAATATAGAAAGGAAGATGATTGCGCCCCATGAAACGTAGAAGAAGCCTTTAGGGCACAACATAGTCTCTCTTCGCACTCAGTATGACTATCCGCAGTTACCAGCTCAGTACCCAACAAACCTAGATTTGTTCTGCTTGTTCAAGGCTGTGAAACACACTATACAGATTGCGATTTACGATAGATCGAGGTCTGTCCCGTCGTGTAGGAGACGACCAATCAGCGACGTTCCCGCCAATGGCCTTGCCAGAGCATAAAGCCCGGTCAACTGTAATTTTACTACTCTTGGATGACGCATTCAGGGCCTTGGATTAGTTCAAGCCCACTGAATGTACTCTAAACAAGTGCGTACAACTATGTGTACGCATTACCGTACAACGTAGATCCTAACTCTGCAGAAGTCGCATGGTGTACAACTAAATGCTACGCATTTGAAAACATGTGTACGGTATTTTCCTCCCGTACGCTTCGATCTGTACGATTTTCGCTTTGTGACAGCTAGCCCTGGGCGGATATTGCTCGAAACATGACAGATTTTTGTTCGAAAAGCAGTGAAATTGGCAGGACCATATACACCTTATGGCCGGTACGTCCTTGCTAGGCATTTCCCAAATCGGCCCGATTTTTTCGCCTAATCGGCTTTTCGATCGGCTAGGAGAATTTCCAAATTCGACCATATTATGAGCCCCAAAGTCAGACTTATTATTATTATTATTATTATTATTATTTATTATTATTATTAAACTCAATCTCGTAGCATGTGCACGCATTGCTAATGTGGGGAGCAACCCCAGAGATGAGGGCGATAACCAGCCATGGTAAAAGTACAAAAGAAAACAAGAAAACAATAAAAAGAAAGGAACAGGGAGGAAAACAAAGCTCAGCCAAGAAAGGAACAGGGAGGAAAACAAAGTTCAGCCAAGAAAGGAACAGGGAGGAAAACAAAGCTCAGCCAAGAAAGGAACAGGGAGGAAAACAAAGTTCAGCCAAGAAAGGAACAGGGAGGAAAACAAAGCTCAGCCAAGAAAGGAACAGGGAGGAAAACAAAGCTCAGCCAAGAAAGGAACAGGGAGGAAAACAAAGCTCAGCCAAGAAAGGAACAGGGAGGAAAACAAAGCTCAGCCAAGAAAGGAACAGGGAGGAAAACAAAGCTCAGCCAATTAAGTTGGATAGCCGGAAATTACATTGTTTAGCGAAACACGCGTGAGTGCTGCAGGAAAACGCAACTCAGTACAAACAACTTGGCGAAACTGAGACATGCTGTGGCAGTGGTGGGCGAGGCTTGATAGCTTGAGCCAGTCAGAATAGGAATGAAACAAAGGGGATTTTGTAAACTGGACAGTGCGAGCTGCAGGTAGCGAGACTTGTGCCCTTGTTGAACGGCTCCGCACAAACCAGTCATAGGGAAAAAGATGCTTTGGTACTTTCTCGAGTTTTATCTTTTGAATTAGCATGTTGCTGTGGAGACTGCGTCGAATAGAAAGGGGGCAAACACGAGCGAGAACATTGAGTTGTGCAGAGAAGAAATCACGGGGCAAGCAAAGCAAAATAGCATTTTTAATAATTTTCGTTGGCAAACTTCGAGCTTGTCTGATATCGTGGTTGATAACCCACACCACGCTACGTCACACGACTTCGGCTCAAAGCAGTACGTGTCCTTAAATTCACCGCACGTAATACAGTGTACATTTACATGCACGCTTTACAGGCGGCACCTGTAGGCTGTTGTGGGCGGCCAAGAGTCCTCCCTGCACCATATCCAAGCAGGGGTACCACAAGGTAGCATCCTTGGACCTACGTTATTCCTCTCCTGTACTGACTGAGAGGACACCTTGCCTGCTGGTGCTGAGCTTGCCACCTATGCAGATGACACGACACTGTATCTGCCAACGCCAGCATATCCGACTCTGCAGCACAACTCCAGGAAGCAGTGGACGCCGTCTCCCACTAGGGTTCCAAGTGGAAGGTCTTCGAGCCATCTCAGGCCCTCATCATCGACCACCGCAAGCCTCCCCCAGCGCTCCCACCAGTGCTCTTCAATGGAGTGACTGTTCCTGAAGAGAAGGAAATTAAACTTCTGGGCATAGCATCCGACTCGCAGCTGTCCTACTCAGCACACCTCCGGGCCGTGGCCTCAAAGGCTGCCCAACGCCTACACTTCCTGGGAAAGGTTGCACCCCTGTTGGACTCTAGCAGCCGCACGGCAGTCTCAGTGACAAAGGCTTCGTGCGGCCAACAATGGAATACTTCTGCCTGGTGTGGATGGGGTCATGCACACCCAGGCTGGACAAAATACAGCTCAAGGCACTGAAGGTGATTGGCCCAGGCGCCTGGCTCCCCAGCCTGAAACACCGCCGACTGGTTGGCAGTGGTTGCTGCGCTTTCCTTCACATTCAAGCTGTCCTACCTTCCAACAACAAGCTCCCTGAAGCCCATCCTCTCACCTCCAGCCAACCCCCGCCCAGTGGGTGGTCGATCTATTAGGTTAGCCACGGAGACTGCCCACTGCCACCCGCTCCAGCTCAAGTCGACGCTGCCCGTGCGCATTCGTAGCAGCCTCCAGGGTTCCTACCCAGACTGCATTATTCCCTTGTGGAACAGCCTACCAGCGACCATTCTACCAGCACGGCCACAACCCAGACAGCTCCAGTCCTTCAAGGAAAATGCAACAAGTATCTGCTGCACCTGAACTGGCAAGCAGCCACCGACCCACCGACGCCCTATGAAACGGTTTAGACCTGCGCCTCACTAGCATCCCCCCCCCCCCCCTCTTCCCACAATATGACATCTTTCACTCTGCTTCTCTCACGACCACCTACCCGTTGTCCTCGTTCCTCACTAATATTCATTTCCCCTCTTCCTCCCCTCCCCATGGTTTTACTGCATTCCGGCGCGCTTTGTCTGCGTAGACGACGAGACCTTTGAGGTCGGCAGAGCAGCCTGGCCCCGCCACCACTTCTCGCACATATTCGGGAATTTAGTGGACTTTTGTATAAAATAAAAAGAGTCACTAGAACATCGATTTTCGGCGAATTCAGCGCGAAATTTGCAAAATCGGAGCAATTATCGGCGATTTCTTCACAGCTGGCTAGCCATTGATTTCGTCGTCTTTTCCTGCTGACCGATTTCGGTAATGCCTTTAAGTCGAGGTCACCTTTCGCAGTATAATGGTTACAGGAAATCGTAAAATAACTTTAGTTTTACGATTCCCTGGTCCAAAGTCTCCCCAATCAACATTACCACTGTGACTTCTTCGGCATCGTGTACCACATTGGCACAGTGAAATGTACTGCGTGTATTTAATCATTGTTTCTTGATGACAAAATCCAACTTCATTTCTCTGAAACAAAATTAATGGTAAAAGAAATGCTCATTGTGGTAAAAAAAGGAGAATGACAAAATGTTACGAGTTGTGACTAACTGGCCACCAACGTAGCCAGATCATTTACAGTAAGCGAGTGCGACAAAATGCTCATTGGCAAAGAATAACGGGAATGAAAAATGTATAAAAAGGCGACGAGACAATAATCTTAGTAATGCAATGGATAAAAGCTATGAATAAAATGAAGGCCGCACATGATGATCGGGACAGAAGATCGATTCTGGATTAAATGTTATAGGGTACATATACATGTCGAACAAGTAACTTAGTTGCGTGATGTCTTTTTTCGTTGCTATGGTTGTGATATGAGAAGAATGGTTTCATTCAGTGCAATAAACGATACAATAATTATAATTAAAATAGAAGAAATCACATGGAAATGAGTTATGAAGCAACTACGTGAATCCACAACTGTAACAAGATAATACGCCTATCAGTTTTGTGCCCTGTTTACCTCACTTTCTGACTGCTTATTATCTTGTTACAGTCGTGGATAGTTGCTTCATAACTCTATTCCATGTGATTTCGTTTATTTTAATTATATTTACTGGCTCAATATCCGAACTAAATATTGCGACAGAGCTTTCGGCCATATTTTCAATTCATTGCATTCCCAACTCATCACAACCACGCGCTCTTTTGTTTTAATGCGCCGTTAGTGGCAGAGCAGAGTGGACACGAAGAGTCGGTGAAGCAAGAAGGAGAGGTGACAAGACGAGTCGGTGAAGAAGGAAGGAGGAAAGCAAGACACATCTGCAACATCTTTGATCAAACTGAGCTGAGCTGCTGATACGAAGCGTCGACCAAGCATCCCTGACTGGAGTGAATGCCCCAGCTGGCCTCTCGTTTGTCAGTGGTTGCTACTAGACCTGTTAGTATCACACTCACGACTACAAGTTTCCTGGTGTGCATCGACATCGGCATCAGTGGGGCCTCCCGCTGTCGATCCTGTTGACGGGCGGACAGGTCGGTGTGAATCCTGAACGGCAACCGAGCCTGTCGCGTTGGGGGATCTCGGTGGTGAGTCTCGCCTCGCCTGCATACATGGACATTGCAACATCATAATAATAAACAACATACATGTACTTTCCATTGGCATCAGTATTCCGCGTCAGGTTTTCGTCGCTTGTGTGGTGTGTTTCTCCACCAATGAGCGCGTACTATGATTATTTATCGCTGTTCTCACACTTTACCATTTTAGCAGCTTGCATATGCCATTTATATATGTGGAAAGCGCGCATTTGCGCCATTTCTGGTGTATAAGAATGATCATTCCTCCTTTATCATCATTATTATCCTCTACTGATGAGCTCCGACAGGGAGCGAAACAGCTGTCTAGAGGCGTGGAGCAATATTATCTCTCAACGGAAGTGTCCTTGCTGGTGTCTGTATGGTTCGGCTGAAGAGCGCGTGGTTGTGATGAGTTGGGAATGCAATGGCTCAATATCCGAGTTAAATTATAAAAAATGTAAAGAAATAGTTTTCAACTCTCGCAACCTTACATGTATTTTTCTCATCAGTCACCACACTACTACTGCGCTCTCCGGTCGACCTGGTCACGTTGCTACAGCACACAATCAACAAAGTGGCACTCAGTTCCTTCATACAGCTGTTTCGATTATAAAACTCTCGCCAGTGAAGGTAAAATATGGTAGAACGAATAAAATATCTTGTGGACAAGTTCTCGGCCGGCTTGGAACCAAGATTATAAGAAGTGACCTTTCAAAATTAATCCGTAGAAAAGATTACTATGGCATGTGGCCGAATTGCTATTTGTGTCAAGAGTACAGGAGGTAATGTACTCTTGTTTGTATTGGTATCAATCTGGGATACTGCTATATGGAGGTAGTCCAACGGTGCACAGAGAAGGAAATGTACCATGAGAAATAGACTGAGATTTGTAGTATAAAAATAGTGAATTAGCTCTACAACACAGTGATTCGAAAACATTAATTTGTCTCAAAACGCCAGGCTTCTTTCAGTGGCACGCGGTAAGCCGAGACAATGTTCATGCAACAGAAAGGCATAACATGTGAATCAAAGCAGCAATGTTCTGCAGTCGACCCTCGTCCAGGAGGTACGAATCAAACATGGCTGATGTCTCCGATGAAACCTGCAGATGAATGCCAAAGGATTGCATGGCCCCGGCAATAGGCATTTTGCACAGCTTGACAACAGATGGATGCTCAAACGTAGCCCATGTCGTCCTGTTTTTGTCCTTGAGATCCATCTTTGGAGCCTTGAACTCAGATGCTGCCAGCAGCTGAACCAGCACATAAGACAGGGCAAAGGTTGGACACGTTTGCATCTCACACAGTAGAAAAATAGTATAGAGCTTTTTCAAGGTAAGACCATCTGTGCGAGACATTTTTTGAATCGCTGGTGAACAGGTGAAGCCCAGGTTACATTCAGTTTGTACGGGAATGGACGCATGGAGGTGAAAGAAGCACTGGGATGGCGCTCACTGACTTCGTGTCCGACACTAGTGTTAAGTTAGAGCAGCTGCAAGAAACCCCTTCCATGGCTAAGGGCGCGAAAAAGAACAGGCTTCAGGACCGCTCCAAGTGCTGGTAGAGACGAACGTGTCACATTTTGTATACCTTTCTATGAGTAACCTGTTCTCCACAGTCCTCCACACTGAACACCCAACCGAGGCTACGCACCCAACCGAGGCTACGGGGTTCATGGGATTTCATACATTTTGTACAACATCCATAAGGTTATCCATGTAAATGTCTCCAAGGTCTGGGATCTCAATGAGACTCCACCCCAGACCCAACACAATGACGTTTAAAAGTACTTTTGATCTCTACGAAAAACATGTCATTGAAATATTCTGCGGGCTCCTAAACAAATTAACTCGTCAACATCATCTGGTCATGGGCTGCTTTGAGCCGTGAGGTGTCAGGCTGAGTTTATAATATGAGAATTTTCAGCCCGGGTCGAGTTCAACCAGGGTTGAAAGTCTGCACGATAGACAACAGAGAGGCTTCGCTCTACGTAATAACGTATGAAAATCCTTATGTCGTACACGCCGGGGAGCGAGAGCAACTTTCATACGTAAAACTCTCTACGGATTTCCGTAGGAAACAGTTGGGGCCTCCGTAGGACTTTTTGAAATATTTTTCGCATTTTCAAGATTTATCCTTGGCAAAGTTCAAGCCGCGCGAAACACAAGGTACACACACCGTACACCACGTGCAAAATACGATGGAAAACGCGGTTTCGGTTCGTGGTGCATGCGGTGGGCGCATCCAGCCAACTAGCCATTGGCGGACTATGCTCGGCCAATCGTCAAATTATGCTTTTGATTATGCCACAATTATGCCAACAAATATGCTGAATTATGCTGAATTATGCTCGGTTCCACTATGTATTCACGCTGTACATAGAGGATTGAGAAACCACGCACACACACACACACGGCCATGCCCTAAGCATAATTTTTGTCTAAACCGAAAGATTATGCCGACCTTACACGTTGGAATCCGTATATTATGCGGGAGCATAATTTTTTGACGAAATCCCAAGATTATGCCAATTTTTTTAATTAATATTATGCCTGCATAATCCGCCAAGGGCTATGACAAGGAGTCGTAACGGGGGTATTTAAAAAAAAATCTGCAGGCTTTCTGACAAAGCTGTATTATGCCCCTAAGCATAATTTTTGTCTAAACCGAAAGATTATGCCGACCTTACACGTTGGAATCCGTATATTATGCCGGAGCATAATTTTTTGACGAAATCCCAAGATTATGCCAAATATTATGGCGGATTATGCCGGCAAAGCAACAAGGCATGTTTAGCAGTTGTGGAGAAAACCCAACAGCTCTGATTTTTACGTATGAAAATTATATGCAGTTCCTACGTTATTTTCATACGTCATTCCGTAGAGCGAAACCTCCCTAACATAGGTGGGTGTTTACACGAAGACAGTTGATCTGGGTCAAATACTGATATGCCGCCAATAGTCCACTTATAGAGTCCTGTATTGTCACGTGAATACTTTCGCGCGAAAGTTGCCTGTGCAGTGCGGTTCAAACCTGGCGCGAGATACGCACAAAAGTACGGCAGTACGATTTCTCGATTTCACCCCCCCCCCCCCCTCCACCCCAAGAGGAAAGTTGAAATCAACCCGGGGCGAAATTTCAACCCGCGTCATGTATCCGCGCCAGTCAACTGGTGTTCATGGCGGGTTGAAACTTGACCAGGGTTGAAACGCCTCACGTAATCACGGCCAAAGAAATAATTCCTCACAAATACATCTGAATAAGTAGATTCGTACCACATCAATGACATTATTCGCATCATCGGCAGCAACATAACCGATAGCGGCTTGCTGGTCTGAGTTGAGATCTGTGCATGAACACAAAGTTCAAATCATAATGGAGCTCATGCCGAAATACTTTTTCCGAAAATTCACCAGTTTGACTCCTTTTTCGTAATGCCAGGGATGTTCAGAATCAGAAAATCAGTATAATTATTAGGGTATGTAATTGGGGACTTTGTAGGGGTTATGGCCCCTCGAAGTAGCCCAAACAAGGCGTTCTCTAAGAACGAGACAGGTTCGCATTGATGACAATAAATTGCTTCCAACCTTCATCTGTTGCTTCATGCGATCATGTCAGTAATTCCCATAGTATCAGAACACGTCAGGGTAGATTTACCAGCAAAAATACACTGGTTGAAAGTACAGGCTTATGTGTGAGGAGACGAAACTAGTATTCCGAATCCCGATTCGATATTGTGCAAAATTGCTTTGAAATTTAAATTTTTCAAAATTGGCCCGAAAATGATTCAGTTTTTTCTTACTACTTGGTCCGCGTCAGCAATATTGTTGCTTATCTTTCGACAATTTGAACTTAGACTTTGGACATGAACGCGTGCACTTGAAGTGATAAAACTTGGTACGATGGACGGTAAGGTATAGAATGACAACTAGCTGTAAGGAATTTATTGTCCAAGGAAGGGTTCCTACTTTTTTCGGTCCTCTTCGTTGCTGCTCTCGACGCTGGTGACAAATATTTTTGCTCGGGTTCGACTCTCTTGCTTTTGCAAGCTCATCTCTCTTCCTCTCCGCTGCCTGGCTATTTTCTAAACAGAAGTCGATCGTGACGGTCGCCTTCTCTATAGGACTTCGCGTGGGCAGTACGATAGCCTGTGTGGTTCAAATCAGACGCCGTTCTTTGCAAGATTTATTTTGAACGCGACGACGACGCGTACAGTACTTGCAAATCTCCACGACGCGCTGGATACTCCGAGCGTTGAGTTGGAGGTAAGGGAGCTGAGATCTCAGCTTGACGAGCGATCCCTGAGGTGAGCGATCTCGGCCATTCAGCAAAATGGAGCTGATTCCGAGTAGCCGATTACTTTCTTGTGGCTTGCGCTGCTCTTGCCTGCACAGCGTAACAAGATAATCTATTTTGATTCGGCGCTGTATCAAGTAGAATCACCCACCCGTCGCTCTCGAAATCCACTCGAACTGTAGCTATACCTTTCAGGTACTAGTAAACTAACTTACTAACCAAAATTGGGATGAAATGGGCTGCCGAGTGAGCTTTGGCGACATATAAACAAAGCTGAAAGATAAGCGACAATATCGCTGACGCGGACCAAGTAGTTCCATCGCACTATGCCAGTATCATAAAGCTATGTCAAAATTAGATCCCTTCCAAACTTCAGTATTCATTTTTTCTCCAATGATGGAAGTTGCAAACGACACTAGCTGGGAAGGACTCGGATTTACAAATAGAATTTCAATTCCTTCAAATTCCAGCTTACCATCGGTTAGGCTAACGATGCGCAAGCAAGCTGACAGTAAATCGATATCATCGTCACTGAGGTTCATCCACTGTAACTCTGCTTCTTGGTAGGGTGACTGAATGACTGAAATACCGGCTGACTTAAGCAGAGCAACCGTGGCCTCCGTCAAACTTTCTGCAACAAACGACTTGCAAACCCACGATGCCGGGAGCTGACAGCTCTTTGCCGTTTCGCCGGTTGTCAGTATATTGTCCAGCTGCAGTTTAGAGGATAACCAAATTGATGCCAGGGAAGACCAACGGCAACAATAAGTAAAAGTACATGTACTACTGCTCCTTTGGAAGCAGCTAATCTAAGATTATAATACCGTATATTCTCTATTACAGGCACAGGTCTCCATTACTAGCACAGTCTCTAATACTAGTGCACTGTGAGCACCTTTCGAAACATTATAAGCACAGTCTCCATTATTAGCACGGTCTTGGTGGAAATTAATGCCGCATGCATGATATCTAGCATGTATTTCTTCTTGCTCTGTATGAATGTAATGGTTGAAAAAATATAAGCACGGTCTCCAATATAAGCACGGGGTAGACGGGTGTTGAAAAATATAAGCACGGCGCTTATAATAGAGAATATACGGTATACGGTTTCTGGGGGAAACAGAGCAGGTGTTTACACTGTGTTAGCGAGAATGGCTGGGATGCATGCAGCACAATCTGTCGATCCAGCAAATTTTAAAAGAATATCTCCTTTCCCTACTGTCCTTGGAATACTTGTGAACAGTGCTCCATTAGCATTGAGTGTAGCGATGGATCCATGTAACTTAGCAAGCATTAGATCACACCAGGATAGGTGCGGACGGACGTGCATCCAAATGACAAAATGCATGCAACCACAAGCCGAAAAGCAGATATTATTTTTTTAAATTAATTAAATCGAAGGAGAGTGTGAAATCAGAGACTTACAAGTTCTTCAATGAAGCAGATTACGTCTTCCGATGGGCAAGATTTTACCCAGTCCAGGATTACTGCCTGCACTTCCTTTCTCTGCTGAACGATGGTGAATGGCTGCAGCAATGCACGGAAACCTGAACATGGATAAATGGCAATAGAGGAAATGGAATATATTTATACAGAGCACATTTGAAAGGTATGGATCAAACCAGTGTTAACTGACAGCAATTGTCACAGGTTGTTCTCATCAGTTTGAGGGACTGAAAAGGGAAAAATATGAAGTAAAAATGGACTGTAGTTCTCATACTTCTTGAAAACACGACAGAACCTAAAGTGGACCAGTTTACCGAAAGACTTCTGCCACCATAAATCAAGAATATTTTCATTCATGAAACAATTCATACGTTTTCACCTAAACCCCATTCATATGCGCCGTATTTCCGTACATACGAATTGTCCACCATACCATTTGTACAGTAAAGACTAGTGCAGTACGCGTTTAAATCCATACAAAGCTGTGGCATACAAAAGACACGAACATCAAAGTGTACACATTATTCTTGATTGACATTTTCGGAAAACGGAAAACTCGGCCTCTATATAGAGAAACCGAGTCTCACGCGAACCGTGAAATTTTTTAAAAATTAATTTTCGTCCAAACCCCTCACCACGTGCGCTTTCTGGCCGACCAAACAAAAATAATGATGGTGAGGCAGAAAGCTTCTGCTTTCCCTCCTGAGTCCCAACTTTCGATCATGTTTCATTTATACTATGCTGCAATAGAAAGAACATGCACACAGCAGGCACACTCACCAGATACGCCACCATCTGTGCTGTCAGTACCGCTCCCACTTGCCGCTGCACCTGAGTCAGTTTCATCCATGTCCAGCCGTCTCTGGCCGAAGTCATACTGTTTCAACGAGAGCGTGTTGTCGCCGTTGATGCGAAGCTGGCAGCATTTAAAGCCGATCGTGCTCTTGAAGTTACGCATCGCATTTGTTTGTGACGTGCGATCCGCTGACAATCCTGCATCATCGCCGATATCCGTCTTTATGTCCACGCCTGCAGAGGCACCCTCCTTAGTTTGCAAGTCGGTGGTCATTATGATCTTCTCAGCCAAATCGCAGCGTATTACTACGTACAGTGATCTTGGCTTTCGCTCTTTCAGCACAAAGTGATTCTGTTGAACTTTCAGGCCAGGCAGCACCTCGTCCAGGCTTTCTGCTTTGATTTCTTTGTAGGTCACTGCGCCGAGTTCCACATCCACCACGTATTTCTCTTCTGCGTCCAAATTTACGTGGGCATAAGATTTAGCTGTGGCCTTCAGATTGCCCTTGTCGTTTACTTCAAAATGCTCTTTGAAATTGTCCAGCATAGACTGCTCACGCACTTCAGCTAACTGCGAGAGCTTTTTTGAGTGCTCGCTTCCCACTGACGAGTCCAGGACATCAGCTAACGTAACATACGCTCTCACTAGCTTCGTTTTTTGCCATGGCATCCTGTACTTCTTGCTCGTAAACACTGAGAGTAGCGGCAGATCAGGATTTGTGAGCTCCGAAACCACCTCGTGATCGCAGCAGCGCCGAATCGCACGACGGTATAAATTGTAGTGAATGTCACCCATCCCGTATGGTTAGAACGGTCCTCCAATAGCCAACACTAGGGGGATTTCTCGACGCCTCTATCTAATCTACCAACTCTCATCAACAATGAATAATACACCATGTATATATCTAATCAAAACAATAATTCGGACTTCCTTGGCCACAACTCTAATTTCACTTGGAAGATACAGGCAAAAAGATGCAGGACATGTTGTGGCTGCATGGCTCAGGAGTCAGGTGCAGGCAGATAGTGCCAGCTGTGTAAACCATAATTATTATGATTAGTTTACACTAGTCTACATGGTAAACCATGGATGGCATGGTAGACTAGTGTAAACGGAGGTGTGGAACGTGCACACGCCTTTTGTACTTCAATGGGGACTTCCCCTGCCCCTTCCATCTCCTGCACTGCAGCTGCAGCCACACTCTTGAGTTGAAGTCTGCCGTCTTGTTGTTGAATGTTGTGTCTACAAATGTAGTAAGTAGTAGGTACAGGTTTCTGCGAGTATGAGGGCAGTACCGCGGAATCCAGCCCGCGCCGCGATAGCGGCAAGGGCTGGATGAGCAGCGGTGCTGACCGAGTAGGAGTGACTGGAACGTGTTTCCCGTATGCACCCAAGCCAAGGAGATCACTCACTATCTTTGACGTTTGAGTTTACATGAACCAGGCATTCTGTGACTTGACTCGAGTCCTGTATGGCTGTATGAGGCTGTGTCAGTGTGAGCTGAGTGAGAGTGACTTCGACAACCGGACACGGACTACAGTACACGACTTTTGCATGTACTTTCAGACCACAGAAGCTTGTCATTGAAATGGTAGACTCATGAGTGGATTCTTTCCACTGCCCGTCGTCAAGTGACGACGGGCAGTGGATTCCGTCCACTGCCCGTCGTCACTTGACGACGGGCAGTGGAACTACATGTAGTTCCATCACCATTCATCAGGCAGGATCGCGCTTTCCGGCCCGCGTAATTTGATCTGTCATTCGTCGACTCCAAGGCGACAGTCATGTGACATACGGGTATGTACAATACAATGTCATGTGTGGTTTCTTTTTCATGCTTTTCCAAATTCAGTGTGTGAGACTTCCGATTCACGTTTTTACTCTTTTTTTTCTTCTTCTTCTTGATCTTTGGTGCTGCATCTGCCACCCTGGTATCACATGCATGGTGATGGCCTGGCATGAGCGAAACTTCCTGAGCTGGTCGACTTGTTTTATTCAAAGCCGTGGTTGGCTATCACCCCTCTCTCGCACTTTGCGTGCCAATTGCCATTGGTCATGGACCACGAGTTGAGTGAAAATAAATAAATAAATAAATAAAAGCCCCACATTTTAAAAAGTGAATAATAGCAAGAAGGTACAAGAGAAGAGCTAGAGAGAAAAGGGAAACCAAGGAGGAGTCCAGGTAGAAAAGTAAAAGTAAAGATTAGAACTCTTTGTGCCATCTTCAATAGGTCCGTCAAATACAGTAGTAGTAGGTTTTTCATTTTGACCCGACGAGACCATACGACGCTTGCAGCGTGCTGTGATCTGCAAGCGTCGTATGGTCTCGTCGGGTCAAAATGAAAAACCTACTACTAAAGATTAGAACATTGAAAGGATCGGTCATGCAATACGATTAATTCCCGTAGTGGATAGCATATTATTCCATTCAATGGACATCCCTACGCAAGAAGTAGGTCGTTATTATTAACAATGAAAAATTATATTTTACCAAGCATAAAAGCTGGTTGTGTTTCTCAACACAATTGCATAGACGGTTGTAACGTCGACGTGCGAACTTTACTTTCTTCTTTTTTTTAAGGAAATTGGGTGTTTCTTGCATACACGTACATTGTACATGTAAATGATATGTACCTCCATTTGCTGTTGCTTTATGCCTTCTTTTTGATGGTTCAATAAAAGGGGTTGTCAACTGACAACCCCTCTATTCAGTCTTGGCGCATGCACAGGATGAAAAATTCTTTTATCAGTGATGTCGACAAATGATGACGTTTCGGGCCAGTCACTAGGGTCCAGCGGATTCTGCCGGCAGAAAAATTGGCAGAATTCGGTACTTTTTCTGGCAAGTTTCATGCAGGTTTGGTATGTGAATAAAAAAAATGGAGCAGAATTCGAGGAATTTCCCGCCATAAGGTTTGTATGGTTCTGCCAATTTTACTGCTTTTCGAGCAGAATCTGCCACCTTTTCGGGTAGAATCCGCCGGTCCCTACCAGTCACCCATCGTCAGAACAATTTACAAGGGGCGAACCTGACCTTTTATAACGAAAGCAAGCGAGAGCGTATGTTTTTGATGGTTGCTGTTGCAAATTTGGATTGGAATAAAAACGATTCGCCCAGTAGCAGTACTAGTAGTGGACTGCTTCGAAGCACAATCATGTACACTACAGGTCCGAGTTTCACTACATCTTGTACTGAACGTTGAACTAATACTTCGTTCCCACCATGGCTACCATGTAGTAACACTACATTTAGATCATCAACCTAGCACAGTCATGTACAATGTACACTGTACAATAGTCCTTGGCGGATTATGCGGGCATAATATTTGGCCTAATCTTAGGATTTGGTCGGTCAAAAAATTATGCTCCGGCATTATATACGGATTCCAACGTGTAAGGTCGGCATAATCTTTCGGTTTAGACAAAAATTATGCTTAGGAGCATAATACAGCTTTGTCAGAAAGCCTGCAGATGTTTTTTTTTTTTTAATACCCCACTTACGACTCCTTGTCATAGCCCTTGGCGGATTATGCCGGCATAATATTTGGCATAATCTTGGGATTTCGTCAAAAAATTATGCTCTGGCATAATATACGGATTCCAACGTGTAAGGTCGGCATAATCTTTCGGTTTAGACAAAAATTATGCCTAGAGCATGGCCGTGTGTGCTTGCGTGATTTCTCAATCCTCTATGTACAGCGTGAATACATAGTGGAACCGAGCATAATTCAGCATATTTGTTGGCATAATTGGGGCATAATCAAAAAGCATAATTTGACGATTGGCCCAGCATAGTCCGCCAATGGCTACTGTACAATGTACAATGTAAGTACATGTACATGTACATTATGGATCATGTACATGTACACTGTAGTTTGGTTGACAGAATGACGATTAGTCGATTATGGTACAAGGCGGAGGACGCACAGTGTTGAAAACAGTGCTCCTTAGGGGTCGTCGCAAAAGTTTTTTGTCGTCCCTGAAACGAACATGATTCATTTGGGGGGGGAGGGGGTGCGAGCCAAAATCGCAAGTCGACCGACACTGTACATATGACATGTACATGCATGCGATTTTCGTTGTCCAGCATAGCAAGCTGTGTTCGTTTCAGAGGGAGGGGAGGGGGTCCGAGTACGAAATGAACGATGTTCGTTTCAGGGACGACAGAAAACTTTTGCGACGACCCCTTACTACAACCTCTACGGTTGGCAGAGCCCCGGTCTTTACGCAAGACCATTTGAACCGTATGCGTGTTACTGTTACTGTTAGCACTGCTGTACTGGTTGTGGAAAGGAGCACTGTTTGCAAGCACAGTGCGTCCTCCGCCTTGTAACAATACAATCATGCTGATTGCTGTCTACCAAACAACATGTTTTCAACCAAATAAGGCTTATCTCATGTGCATAATAATTATTATGCAGTGTACATGTGCATATGTGCATGACTGCGATTGTACATGACTTGACCATGTATTGTTGTTTGACAACATGTGTTAAACCAAACAAGATTTATCTTACTACATGTACAATGATCATGTACAATGTACATGATCATTGTACATGTACATGTATGTACCAGATTTGTATTTCAGTTTTCATTTTGCTCCTAATTTTTGAAGAGGTCCTCCTTTCGGGCAAACCAAAAGACACAAGCAAGTAGTTTTTAATGGACCAACGCTTCAGTGAGACCTGCAAAGGAGACTGCTTTGATAAGGAGGCCACCAGCCCAACAACTACATGTACATTATCATGTACATGTACATGCACAATGTACATGTACATGTACAATGTACATGATAATAATTGTAATTTGTACAATTCATGTACAGTGTGTACAATGTACATAATATACATGTGCATTGTAGGTCTATGGTCATCTTTTTCATCCCCTCCTTCTGAGTGATGGTTTCTACGTTGCTCTCGCTCTCAGTACGTGTGTTTGAATTAGGTCTTTGCGGATAATGCCGGCAGAAAAGTTGGCAGAATTCGGTACTTTTTCTGGTAAGTTTCATGCATGTTTGGTATGTGGATAAAGAAATGGAGCAGAATTCGAGGAATTTCCCGCCATAAGGTTTGTATGGTTCCGCCAATTTCACTGCTTTTCGAGCAGAATCTGCCACCTTTTCGAGCATTATCCGCCAATGCCTAATTAGTTGGAATGGCGGCACCGCTACTAGTTCTTTTCATAGCTTCACTTACATGTAGATTGTTGTATCCTCGTCACGGTTTCATTTTTTTAACAATTTTCATGAATGCACTACACAGCACATGTACACAAAGTACACAAAAATGACATGTCATGCCATTTACCATCACTCGAGCACAGAACAACATGACACATGAACGGTCGTCGACCGGAGTTTATAGGGCATTCGAGAAATTTCTTCTACCTGCGGTCCTATGCAAAGCATTGATATTGACAGTAGACGTTGAGGTAAGCCCAGAGACGTTTTCTATTGAATCTGGAATGATGATACAAGGGCGTGAACGTATACAGTCAGGGGTTTTTTCGGGGTAACGGCCTCTTTTATGGGTAAGATAAAGTCTATAGATGTGGAAAACAGTGTACCTGTGCATTATACATTGTACACATGAAAGAAACATCCATGTGTGCACGGAATTCCTGGAGAACGTCAGTGGTTACTTTCATCGTCGCCTTCTCGTGGCATCTCATCATAGACTGGCCTGAAAAGATCTTTGTGCGGCTTAAACATCTTGGTGAAGAAGAACCAACACGTAAATGCAGCAAATGCCGCAGAGCCCGAAACCAGTAATGATCCAATCGCGTCCACGTCCTTTTTCGCGCCGGGTTTGTGTTGTGCTCGGGCATTCGGTGCAATCTTGAAAGAAAGATGGAAGCTGCACTCTAGGAACCTGTGTAGCTGGAAGTAGAATAACGCGGCCAATACCAGTCTAAATCCCCAGGTAGTCAGATGGGCCGAGTGCTTCGCCTGGCGCGAATAGTTGAGCATGCACATGAGCACTACCAGAAGGATTTGAACCAACGCGAAGATGTAGCTGTTGCCTCTGAACTCTTGCAGTACTCTGTCAGAGGTATTGGCGGCATTGGCTCTGGCCTCCATGATCTTGAAGGACATATAAAACACGCGAGACTCCGTCACTATAAGCAGGAACAACTGGAGAGAACACACAACGAACAAAGTAATGCATACTTCGAAGTACTAGTCATGAACAGTCCACGTTACTGTAGTGCCAAGTATTAGTCTTTTAAAGGATCTATTACTGGCGTCCAATGGAGGGGCATTGTGCATAGCTGCATGTAAGGCTTTCACATGCGCATACAGTAACGCTGACCACATTGCTCTACTGGGAAAGTGGGATTGAAAGCCAACAGTGATACGAAAGCAGAGTTGTATTTTTAATGCTGTGTGTTTCAATAGCAATTAGACATCCTTAGCAAAAGTACGATAACGCTAACTTTTACGGTACTCACTCCCAGCCGTGACAAAAGACGTTATCGGATAACGGAAAAACGTTACAGAGCTCAAAATAACGGGCCGACGTTCGTTATGGAAATTCTGCAAAAAATGCAAAAACTCGCATTGTTTTGTAACTGGCGGGAGATAAAAAGCACGTCGTGCAGATCGAGATGAGATCGAGAGTCGAGATTGCTTCCTCTTGTGACATTTAGCTTTTTGGCGAGTTTTGCCTTTCAGTTGACAATTTCTGCGTCCTCTGCTTCTTGCCTTTCTCCCTCTATCCCATCTGGGAAACAAAGGACCAGTTCCACGGCACTCCTGAGGAAGAAATTCATCGGCCTCTCCCAGACGTGCTGGAGCTGGAGAACCCTTACAGTCTTCGGTGCTGCGTTTAGGAAAGGGTTTCCAAGGACCTGGGAACAGCGAAAACTCATGTTCGCCGTGCTTTTGCTATTCCAGAGTAAAATACCTCGCCAAGGTATTCTTTCGGAACGACAGCAAACTAATCCCTGGTTCAAAATTTTGAATTTCCCGCATCTGTTTCCACGAAAATTCATATCGCCATGGTTGTCACGACTACTTCGTCTCAACTATAACGTACTTTGTGCTAAGGGAAAAGTCAGCTTGAACGATCCGAAGTACGGAAAGGTTTGCGTTTACGTTAGCGTTTTTTTAGCTAAGGATATCTATTGATCTTAATTACCGGTATTGCTAAGGAGCGCTAAGTCTATTTCTCCTTAGTTCCATATCACGTTTACGAGCTTGTAGAGTATTGCGCCCTAAAAAGCAGTATTAACCAGACCTGTATGTAGAACTTTCTCCGGTTCCGCAGCTGAGCCCATATCTGCTTGACGGGCAAGACGACGAAGTATATTGGCTGGTTTTGCTTCGCAGAACAGCCAAGCAGAGTCGCAATGGAAATAACCAGCATGGTCAAGCATCTAGAAAAAGAGAGGAACAAAAACGTTAAGTTCAGGGTGCGTAGACTTCAGCTATGGTCGCAATTCATAGCCATAGGATGCAGAGTGGTACTGAATGGTGCAGCGTGCTCGCCTGAAACAAAATCCTTGAAGACCCTACTCAATTGCAAACGTACAATGCATTTTTGGAAGCAAAATGTGCTTTCGAACAATTGTAAGCTTACACTGCATGTATTGGGTTTCAATCCTGTTCTAGAATTAATAAAGGAGTTGTGTTTTGTCGAGCTGTTGGCATGTTGACCTGACACTTCCTCCTCTTTTGATAGTATTGTTAGTCTGATCAGTCGACCTGTTGATTGGTAACAGGGTTACTACTCCTACTACTATAATGACCACCGACATGTGGTGGGCTACAAAGGTACAAAACGTTGAACCAGACACATCCGTGTATCTGCCGAGTGTCGAAATTGGGGTCCAGCGGATTCTGCCAGCAGAAAAAATGGCAGAATTCGGTACTTTTTCTGGTAAGTTTCATGCATGTTTGGTATGTGGATAAAGAAATGGAGCAGAATTCGAGGAATTTCCCGCCATAAGGTTTGTATGGTTCTGCCAATTTTACTGCTTTTCGAGCAGAATCTGCCACCTTTTCGAGCAGAATCCGCCGGTCCCTAGTCGAATTGCGTCTTGCCATTATCACTATACTTCGGAGTACAGCTACATGCATGGTGTGTGTATGGCTGAATGTAATGTTAGGCTGAATAGTTAATCTTCACTAGTTGGAGGGAAAGACACAAACGGGAAAAGTCTGAAGAAAAAATTGACTGCCACCACCAGGACTCGAACCAGGGACCCTCGTTTGTAGCTAGCGATGCTCTGACCACTGAGCTATGGTGTATAGTTAATACTCAGAGATTTGCTGTGCCAATGCGAAGGATCATGGATGCATCGTAACACACAAACCTGGCTTGTGACGAACGCACCAAGCAGGCATATACCAACGGCGTAAATAGTACAAGTAATTGTTATGGGAATGACGACCACTAAGCTTGACAGAAGAATATGCACCTATGTCCTGTGATGCAAACCCAAACCGTTTTCGTCTTGTCCCCCCCCCCCCTTGCTCACTTCCGTTTTTTAGTTTATGCTGAATTACACAGCCCCGCAGAGAACGTAAAGAGAAGTCTTAGATAAACCAACTACTGGTACTTCGTGTTTGCTATGATCTTACGCGGAGTAAGTTGCCGCCACCGTTTCTGTGTAGTACTTCAGCGAGGTCAAGTTGTAGTCGCATTGAATCGGGGTGACCAACTGAAACATGAGGCAGTCCGACGCTATTATGGACATAATTGTCACTCCTGCCATGATTGCGACAGCCAGAACGGCCGCTAGAATAAAAATGCATGTCTGTGCTTTGGATGAGGACCATGGAAGTCGCTTTTCCTGGTTCGTCCCTGCAGAAAAGATAAAAATAAGTTATTAATAACAAATACAAACTGTAACTCGGATTGTGAGCCAATTAAATTATTGTGAAAAGAAGAAGGACAAAATGTTACGAGTTATGACTAACTGTCCACCAACATAACCAGATCTTATACAGTCAGGGAGTGCGACAAAATGGCACAAAACTGACAAGGAGTACTGCACTCGTTGACTGTATAAGATCTTACAACGTTGGTGGACAGTTAGTCATTAACTCGTAACATTCTGTCCTTCTTCTTTTCAAAATACAAACTGGGACATTCTTGTGTTGAGTCGATACACTTAACCTCATGTAATAACAATCACCACACTCCCAGCACAGTGCTCTAGGCCTGCATGACTTACGCCTTCTCACAGCTAATGTACCCGTAAGGCTGGCTGTTGATTCACCGCGATCTCGTTTTCCTGGCGGTGGCAGCATGGAACCCATGCCCGTTTGCCGAATAGAAGAGGTACATTTCGTGGTGGGGCGGCTAGGTACACGTGCAAACGGTGCACTGGGCTGACGGCCGATTGACTCGCCTCGCTGTGAACTAATCTGGGATCCTGCTCCGACGGCGTTTACCGGCTCCTCGTACCCGTGGCTCTGAGTGCTGTAGACCCAGGTGCTCGAAGTCCGTACACTTTTACAGTGTGTGTTTGCCGAGCTGAAACTCACACTAGCAATGATCACTTGCCAGAATCCTGCTCGTGGATGGAAGGTATCTTGTCCAAGTTTGTTCTCAGGCCAGGCTCGATTGAACCAGGCCATCTTTCGATCCGATCTGTTTCTCTGGAGTTCGCTCATTTTTCATATCAAATTTTGGTGTCGCAGAGGGTACTCTAAGTCCGTACTGATCAGAGGTGACTCGAAATACACACATATTTCTGCTAATTGCTAACTTGCAATCCCTCGGTTACGACGAAAGCACCGAAGGGATATGTTTGGCATGTGCCTCCAACAGTATTTCTTGCAAAAGCGTAGTTTGTTGCCGCAATGCAAGCTGTTTTTAGTCGGCTCAGAGAAGAAGCAGCTGCGCTGTGAAAACCGCGGGAAAACAGTGGTGGAGATGCCAGGAGTGTCAACCTTTCTGCAAGGATTGTTGGTTCTCTGTAAATTCTTCTCCTCTGGCCATTGTCAGCTCTAAGCTGGCTCTTGATGATTGAGTGAAGGTCTGTTTGACGCTGTGTCCGTTCGAAATCGGTCTTGGCAAAGTTGATTTTTGCATGAAATGTAACCCAATTTGTATTCGTATGGACACTCGAAAACCCACTCCCGGGCCCGATCCCGTGGTATGGGACTTCTGCTTATCGTAGATCCCTGAAAATTGGTACGCGAGGAGAACATACCACACTGTCCCCTCCATAAAATATTTGAGTCGAATACAATAACAGAACATGAAATTATGGGCGTACGAACTTAGGATACCATGTACGGACTTCGAGCACCTGGGTCTACTCCAAAGCCATTGCTGCCAACAGTTGAAAAATCCAAAGAGTCTCCTTCTCTTAGAGCAGCACAGAGACAACGGAGGCGAAGAGAAACAACATAATTTATGCAAGTCGATACAGCAAGGCCAGAGTGTCATCTGGCTACCATCAGTCCCTTTCAAGTTTCGGCAGCATCGACATTCCCTAGGATGGTGTGCATCAACAATCAACGCATTGTATTCCGGTTATTACTGTCCATTGCGCCAGGTGGGTCCGCGTATGGGTACCACACAGAGATTGGTATACTGTATAGTAACCACCTCATGTCATAGTTCAAGCAATCCAAGTCTCCTGACCTGGGTTAGCTCGTGATAGCGTCATTTGTTGCATAAACGAATGCATGATCACGCACGACTTGAACATTCAGATACACTGTACGCCATGCAGGTCATTTACCATGTTTACCGGTACATCTACTGAAGTAAGCTGTAGCTAGGTGTTTGTGGCACAATTCACGGAACGAAAAAGGATGTTCCGTAACTGGCATTCCCTTTGGCGGATATTGCTCGAAATTTGGCCTCCTCTGCTCGAAAAGCAATGACATACTGACATTGGTAGAAATACTTACACGAGCCTTATGGAGTCAATCCTGCGAATTCCACTCCTCTTCTTTATCCATAATATTATACCACACGTGCCTAAAGCATACCAGAAAAAGTGCCAAAAGGAGATCGTGGTTGAGCTGATATTTAGCTGTGTGTACAATCCCAAGGTCAAGGTGCTTGGTGTTTTTTTCTAGGAAATCCACGTACCGGTATCTCTACTTCTCTTTGTAGTCACTATAAGTATCTAATTCGATTTTTCGCCAACATGGACTTCTTGTGATGGCCTAGCCCTAGCCACAGCCCTCGTGCTGGTGGGTGAAAATTAGGAAACAATCGAATTACTTGCACGACATCACCGTCCGCACCAGGTGATTTTCGCGCCGATCTTGACGATTTTTTGTACTTCGAAGTACAAGTAATCCGTTTCCTACAAATCTGTGGCGATTTCTTGTCGACATGTCGTATGCCTGGTCTAGGTGAACTTTTCGGCCGATTATCATGATTTTGGAATCTTGCAAAATTAATAATCCTCAAGCCAGAGTCAAGGTCGGCGCGAAATTTTCCTGGTGTGGAAGGTGTTGCCGGACGCGTTTCCAGCACATTTGTGTGTGTGTGTGTGTGTGTGTGTGTGTGTGTGTGTGTGTGTGTGTGTGTGTGTGTGTGTGTGTGTACGTGTGTGTGTGTGTATGTGTGTGTGTGTGTGTGTGTGTGTGTGTGTGTGTGTGTGTGTGTGTGTGTGTGTGTGTGTGTGTGTGTGTGTGTGTGTGTGTGTGTGTGGTGTCATACTTTTTGCGCTTGTCTTGATCTGTTTCATTCTGCATCAGATCCGCTATCGTTGCTATAAAGAAATATTCTGTGGGTGCACATCCAGTGTATGAAATTTTGCAGATTTGCTTGCTTCTCTTGCAACGGGCGCCGGTATGCATGGTACATGGTGACCGGTGTGTGTATAGGTCCGACCCAGTCGGCCGATTGTATGTCGGAGTCGGTGGCAGAGCATCCGCCGCAAAATCGGCCGTCCAGGCCGGGAAGCATTTCCACTCAGCCGTCTGCTACTGTCTAGCGCGGCTGTGTACAACGTGTACGCATGTGCACAGACAGGCCAACTACTGAGCTGTACCAGCGAAATCGCTTGTAGCTATGTGTGTGAGTAGGTAGTCCGACACAGACTCAGTCAGCCGATTCTCGTGTCGGAGGCCGAAAAATCGTATCGACGGTGTAGTGTGGACCATGGTGGACCAGGCATAAAGGATTTTCTCCGACACAAGGCATCATTGAGGTGACAGACTTGTCACCTCAATAATGCCTTGTGTAGGTTCAAAGCAATGAGTCGTGAAAACCCTTTTAGTTTTACGACTCCCTGGGCAAGTAACATTTTCATGCAGCAACCGATAGTGTTGCGCGTTGTTGTTCGTCGGTCCTTGGGCAAGGACAGCGCCGATACCGTAAAGCTGCCGAGGAGGAACAGTCCCTGAAGGAATAGAGTACTGCAAACAACGCCAACACACTGAAACAGCTCCATTGGGACTTCGATAGAGAATTAGCGTGTCTCAAGGCGCACCACGAAGCTCTGTAAGGAGAAGGCCCCGGCTAAACAGCGAAGTACCTCAAAATATTCCATGGTGAGTTGACCATTCCTCTAGAGTGCTCGTTTTCCGCAGTACAGTATTTCTCAGGTCACTATTGTCGAATTATCTCTTTCAGCAAGAGTGTCCTTGGCTCGTCACACAGTTTTGCATTCGTCCTTTCGATGCTAGCATACTGTTTGGTTTCCAAGCATGGGCGAAAGCAAATCCAAAGTTTAGAGGCTATACAGAGAGAGGAGTTTCCTTTCTTTCGCCTTCAGCCATAGGTACTGGGTAGTGATAACCACACTGCAGACAATCTTCAAGAGCTTCGAGCGAAATGCTGGCTCCAACCAAGCAACCCAGCACAGAAAGTAAAGCTTCAAGACAAAACGATTACTTGTTGTTCTGCGCAAGTGCTTGGAAGCGTGAATGTACAGGAGGTCAGCCAAGCATCTTACTCCCTAACTCGTATAGGAGCATTGTGTGTATGTGGAGCCTTGCACATGCCGTGCGTGTGGAGCCGTGTGCATGCCATGTGTGTGGAGCCTTGTGCATACTGTGTGTGTGAATAGAGCAAATGAACTCAAGCACAGAGTCAGTAGAGCTATGATAAGACCTCAGTACATGTACCCCATGGGCAGCAAGAAACTGTGCCTTGTATCCAAACATAGCGGGGGGGGGGGGGGATGTAGGGGCCGGGGCAGGGGAAGCAAACAGTTCACGAATTCTTTCCATGTTCCACTTTTGCCCTATTACAAAAAGTGCAACATATGAGTGCACAGAGCACCCGGAACAATCGATTTGAGGACCCATTTTCACTTTAAAACCAAAAAATCGAAAAATTAGAAGGGTGGTGCGCTATCTGATCCCCACCCCCTTTGTCTAGAACCCTGATGCGTCAGGATGAATCGATGCACCCGTACTCCGACCCAAACGTATGTCTTATCAAAAAGTACGGACAAAGTGAGTTGCACTGTACACTGTATTGTGAATTTTTCGAGTGAGGAATGAATTTCAAGAGAAAGTGATGAAACATAATCTCAGTCTCACATTGTTATGTTTCTGAATTTCTCCTGTACCCCACTTGTTTAGATGTATTCGCTGTTCAAGCTGTTCCTGGTATGGGTTTCAGCCACGCTGTTTAGCGGTTGCGACAGTCGATCACTGGCGGGGAAGCTTCAAGACCTTCAGGATATTGTGTACGGACTCAGTGACCAGCAGCAACAGATCCTGAAAGACCTCACCGTGGACTACGGAGAGAAATATGGGCGTCGGCATGCTAGAGAGGGATCAGGTGGGTGTAGTGCTGTGTGAACTGCAGAGCATGGAGGAAGAATGAACCATCTTATCCAATTCTCTGTACAGGGACATAGTGCAGTATAAAGTACCCGTTGCATACCATGATGTAAGACAATTTGTTGCTTTGCAAGGTTCAGTGAAAACACAACCAGGTTAGGAGGTTTTGTTTGTGCCACTGCCATCACCGTGCTTGATTATAACCGAAAACGATATTCATGGTCCTAAACGTACTCTATGTCCACTGCAAAGAGAAACTAATGGTATTCCCAGTAGCTAGTATCCAGCACTCTAAGTCTACAGTTTTTTGGCGTGTTTCAATTTCTGCCTCGTAGGGCTGAGGCCTAGTTCATACATGTCACGTGCCTGTTGTCAGGTCGTTGCTAGCATTTGGCCAATCAGAGCAGCACCGTACCAGGGCATTATCAGACGATAATGCCCGGGTACGGCGTACCATGCCCATTAGGAATGACGCCAGGCGTACTACGTACGCTGGTGCACTGCCAAATATGCACCAAGACATGCCTTTCGGGCAGTGACCTGGTACATAATTGGCAGTACTCCAGCGTACATAGAACACATGGGACCATTCCTAAGGACACCACATGCACTCGCACACGCCACACAAAACGAAACTACTTACGTGCACCGTCCAAAACAATTATATTTCACTAGCAATGTCGACATAGGAGAAGTAATTTATAACAACGTGACAATAGCACGCAGCATGTCATTACCATGCATTACTAAATTCAAGTCAATTGAGACAAACAAGTCGACAGGTGAACATGCATCACAAAGTTGCCTATCTGGAAAAGATCAGATTGTATCTCGAACTCCTACAAAATATACAGTTACATCTACATGTACATGTACTTCAAATAGTGCTGAAACGATTATATCGATTACTCGTTACTAACTCGATAAGAAATAGATCGAACGGTTATTTCGATTTTATCGGCTAAACGAGTAGAATGGTACTTACGCTCGGTATTGGATTTCCACCCTTTTGGGGCTCGCACAAAGCGTGCATGCATCGAAAGTGTTGCGAGTACGACACGAATATGTACATGACTGCACACTTGCAACATCGATGTACGTGCAAAGTACAAACGCGATCTGAGAAACATCGACGCGATCACCGTTGCCGTCTTTTGAGCTGACTACGTTTCTTACATACAGCATGCAGGACGGGCAGGCTCAGTATGTGTCTACACTAGCTGCAGGGGCTGGAGTTCCCTCCACGTGCGAGTATTCTTGAGCTAAAGACAGTAAAGTGGTCTTCAGTTTCCTGTTTTCCATTCTGTCGACGGTTCCCGAATCAGTTTGCTCGACGACAAGCTAGGCCTGGCGTCTGGGCCTATTTTGAGCATAGACAGGAAAAGCAACTACAATTTGTAGTTACTTGTTGGTGCGCCTCAAGTCAGCTCATCCGTCGAAATCCGCCGATCTGCACCCCTGGCCGGCTTCTCTGACTTCATCATCGGAGTCAGCAAAGTCACAGGCGAAGGGCACCATCAGCTCTTGGGTTGCAACCAGTGCGTTGCCTCTGTCTTGTCTGTATTCGTCTGGTCAGTCTGAAAAGCTGACGGACTTGTTGCGGGATCATCGGATCTATGCGCCCGCTTTCCGTCGTTGGCAATGTTGGACTCGTAATTTTTGGAAATTCACAGAATGTACATGTACTGATGTGGTTACAATAATAATCGTTTAGCCGATAAGCCGATCGTTATGGTATCAGCTAAGCCACTAAGGAAAAAACGTAATCGTTTCACCACTAACTTCAAATGTACCTAGCTACATGACTGTCCAGTGTACATATGGACCTCAAGTAAACTGAAATCAATGCGAACAAAATCTCAGATGTATGTGAAAAAGTATCATTGTTCCGAATAAGAACACATACAATGTACTCTCAAAACTAGTCTAAATACTGGTGCCACTTGGTCAAGGATGTTTTCGGCCAACGTTAACTCCAAAGCAGCAGCGAATCAGCTAACTTCCGTACCGCCCAATAGGCAAGACTAACACCAAAATGCAAAGGCATATTCCTGGAACTGCAAGTAAATCTGACACAAAACGTTCTATCATTCCACGGAGAAAGCTCCTTCCGATCTTGTTAGACCCTTCATTCATATGACAGCTGATTGTAATCTTCCTCCTCCCTTGACCATGTTTACCTTATTTGTCTACAACTAGGCACGTGGCATGTATGAACTATAATAAACACATGGTGCGTCGTGCATTATGGCTGATTGTATGCCCTAGTGCGCAGCCCTCGGTCGTGCACCGTAGCCCGCGGGCCTGCGGCCCTTGGGCTACGGTGCACGACCTCGGGCTACACACTAGGGCATAAATCAGCCATAATGCCCCCCGTACCATGTGCTATAAATATACTTCACATTCGACGGAACGCTGACGGTACCGGACGTAAGGGCCTGTCGGGAAGGCTGGGGGGGGGGGGAGCTGTATAATCTTGTACGATTCGTACGACATGACATGCTGCAGTTGTTGCGTCGTTCAGCAGCGAACGACACCAGTCAAGAGGCACGGTCCGTGACAGGGTGACTTTTGGACCTAATTTCTTGTTTTTCAGAACTTATTTTCAATTATTTCTCCTTGGATGAAGCGGAATCAAGTTCACAATACCAGTTTTTCATGAAGACCAAAAAGTAGCTTCGAAAGGTGTGCTATTCAAATAATAGCTCCAGGAAATATGAAAAAACAGTTCGTCTGTCACACTCCTGAACTATCCCTAATACCATAAGTGATATCAGACCGTTTTTTGTCTATGTTTCGCGTCCCCTGCGCGCATGTATTTCACAGCCGGAAATCCAAAAAATAAAATAAAAAACGGAACATGATTGTTGCATCGTAACTATTATGTTGGCATCATTTTGTTCTATTTGTCGCATGATTGTACTCAGCTCACATACATAATTATACATGTACATGTAGCTGTGTGTGTAAGCTGGGCCGCAAGTCACGCAATCATCATGCCGCCTGTGTTTGGACCACAAGCATGGCAGAGGCTTGGCTTCCCATCCAGCTGACAGAGTTTGGCCAGTTTTTACCAATCAGTAGAGATTGCATTGTGCAATAAACTTGCTTTGCGGCATTCATTGTATTGAAATTACACTCATGTATTCATGTATGCGCATGTGTGAATTAATATACAATGTACACAAACAGTGCATGTTTTTTTTAGCTCCACTGTACACAATAAGTACAAATGCAATGCATGTAACTGTTTTTTTTTTGGATGGCTTTTTATTTTTTTCGCCCTCAGTCAAGTGTCAAGTAAAGTCGGCGGAATAGCGCGAGCTCCGGTGTGGGGAGCAAACCTTTCTCATTGATTTCATCGAATAAGGTGACCCGAAACATAGAAAAAAAACGGTGTGGCCTCAGCCATTCTGCGAGTTATCATTGGAAGCGCAGTGTTCGAAATGTTAAAAATTTGAAGTACGAATCGGGAGTAGTCGGTGCACGACGCCGTCTCCTGTTCACATTCAAAATGCAGCTGTTTTGTACGCTTGCGTCCCCGTCTACACCCGTCTACGGTATGACAATTTGAACTGATCCAACTCTTCCCGTCGCTTCCCGATCCATTCGGCAGTACGGTTGCGTTCCCATTCCTGGTGTTCACATTGGACGGCGTCAGACTGTCCCGTCGCTTCCCGTCGATCCTTATGTCGCGTTCCGTCGCGCCCCGTCGAATGTGAACTAGGCTTCAAACATATTTTGACCGGTTTACACTTTCAGCTTGTAGTACGGGTACAAGGCGTAAAGTTTGGTCATTAGATCGAATTTCACTAAGCAGCTATGTACTTGCGAGATGCGTGCATTGCAGAGAGAAGTAGGTAGAATGAAGAGTAGGGAAGGGGTGGTAAGCAGAGAAGGTAAAAAACAAGTTATGAGTTGGGCCGAGTACATGACTGCTGTATAGATAGAACATACCAAGCAATATCATTATAATTATCACTTGTTTCACTCCCTGTACTTTGGAAACACATACTTGGACGATGAAAGGAACAGTCGTGTCTGGATGCCTTGCCTGCCTAAGGCTATAGTCAAGCTAGGCAATCAGATTCCCTGGTTTCCTTTCTTCACATACATCTTACGACATTACGAATTCTGGCCGGCGTGCGGTGTTCGTGTACCTGTCTATGCGTGTGTTTGTATCTGTTTATATGTGTGGGAGTTATTTTGTGTATGTGTGTGTGTGTGTATGTGTGTGTGTGTGTGTATGTGTGTGTGTGTATGTGTGTGTGTGTGTGTGTGTGTGTATGTGTGTGTGTGTGTGTATGTGTGTGTGTGTATGTGTGTGTGTGTGTGTGTGTGTGTATGTGTGTGTGTGTGTGTGTGTGTGTATGTGTGTGTGTATGTGTGTGTGTATGTGTGTGTGTGTGTGTGTATGTGTGTGTGTGTGTGTGTGTGTATGTGTGTGTGTGTGTATGTGTGTGTATGTGTGTACAGAATGTGATACGAATGAAACGTTCGTAACTGAGAATTGCGGACTGGATTGCAGGTGTGTTGAAGGAAGAATGAAATGCTGTCGGATGCGGCGGAGCTTCGATGAAATATCTGAGGTAAACCTGAATGGAAAATGTCTATTTGTCAGATACAGCTGAATGAGGATTGTTGAAGACAATATGAATGTCGGTGTTGCAACTAACATGCTCTCCTGTTGTGTTCTGTGTGTATAATGTGATGGAAAGTGTAGCAATAGATAATTATAAGAGTGATCCTCTGTAAGCCTTCCACATAGTGAGCTGTACGGCCTGACCACTGGTAACCAGTACCCACTGTGAGCCAGGAATTTCCAAGTACGCAGTCAAATGGTCACTTTGCAGCACTGACCCCTCCTTGCATTATCATGTGCCATTAGGAGACCTCTAGCCCCCCCGGTGGACATAAACACGTAGCTGATAGGGGAGATATTGCCAGTGCGCTTTACTGCAAGCTATATCAGGTGCTGTGCGTGCGTGCGTGCGTGCGTGCGTGTGTGCGTGCGTGCGTGCGTGCGTGCGTGCGTGCGTGCGTGTGTGTGTGTGTGTGTGTGTGTGTGTGTGTGTGTGTGTGTGCACATGTGTGTGTGTGTGCACATGTGTGTATGTATGTGCACGTGTGTGTATGTGTGTATATGTAGGACTCAGTATAGAGTCCATGCACTATATGATGTCCAGCACCCTATATAGAGTCCATTGGTCCAAAATCCACTATACAGAGTCCAGGAGTCCACTCAGTTTTGATCAGCTTCATCCTGCCGCGCAATCCCCTATAAGGAGTACACTTTTTCTACAAGTCCCCTATTCACAGTCCAGGAGTCCAGTTTATCCAGTCACGCCGTCCTGTGTGTTGTGCCCGAAAGAGAACACATTTTCAGTTTTGCTTGCCTCGTGGCAGCGCATTCCTTTCTTCACTTCAGCCATGGCTGCCAATTCTGCTGTGCAGTTGCTGACAGTAATCTGTCTCGAGCTAACCAAGGAGGATAAGGAGACGTTCAAAATCAAATCTGGAAAGCGTCTTGTGGTTCTCTGAAGACGTTTCATCAGTGCGCGGGATGAAAGCAGAAATTGCAGAACGAGAAAAGTTCAGCACAGTTTAAATCTGACGAGTCAGGTACACTGACGGTCTCTTTCGTTCGACGCCACAAGGATCCCCTGTTTGGCTGGCCATTGCTGCCAGTAAGACGTTTGAACGGTTTCATCAGAGCGAGGGATGAAAGCAGAAAGCGGAGAAAGAGAAAAGTTCAGCACAGTTGCAATCTGACGAGTCAGATACACTGACACTCTCTTTCGTTCGACGCCACAAGGATACCCCTGTTTGACTGGACAAGAGCTGCCTGTACAACCGTGTCAAAAGGCTGTCCAACTACATGGCAGGACGATGACTGAGGTAAGGAAGCTTTTACTCGTTTCGATTGGTCTGCTGTTCTGTCGTTATGCTTGGATTTTTTTTTCCATTTTCAAGGAGCGTATCGCGTTTGTTTGATGTTGCTTGAATGAATGCCCTAAAAGTAATCAACCACTTCGTAATAGTCCTCAAGGACTGCAAGGACTTTGCATCAATCGTATATGATCGTCTAGCTATCATCAATTATTATTTTATTTCATGAGAAATGTATTCAAGTTTATCCCTGTGATAATTATGTGAACTCCACGACACTCTTCCTGTAGTATGATGTCAAATACAATGGGATCCACAAACGCAGTGCCAGCGTACTAGTAGTAGTAGGACTAGGAGGATTGCTTGTATGCCAATGACAAGAAAAAGCTTCTCAAGCTAATACTCGTATTCCCTGAAGTAACCGTTTTGATGTCACGAACATGACATAGTGTCAGTGAAACTGCCTCGTGACAACAAATCATTGCATTTCCATCTTGGGGAAGACTGACTGACAGCAACGCTGTACAGATTGTTCAAATCATCTCATTTCAATTTAGTTGCAGTGAAGTGAAACACTGTGTACACTACATGTATGTTGGTGTGTCTGTGCGTCTTAAGTGTGCACACACGATCTTATTCCTCGTATTACTAATAGATTATTGTCCCCACCATCACCTGTTCACAGGTCTTTGAGTGGATTGATTTTCATTGAGCATCACATTCGTTGAGAACTTGGTAGTTGTGTGCTCCCATGCATCATTACGGTAATAAGCGTATCCTTGTGCTATCTATTTGTTGCAGGTGTGCTGATCTTCAGAAGCTTGCGGAACTGAGTGCTGCTGAACATTTACATGGCCATGAGCAATGGTGAAGCTTGCTATTGCACTCTCAGCATTTGCTAGTATTATGCTGACTACTGCACTATGTTACTCTCTTACACTACTACGTGTATGTAAACGTGCGTGTACCGTCCCCGTACGCATTCGTTTCGTATAATTATTTGTTATCCCTCTTGACTTTACATGTAAATGGGTGGACGTTTGCATGGCTGTTGGAGTTGCGTGTGTATTGTGCCTCTACTCTTTTCTTGGTGTTTTCTTGGCGTTGTATAAGTTTGTGTGTGTGTGTGTGTGTGTGTGTGTGTGCGCGCGTGCGCGCACAATAATTTGAAAACAAATAATTAATCCTGGGCTCTCCATTATTCTCTTTCGATTCTTGGTTTTTTTTCTAGGTATTTTCTTGGCGTTGTGTGGGTGTGTGCATATGTGTGTGCGTGCACAATAATTTGGCAACACTACATGATTGAGATATCGTAATTTGCAGCGTCTGCGAAGAGACCACTTGATTTGAGGATGGTGTTTGTAGGGTTTTTCATGTAATGAAGTGGCTGCAGTGGCGCCTCAATACATATTTTTTATCTTGAGAAGTGAATGATGTAAAGGATTAAAGGGAGAGGCCGTTTTCTGGTTAATATTCACTGCTTACAGCAGATCCTATGTCTATTTTCGAACTCGATAGGGGATGCCTAATTGGCTGGACTTTATACAGGGGTGTTGTCCACATAAAGACTCTTTATAGTTGATTTCAAAGTTTGGACTCCGTACAGTTGATTTTGGACCAATGGACTCTATATAGGGGTGAAGCCAATTGGCTGGACTCTATACAGGGAGTGATGTCCATCGAAACTTTGAGCTCACAGTTGATTCCAAGTTTGGACTCTGTACAGTGGATTTTGGACCAATGGACTCTATATAGGGGTTGGACATCATATAGGGGCTGGACGCTCTACTGAGTCCAACATATATATGTGTTTAATAGTATAAGTGAAGCGGACATTACAAAAATGATGAATGAGAATACATGTATCTAAGATGGTTGTTCCTAATCGATTTTCTTGAGACTATCATCAGGGAAAAATCGTCTCACAATAGAGGCTGTACGGAAAAACAAACTACTTATAGGTTATAGGATAGTGGGGAGTATACAAGGTGAGGTGTGAAGAAAAAAAAAACTTAAGTGGGAGAGAAGACGAAAGAAATTAGCAGAAAAGATGTGAGAGTGTTCAGACGGTGTGAGCTACTACAAAAGGTGAGTGAAATGAAGGCGTGGAAGCAGGTGAATGTGATAGAGTGAGGAAGTGTGAGGTGTAGGTGTATGCGAATGAATATGTGTGTGAATGCTAGGTGAAGAGTCTCAATTTTGTGACTCTTGTCTAGTAGCCAATGCCGCTCAGTGTATGACGATTCATGCTTCACTGTTTTGTGCCGTGCTCGTAGGTTTCGTGAACTTAAGGTATTAGAAGCTGTTTTCATCCGTAAACACAATCCTAATCTATGCATTCAGAAAGAAAATGTCACAAAATTGAGACTCTTCACCTAGCATTCACACACATATTCATTCGCATACACCTACACCTCACACTTCCTCACTCTATCACATTCACCTGCTTCCACGCCTTCATTTCACTCACCTTTTGTAGTAGCTCACACCGTCTGAACACTCTCACATCTTTTCTGCTAATTTCTTTCGTCTTCTCTCCCACTTAAGTGTTTTTTTTCTTCACACCTCACCTTGTATACTCCCCACTATCCTATAACCTATAAGTAGTTTGTTTTTCCGTACAGCCTCTATTGTGAGACGATTTTTCCCTGATGATAGTCTCAAGAAAATCGATTAGGAACAACCATCTTAGATACATGTATTCTCATTCATCATTTTTGTAATGTCCGCTTCACTTATACTATTAATCGCATTAATAAAGTTATTGTCTCCTCGTCGCCTTTTCATATATATGTGTGTGTGTTTTTTTTGTGAGGGCTGAGTCGGGTAGCATTTTCTTAGGGTATCGGGTTCGGGTAGTTTTTCATGGGTAGCACGGGTACCCGATTGGGTTATGTTTCCATGGTAACACCACAACAAACCCCTTCCCTTACACACTGGGTAGACATACGGAGTATTACATGAATTTGTACACGTGCACTGTACATGATGTCATCTGCGACTTCGGGTTTTCGGGTACTATTCTGTTCCCGTCTACCCGATGTTCTCACGGGTAGCACGGGTACCCGACTACCCGTGCCCACCACTAGTTTTTGTATGATTGTATGTACATGTATGTGTATGTGCTACAGGAGGAGATAGAGCGGTATAGCAATGCATTTCTGACTGCCTCCCGAGACCCTCTCTACAAGGAGGCCTTTAGAACCTTGGCGTGGTTCCATCCGGTCATGGGTTGCAACATGGTTATACGTCCTGTGCGTGTGGACTTGCACCATGCACTCATGGCATTCCATCGACTGACGCTGCTCGCATTTGAGAACCTCCTACGCCTTGTTGACTGCAGAGTCACCATACCTTTCTGGGACGTAGGCCGTAATTCTGGAACTCCCTACCTTGAGCAAAGAGTGTTCAAGATTGGTACATTCGGAGGCAATGGTGTACCGCCCAACTACTGCGTGCAAGGCTCACCTTATGGCGAGGGTAAGAAAACTTCACACCCAATCAGTCAATGTTTGGTATGCGTGGAGATGATTTGGCGTGTGTGTGTGTAATGGTGTACCACCCAACTACACACACACACACACACACACACACACACACACACACACACACACACATACACACACACACACACACACACACACACACACACACACACACACACACACACACACACACAAACTTCACACCCTATCAGTCAATATTTAGTATGTGTGGACGTGATTTGGCGAACGGCAAAAAGCCTTAATTTGGAAAGATTTTTTGGAGTTCCAATTTCACTTGACAAATTGATGAGGTAGTATGTATCTTGAGGGAGTTGACTTGTTTAGGCCCAAACTAAATCCTTAGCCTGCATGTAAAGGTCTGTGTATCTTGTTTTGTTTGCCTGCTAGGTTTTTACACACCAGCAAAGTTTGTTTACAAGGGCAAGGAACTGCCTTACCCCAATTGTCTCCAACGCAAGGTGTTGCCTAACGATCCGTCGTTTCCCTGGCTGCTGATAGAAGTGATGATTTCGGCTTGCAGTGCAAATGTGTCCGTGCTGGCCGAAGACGGTGAGTGCAGTTCCAGGCATTTGTTGATGCTGTAAAGCTGTAAAAACTTTCACGGTGCGCAACCTTTGCATTTCCAAGTATCGCTCTGGGGTTAACGATGAGGGACTTTCACTATTTCATCTATTCAGTTGGTTCACTATTACGTTGTCTGCAACCAATTCACAGAGCAGTTTGCGGTTGTTCAAATTCGCAAATGTATGATGGCTGCGAAAATGACAAAAATTGTATCAAGCGAAAGTTTCCCATTTTGCAGTACTGGATTTGCTTTGGCAGCAACTAGCATAATTATGACCTGATTTTGGGTGTACAGTTCACCCTTGCTTGCCAGAGTTTCAGTTGCCTATCGCTCCACTCGTCCACCATCTGCTCTTGGACGTTAAGTCGATGAAAGCAGGGGAAACCTTGGCATTCATGCCTTGTGGAATGGACACTCGTATCTCTCTCATCCGGGCGGTCCGGGACCGAGCAATACCCATAAATTTGAATGTCCTCAACTCTGAAGCCACATCATTGCGCGAAATCACGCGACACCTGTACATTTTCGATCTGCGGGATGAAGATGACGACGTCCATGCATCAGGTATCAGGGGGTAGTAAGATACTGGTATATTACTACTCCACGCCTCAAATCGTGCTGTCAAGCGTATACGGGGGAGTGTAGCATGCCATCCCTTACGCTTTCCAGCTCAGGGTTACCCTCGCTATCAATGGACGAAATTTCAGGGTCACAGCTTGCGCAACGGCTTTGTCCTGTTCGAATGGCCACTCGACATACTCAGCACAAATTTTCTATTGCATGCATGCACAAAATGTTCAACTTTCGTATTTTTGGCGACTTTACCACCGTCGTGGAGGCTGGTTGGTGAGGAGCAGGTAGCCATCCCTTGTAGAATCAACTGACAATGTCACGAACACGCCAGCCACGCTCGTATGGTGGAGAACACTTCTCCCGTCGTTCAGGACGTTGCAATATCACTGCATCACCAGGACTATACAGGCATAGTACGTTAACATCAGGACTATCGCCGCTCGATAACTCTTCTTCAATCAGATCGCGGATAGCCGCGGATCTCTGTGCAAGCTTGTCCACCCATACACTTGCAGACATCGTGCCGTTGGCAATGGGTGACTCAGCAATGAGCCTTGCTGGCTGCCACCCGACCATGGCTTTCATTGGCGATAGATGGGTTGCCGAGTGGGGTCTTTTACGATAGTAGAAGAGCAGGGTGCGGAGATCAGACTTCCAGTCGGATGAGGATTCAAGGACCTTCTGGATCAACCCCAGGGTGCGGTTTGCCCTCTCCGCTGCGCCTTGGGATTGTGGGTGTCGCACAGCACATGTGCGTACTCGGACTCCAAGTGATTGAAAGAGTGACTCTACGACTGCATTCACGAACTCTGTTCCATTGTCACATCGCACAACATCAGGGGCACCCCACATCTGGCAGACCTGCACAAATGCACTGGCGACTGAAGCAGCATCATGACGACGAAGGGGTACCACTTCAATCCACTTCGTGAACGCATCCACACACATCAATACACAGTGATAATCATTCGTGCCATCCGAACCCAACTCCAGGGTATTGATGATAACTTCAGACCATGGGCGGCAAGGAATATCAGAGCGAGTAGCTGCAATAGCGGGCGCTCTGCTTGGGTTAGCTGCCACACACTGCCCGCAATTTGCAACACACGCTTCACAAGCAGCAGCGATCTTCGGAAAATAACATCGACTGCGGATCATCTCATACATAGTCGACAATGACGCATGTCCGGAGTTAGTATGCGTTACATACAGCGCTTTCCGTACGAGAGCAGCTGGGATAACAGTAACTTGTTTAATCCTTTGTTCTTTCGCCCACTTGAACTTGAACTTGAACCGTACACATGTGTACGGTTCAACCCATGCATGTTCAAAGCGACCTGGAACCTACGTGGATCACCCGATCCACATAAAAATTCACGTGCATACAGCTTACGCTATGTAGAGGATGATACACGGGTCGCTGGGGCTAGTTGTCATTTGAAAAAATTCAGGAAATCAAAGTCGAAGTTTGCTTGCGCCGTAACTTCCGACATGGCAGCACGCAGGTCGCTTGATGCAGATAAAGCGCTTGTTGGAGTGACCCGAGCAACAATCTTATGTCTTCTGATGAAGAGGACGAGCTGGACGAAGCCCTAGGTGAAGGTGTTGATTCTGATTCTGATGACGACGCCGACTATGATTTCGTAACCGTCGACCCAACTGTCGGACATGTGGACCGACCACTTCGATTTGAATGCAGGATTGGCAGAACAGCACTCGAGTGGTGAGGAGAGTGTACTACCGTCGTGTCTTACCCGTCTTGTAGCAGCAGAGCCAGCTAGAGTGCCGCAGCACGTGGAGCGGGAGCGCAGTCCGATCCCAGAGAGGTCCAGATCTCCGTCACCTGCGCGCCGTCAAACTCATGGTCGACAGCCGCGCAGAGCGAGGAGAGTAGCCGCACGGGGACAAAATGTCGAACCTATCGCCACTGGCGCTCCTCTGGCCAATGCTCCGTGTTTGACCAACATGCCAGGGGTGCTACTCCGGGTCATACTTGTACAAATTTCACATTACATAGGAAAGAACTTGAATTTTGAATTTCGCCTATTTTTGCCAAAAAACCATTTTTGATAGACTTGTTTAGCCACGCTCGCCTGAGGAATGCAACCCAAACTGCATTTTTAGTTCACAATTATATGCTTTCAGGAAAACATAAAGTGTACATACAAAATATCAGCTGCTTGGTTATGGCGTTCAGCTTCTCCAGTGCAGCCTCCGTCAGTCCCCAGGTTTGGCAGTTGTATAACAGTGTTGGTAGGACGATGACATTGTAGAGACGAAGCCTGGTTTCCTCGGATACAAGTTGACGTCGTATCCAGAGCGAATACATGCGGCCATACAATGTTGATGCTTGGTCCATTCTTCGGCTCAAGTCCTCCACTTCCCCCAAGAGAGAGCCAAGTTGCTTGGATCTTCGCCATTCGGTGAATTTTCACACATTGGAAAGGTGCAAACTTCGCTTTTTGTACTTGCTGGCTGCTGTATTTCTACCTGAAACCATATTAGCTACATGTATATAAGTGGGTGTTTCAGTTATTACATTTTTATGTGACGGCGTTCCACTGATGAAAGTCACAAGAAAACGTTATGGAGCTTACCTTTCTTCATTTTTTGCTGTTGTTATGAGTGCACAATTGATCTTATTTATTCCTGTAGCTATGCAAAAGACGTTACTTCAGTAACTTCTGGTGCTAGCCAGGGTCCACACAGCTTTAATTCCGTGTTTGTTTGTTTGGGCCATCGCTATCCCGTACCTGTCCCGTACCGTATCAACAAGGTGTGTGTTTGTTAGTTTGTGCCGTCGGCATGCCTGGCGCTATCCCGTACCTGTCCCGTACCATTAAAGACAGCTGGCCACAATATTCAAATAGGGCTTTCAATGCAAGATCATAACGTGAAGCAACTTGGAAGAATGAGTATGTATGCGAAGTGTATCGGGGAATGCATGCAGGGCGATAGTGCGGGTCCGAATCCTAGGTTTTGTCTTGAAAAATATGAGAAATTAAAAATTTATAACATCACTATGCTTTTTTGCCTAGGTCATCAAGGTGGTCGACGGTGTCGTACGAGGTGACTTGGCTTTTTTTAACATTTGGCATTTTTAACAACTGTGTAAAATTTGCTTTTCTTCTGGCTGCTTCTCTGCTCCGGATGGCTGTATCGAAACATGGGTGGTGGCGAATGAGAGCCAATTTATCGTAGATCAACTTTGACCAGAACATTTGTGCATATAGTTTAATTCTCCCTGCCACGTCGGTATAAATAGCGGTGGGTGCTTTGCCATTCAGCGTAAAATGTGTAAAATAAGCCCCGAAATGGACAAGGAGGGCAGTGAACGGCAAGATAAAGGGCCTGGGTAGCTATGGCAATTATGAGGGGCAATTAGCTACCCAGGCCAGCTTGGATAAGGTTGTAGAACGTACGGGAGGAGGTACCTAACACTACAGTCATATCGAATTCCACCGTATGACACAGCCACTAGTTACAAATTCAAAAACACGGCTTTCGCAGCATACAATGCAGTTGACAGATTAATTTTCATCCACTAGCACATCCTTCAAGTGATATTTATCAACTTCAGAACATTGATGACCGAATATCCCAGTTTATGATGCCATTTTACAAAGTTGTTAAAAAAATTGAAGAAGGGCTGAGGCTTCCTGCAGCTTCATCTCTGATGCCTAGCAGTGGCTGAAAAACGTCATTTTACAACAATATTAAAAAATGCCAAATCACCTCGTATTACCCTCGAATGCAAAGAGAAAAGTTTATTTATTCCCGTAGCTATGCAGAAGACGTTACTTCAGTAACGTCTGGCGCTAGCCAGGGTCCACACAGCTTTTTGGTCCACACAGCTTTAATTCCCGTAGCTATGCAGAAGACGTTACTTCAGTAACGTCTGGCGCTAGCCAGGGTCCACACAGCTTTAATTTGGTATTTGTTTGTTTGTGTGTTTGTTTGTTTGTTTGTGTCACGCCTGGCACTATCCCGTATCTGTCCCGTATCTGTCCCGTATCTGTGACTACAAAGGCTCTACAGGATTGTACATAACAGCTGTCCACAATATTTGCGGGCTCCTGTATCTGTCCCGTACCGTACCAATATTCGTCGTATTATGTATACGACTCCCTGATGTAGAGGGAGATTTGGAAAGAAATAGGAAGACGAGGAGGAAATTAAATTAGAAGACGCCGAATAGGTGATAGGATGCGTCAGCATAAACAGCGTCAGCATAAACATACATGTACTTTGGAAGAGAGATCGCGTCGTCTCCAAAATAAGCGTGAACGAGCGATTCAGCGCTGGTCACAGGAAACGTTGGAAGAGAGATCCCGTCGACTCCAGAACGCCCGTGATCGGCAGAGTCCGCCGGTCCCAGGCAACGTCAGGACAGACATCCCGTTGAGTCCAGAACGCCCGTGATCGGCAGAGTCTAAGCCGGTCCCAGGAAACGTCAGGACAGACATCCTGTCGAGTCCAGAACGCCCGTGATCGGCAGAGTCAGCGCCGGTCCCAGTGAACGTCAGGACAGACATCCCGTCGACGCGCAGAAAAACTAAATCTGCAGCCTCTTTTGCCGTCGGACAGGATACGTATTATAGGAGACTGTAAAGTTATGTAATGTCCAAATTTCCACGTGAGCAGCAGGTCACTCGCGTTGATTTTTCGACGTGCGAGCCAAATAACGCGAGCTGAACTTTCGCGTCGCAGACATCCCGTCGACGCGCTGAATAACTAAATCTGCAGACTCTTTTGCCGTCGGACAGGATACGTATTTTAGGAGACTGCTAAGTTATGTAATGTGCTCCACAGCCAACCATGCATTCGGCGGCGTCATTGGCTCGACAGGTCAATGTACATGTATTACTACAAAAAGGCCAGAAAATCCGATTACTGTATTAAAATCAACTAATTTTCGCTGGCGATTTAATTTCGCTGATTTCGCCGCTTGGTACCAACCGGCCAAAGTAAATCACAGGGCAAAGTTTGTCATATAGGAAATTGATGCATTATTGAGCAATGGATGCATGTGAGAGCAAAAATACCTATCGATTTCAAATTTGACGTGAAATTGCGCGTCACGTCGGAAATAACGTGCATCTTAACCTCTCTAATAGAGAGGTTTCTATTTCTCATCAGCCAAAATTTGTTGATTTACAGTATGAGATAAAAAGAAAAGAAGGAGCAAACCAAAAGAAGATGATTATTAGAGAAATAACAATCCGCAATAAATTCTGCAAATACTTTTGCCTCAGTTCTTATAACATGTACGATGAGCTAGGCAAAAAAGCATAAAAGCATAGCGTAGGGCCCTGAGCTTCCAAGCTCTCTCGTTTGGTATTTGTTTGTTTGTGTGTTTGTTTGTTTGTTTGTGTCACGCCTGGCGCTATCCCGTATCTGTCCCGTATCTGTCCCGTATCTGTGACTACAAAGGCTCTACAGGATTGTACATAACAGCTGTCCACAATATTTGCGGGCTCCTGTATCTGTCCCGTACCGTACCAATATTCGTCGCATTATGTATACGACTCCCTGATGTAGAGGGAGATTTGGAAAGAAATAGGGAGACGAGGAGGAAATGAAATTAGAATAGACGCCGAATAGGTGATAGGATGCGTCAGCATAAACATACATGTACTTTGGAAGAGAGATCCCGTCGTCTCCAAAATAAGCGTGAACGAGCGATTCAGCGCTGGTCACAGGAAACGTCGGAAGAGAGATCCCGTCGACTCCAGAACCCCCGTGATCCGCAGAGTCCGCCGGTCCCAGGCAACGTCAGGACAGACATCCCGTTGAGTCCAGAACGCCCGTGATCGGCAGAGTCTAAGCCGGTCCCAGGAAACGTCAGGACAGACATCCCGTCGAGTCCAGAACGCCCGTGATCGGCAGAGTCAGCGCCGGTCCCAGTGAACGTCAGGACAGACATCCCGTCAACGCGCAGAAAAACTAAATCTGCAGCCTCTTTTGCCGTCGGACAGGATACGTATTATAGGAGACTGTAAAGTTATGTAATGTCCAAATTTCCACGTGAGCAGCAGGTCACTCGCGTTGATTTTTCGATGTGCGAGCCAAATAACGCGAGCTGAACTTTCGCGTCGCAGACATCCGGTCGACGCGCAGAAAAACTAAATCTGCAGACTCTTTTGCCGTCGGACAGGATACGTATTTTAGGAGACTGCTAAGTTATGTAATGTGCTCCACAGGCAACCATGCATTCGGCGTCGTCATTGGCTCAACAGGTCAATGTACATGTATTACTACAAAAAGGCCAGAAAATCCGATTACTGTATTAAAATCAACTAATTTTCGCTGGCGATTTAATTTCGCTGATTTCGCCGCTTGGTACCAACCGGCCAAAGTAAATCGCAGGCCAAAGTTTGTCATATAGGCAAATGATGCATGATTGAGCAATGGATGCATGTGAGAGCAAAAATACCTATCGATTTCAAATTTGACGTGAAATTGCGCGTCACGTCGGAAATAACGTGCATCTTAACCTCTCTAATAGAGAGGTTTCTATTTCTCATCGGCCAAAATTTGTTGATTTACAGTATAAGGAGATAAAAAGAAAAGAAGGAGCAAACCAAAAGTAGATGATTATTAGAGAAATAACAATCCGCAATAAATTCTGAAAATACTTTTGCCTCAGTTCTTATAACATGTACGATGAGCTAGGCAAAAAAGCATAGCGTAGGGCCCTGAGCTTCCAAGCTCTCGCGTTTGGTATTTGTGTGTTTGTGTGTTTGTTTGTGTCACGCCTGGCGCTATCCCGTATCTGACGGCAAAAAAATCATAGGGATGTTATAAATTTTTCAATTCTCCTATTTTTTCAGGCATATCCTGGGATTCGAACCCGCACTATCGCCCTACATGCATTCCCCCATACACTTCGCATTCATACCCATTCTTCCAAGTTGCTTCACGTTATGATCTTGCGTTTGAAAGCCCTATTTGAATATTGCGGGCAGCTGTATGTGGCCAGCTGTGTTTGATGGTACGGTACGGGAGACGGTGTCGTATTACCCTCGATCGTACCTGTCCCGTACCTATCCCTACCGTACCGTACCATCAAAGACGGCTGGCCACAATGCATATTCAAATAGGGCTTTCAAATGCAAGATCATAACGTGAAGCAACTTGGAAGAATGGGTATGAATGCGAAGTGTATGGGGGAATGCATGTAGGGCGATAGTGCGGGTTCGAATCCCAGGTTATGTCTTAAAAAAAAGGAATTTTTTAAAGAATTTATAACATCCCTATGCTTTTTTTTGTCTAGGTCATCAAGGCAAAAAAGCATAGTGTAAGGCCCTGAGCTTCCAAGCTCTCTCGTTTCACTCAGGGCTCTACACTATGCTTTTTTGCCTAGCTCATCATGAATTTTGTTCGAACAGATGGAAACTTTTTGCAATACAATGATGTAGCCGATCAGTTCGTTATGGTGTGGTTGGGAATTGTAGCCATTATTATTTTTCCGGTTTTAGAGTTCGTATCGGAGCAGTCGTTCTGCAATTCAAAGCGAGCCATCATGGTCGACGTAAAACATTATTTACATACACAAGCTCGGGGAGTCTCTCTGTCCCATAAACTGCCACATACCAACTAAATACAAAACCATACACTTAACAGGAGCTGACTTGCACGCGTGGCCCTTTTCACGAACCCAGACAAAGGGATTGGTCTATCATAACGCATGTACATAGTCACTAGATTACACCCGGACCAGAGATGAAGGCAACAGCGCCAGACATCAATACGGTGTTGTACGGTATAAGGATGTCGTATAGCATGTTGTACAACAGTACGATGAAATTGTGGAAGAAACCAGCGACCGCTTGGGAGCGATGAACATTACAACAGTCTTGTTGTGAGTGATAGTCAGGCCAAGTTTCTGAAGATCAGTTGCGAGTGCTATCCCGAGCATTATGTTAGCATTACGAAAGCATAGACAGTATGCGTATTACAGGAGGCCCAAGTTGCTGAAGACCAGTAGTCATTGCTGATAACGTGCAGAAAAACTATATCTGCAGCCTCTTTTGCTGTCGGACAGGATGCGTATTATAGGAGACTGTAAAGTTATGTAATGTGCTCCACAGGCAACCATGCATTCGGCCGTCAGCAACAGTTAAGCACAAGCACGCTATGAAGGCAAGGACATTATTGTATTGTATCGTACTGTATGGAATATAATTTTACCCGTTGGTTCAACAGGTCAATGTATTACTACAAAAAGGCCAGAAAATCCGATTATAAGGAGATAAAAAGGAAAAGAAGGAGCAAACAAAAGTGAATGAAGTGAGAGAAAATAACAATCCGCAATAAATTCTGCAATTACTTTTACCTAACTCATATTCAAACTGATTGAAACGTTTTGCAATGCAATGATGTAGCCAATCAAAGGAAAAAAACATTTCCATCAGTTCTAATAACATGCATGATGAGCTAGGCACAAAAAGCATAGCTTAGGGCCCTGAGCTTCCAAGCTCTCTCGTTGCTTTTATACGACTTTTGCCTCATCGATTCTTTGTTTCTTGTTACTGAATATGCAGCCTGTATGATTTCTGGACATGAGTGCGGAGACACACATTTAGGTCAATTGCATCTTAGTGTCTCTATTGTTGCCTTTGTCATTGTACCTGCATATCCTGTCCCTACCGTTGCCCCGTCTTCTTCTGTGTCAACTTCATCCAGCCATTATTGAGAGTCTCGATGGTGCAATCCATTTCAGTTTGGGTGGATCTTTCAACAACGTCATTGCCCAGGTCGACCCAATCTTCTATCTCCTTCATTCATACAACGACAAGATCATGGCAACGTACCAAGCTAAGGGAGAAGAGTACCGAACAGGAGATGGCCTTTGGAACACTACACAGCCCTTATCAGGTTGGTGATTTCTGAAAACATTACTGGTTTTTTCATTACACCGAGTGAAATTCCTTGACTTTTGTTTGATTCCTCCGGGCTCTATTCTTTTTAATCAGCCCCTGTTTCCAATATTAGTATAATGCAAGAGAGCATGTCCGAGAAATGCAGACATAGAGGGCAAGTCAATCTCTCCGATTTCGTTCAAATATTGCAGGTAGTTTTCCTTTTGGGCCTACAACAACCATGCAAAAGGATTTGTTGCACAACTTAAGGACACCTGGGAACTAAGGAAAACCTGGAGAACACGCACCAACCGTCGCGTGACAGGCAGAATGGTGAATTCGATTGCGGTTGTCGACAATCAAGACCCAGAGTCAAAATCAGACTACCACGTTGGTCAGCATCGCGATGTTTGCAATGATGACCATTGCTTACTAGGATGTAGACATGGCGATGGCTTGTTCTGTCGTGTACGCTATATCGGCCCTCGCTGTGGGCCCAGAAATCAATCTTTTTCGGCCCATTTCAAGATGATCCCCACAGCAGATAGTGGTTAACCTAATAGGTCTTTTGCCAAATAAGACACGCAGTGACTTGGCGGGGCATGGCATGCGTACTGAATGCGTGACCCGGGCACACCATACATGCAGTCCATTCCTCCCAGCGCGAGCTCTTGTTTTGGAACCGCAACGATCAATCACCGCGTTTGGCGTGTACTCGCCCACGTGTAAATGTGACTTTTCCTTCTATTTTTGTTCGTGCCTTTACTTTCAGAAACTAACTTCTTCAAGCGATCGCGCTCGACATTTTAGAAGATAAAAGAACAGCCGCTGGAGATTCTCCGCCTGGTTCTTGTAAAGTGTTCAGTTTTGTTATGTAGGACATCTTCCCAGCTTCTCTAGTCATGGGGAAAGGCGATCACTGCTGCGTTCCGCAGTGCAACAGCGACCGACGTTCGGACAAAAATACTTTGTTCCACGTCTTCCCTGGTAGCAAAGAAACAAAAACTGGAGAAGCTAGAAGCGTGAGCAGGGACGAGTTGGACACAAGGAAGTCTTGGATTGCCGCCATCCGTCGAGATGAGAGGGACGGTGTGTTTACCATCATGTCGTACAGTACAGTGGTGTGTTCTAACCACTTCACAGACGAAGACTATGTCCAAGGGACAAAGAAGTCGGGCGCAAGGCTGAAATCTACTGCTGTTCCAAGCGTATTTGCATGGAAGAAGCCCACGAAGAGAAAGTCTCGCGAGCGTGGTGCTTCTCCTCCTCCTAAAGTAGCAAAGGAGCCCAAGTCAGACGCTGCAAAGCTGAAAGCCACGACGAAGGAAAATGCCAAGCAAAAAGACGAACTTGAAGAAGCACTGGCTGCTATCGACGATATCCAAGTCGACTTCAGCCTGAAGCTATTTTCTCTAGCTCGGTTTGAAGACTCTGACTCCGATATGCAGTACTACACTGGGTTTCCTTCACTTGCTGCATTTGATGCATGTGAACAATTTCTTCACCTGGATGATAAGAGCGTCATTTCCTTTCGCAGCAAACCCTTGGATGCCGACTCACGGAAAAGGAAACCCGGTGCTGGACGGAAGAGCAAGTTGGCTTGGAGAGAGAAGTTTTTCCTTACCATGGTTCGTCTTCGCCGGGGCACAGACATCCGAATGCTGGCTGATCTGTACTTGATAGATACTGGGACTGTGAGTCGTATCATCACAACAATGGTCAACTACATGTACCTGCGACTGGGAATGATACCAATCTGGCCGCGTCCTTCCCAAGGGTCAGAACGATTGCCAGATGTGTTCAAGGACCTGTATCCGACAACATTCTTGATCATTGATGCCACAGAGCTAAAATGCGAAGTTACGTCCAGTCTGCCTGCACAGTCCCAACTGTACAGCTCGTACAAGACACATACCACCTTGAAGGGCCTCATCGGTATGACCCCAGATGGTGCTGTGGCGTTCATCTCCGAGTTGTTCACTGGATCTATCAGTGACCGCGAGCTTACGATCAGAAGCCACTTCCTAGATCTTCTCCCAGCAGCCGGCTATGGGACATCGATTATGGCAGATAAAGGATTCGACATCCAGGATCTTTTAGTGCCGTATGGCGTCAAGTTGAACATTCCCCTGTTCAAGCGATCAGGACACCAGATGGCCCTAGAAGACGTTCAGAAAACGCAACAAATCGCCAAGTTACGAATTCATGTTGAGCGTCTGATGGAGCGGATCAAGGAGTTCAACATCTTTTCCAAGATTGTTCCAACAACTCTTTTCCCCATCATCAATCAGATATGGACAGTCTGTTGCCTTCTCACATTGTTCCAGGCTCCTTTACTTGCTGATGCAAATTAAGTTATCCATGCCAACTGTTGCTAGCATTGCATGGCGAATTAATCTTCAGCAACACGAATTTCGTCATGCCTGAACAGTCATGCACAATCATATTACTGAGCAGATAATGACTTCCTCTGTACAAAATTTGATACGATATAATTTTGATTGCAATATTTACATAAGTTCAATGAATAAAGTTAGTCTTGCCGGTATTGTTATTACGGTCACAACGGACCTACAACGGCGAATATATTATACATGTATTGTACAACCATACGCATGAAGTTGAAATGATTCGAATCTTGCAGGTTCCTTTCAGTTTGAGGCCTAATTACATGCTATTGCATTTGATCTGTATTTTACGATTTCAACCCATTACAAGATTACCATGTATAACTGGGAAGAAAAGAATGAAATGTAATAATAATGATTCAAGTGCACAAACAGCTGCCAGGCAATGTTCTCAATCATCCTGGAAAACCTGGCCGGCAGAGATTTCCGTGGCCTTTTTCAGATGGGATGAGCAGAACTGTAGCAGGCGTGGAAGTAGATCCTTCTTCCAAAATTCATCGTCGAACAAGATGCGTTCAACGGAAAGTCGACGAGGCCCAGTCCAGATGACAAAGTCACACCAAGATAAGCCAGACACACCAAGTTGCCCTTGAACTTGGTAGTAGTACGCGTGACTAGCACGGAGTCGGGGTTGACCATTGACAAGCTCACAGCAGAAGTCTGGCAATGAACAGGCCTCAGCAGGGGTTAAGTCATCGCCATAAGCGGTGTGCGGACACTTTATCTCCAGCAAACCATTTGGATCGGCTGGACAGGACCCATCATAGACTTGGCCGTCAGGACAAGCACCAATGTACTGGTAAACAGGGTGGATGACCAGACCACATTGCCGCACCTCATAGTCCGCGTTGCACATTGTTTGCTTGCTTGCCAAATAATCCCTTCTGGCCAAATCCTCACAGGCTCTTCCATGAGAAACCGCTCCAACTCGAGACAAATCCTTGTCCTGAAAGAGGCTCGTCACGAATGCATCTGTCACCTCCTTCCGGTGAGTTACGAGGTGGAAGCGTGAAGAAGTCAGGGTGATTCTCCTCAGTCTTTTCCACAATTCACTGCTACCCTGACTACGAGTGAGCCGCTCGATGGCTATGGTTTTGCTATGGAGTAGCGGTCGTGCAAACTCATCACCTTCCCTAGCAGACTTCGGCAGTGGTAAATCACAGAAGTCCTGGCTGGTAGAACACTCAGCGCCAGCAGGTTGTTGGCTGGCAGGTGATTCTGAGGTGGTGTTTCGATCATCACTTGCTGTTTGCGAGCTGCACGCTGCCAGCTGCGGTTGGTCCGCTATCGCCACAAATGGTCGCTTTCTAGCTGGAGGCACATCAACTTTATCCCCCTCGAGCTGGTGGTAACACAGCACTGAGCCGAATGGGACAGCGCCCACCTTGGACTGACACTGGTGCACCTCCTCTCCACGCGACAGCAAAGTTGCAATGGGGTACCTGCGGCCGGTTGCGGTGATCTCATCCAGCAGGCGATCAAGTTCCTCACACTTAATCTCTTTGGTTGAAGGACCTCTCGCCTCATAGAGTGAGGATGCTCGCCGGACACTCTGAATGTCATCCATATTCTTCGACGGATCCGCTTTTTCAATTACGAGTGAAGAAACTGGCTGTGCGACAACTTGACGAGGCCGAGGACCCCAAGCCTGCTTCTCAGTTGTGCAAGTCTGCTCTGCTGGTACATCCTGCTGCTTCTTCGCACAGTGCTCGATGCTTAGGAGCAGTGCGACGAGATGATGGCACGAGCCAGCAACTCCAGCAGTGCAAGAGCAGTGTGCATAAACGATAGACATCAGGTAAGTTGTAGCAGCTGCTTCAACTAAACACTCAAGTGCATAACTTTCTTTCTTGGACTGGGACGCCCAGCACTTGGCTTTGATGAAGTATCTGGTCGGGGTCTCAGTAGACATTGCAATCTTGCAACAGCTCACAGAATGTATGTAACTCCAGAAGAAGAAGTTGAATCCACGGGTGAAGGGTTTTTTCACGGTAGCATGCTTGCCGCAGGCTCGGAGGTGATCGAAAATCACACCAAGCGATAGGTCATTTGGCAAAGCAGAGCTTGATGTGTCCCACCCTGTGTCAGGAAAACTAGGACGAGATATAGCTGCTACAGTGGACGAGGTGCTTATTGCATCACTATGTGCTTCCACGAGCTCAGCGTCAACAATGCTCTGAATGGCAGCACTCTTCCGTTTTCCTTGCCGACGCCTGCCGCCAGATGTATCTGGAGTGCACAGTTTTGGATCGTTGTGGTAGAACCTGGCCCTGAACAGATGGAGGAAGTTGGAAAGCAAAAACATGTACCGATAAAATTTTCTTTTCCTTTTGTGAAAAGTTATTTGAAGACTGCATCCCGAAGTGGTACTTACCGTTCGAGCAACTCATCTCGTTTCCCGGACACTCGGGCTCCTCTAGCTCGCAGGTACGTCTTCAATTGGTTGACCGTCCATTTTTCAAACGACTCGTTGTCCGGAGGCATCACAAACCGAACATTGGGATCTTCAATTTCATTTTCAGCCACAGGACTAGTTGCAACGTTCCCTTCATCGCAACGTATCGCGGCAAGAGAAGAAGGGCTCGGCTCATGGCCCGCTTCGTCAGCCATGTTACATGATATCAAACTCACTGCAAAGGCCCAGCGAGAAGTAAATCACAAAGAGATACTTTCTAAACAAACAGCGGACAGCGTTGAAAAGCGAGAATAAAACAGAAACCCTTCGCTGTCATTTTTTTCGATCCAGGAGAGCCACATTTTTCTGGCCAAGTGGGCGAGTACACGCCAAACGCGGTGATTGATCGTTGCGGTTCCAAAACAAGAGCTCGCGCTGGGAGGAATGCACTGCATGTATGGCGTGCCTGGGTCACGCATTCAGTACGCATGCCATGCCCCGCCAAGTCACTGCGTGTCTTATTTGGCAAAAGACCTATTTTCTGACAATTCACCCATTGTATTTTGCTCATTTTCCCCATGCAGTGTTTGACTGGTTCAGAATGGATGACTTCCTAGACATCATGAATTTGCCAGGTGGTGTTTGCACTCGATATGGCGCATCACGGCCAAGGGAGGAGGCTATCAGAATGAAGAGCTACGCGTCACTGGAATTGCCGAGGGATGACCACATATATGTTCCATATGAGGTGTGCCCAGTGATTGGTTATTAAAATATGACCAAGGAATGAAATTCTATCCCATTAGGATTGTTCGCATTGCATGGTAGTACAGTAAAACCTGTAACTAAAGACCACCGTGACTAGCGACCACCGTGACTAGCGACCACCGTGACTAGCGACCACCGTGACTAGCGACCACCGTGACTAGCGACCACCGTGACTAGCGACCACCGTGACTAGCGACCACCGTGACTAGCGACCACCGTGACTAGCGACCACCGTGACTAGCGACCACCGTGACTAGCGACCACCGTGACTAGCGACCACCGTGACTAGCGACCACCGTGACTAGCGACCACCGTGACTAGCGACCACCGTGACTAGCGACCACCGTGACTAGCGACCACCGTGACTAGCGACCACCGTGACTAGCGACCACCGTGACTAGCGACCACCGTGACTAGCGACCACCGTGACTAGCGACCACCGTGACTAGCGACCAGCCTGGTACTACCGACCACTTCGCCAGGCACGGACAATCTCACATTCAAAATGCACTGTGACTAGCGACTACCTGCTGAACGCGACCAGCGACCGCCTTTTCTTGTCCCAAAGACGATTTTTGACCCGTAACTAGCGACCGCGATGTAGGAAATCAAAAGTTGCGCGAAGCTCCTTCTTGACATTTTGATGATTTTCCGTGGACCTGAAAGGCATCTTTCGATACTACAGCTGAAGAAATGAACGCAGGCCATTTTTGACTGTGGAGTCGGTGTGGACTTCACTACACCTGTCAGAATTTCAAGCGCTGCCAAGAACAGATATGATAGGAAACGTCTTGGAGAGCGTATCTAAAGCGCTCTCTGATCGATGTTACTACTCGGAGGAGAAATGAAGACTGAGCGGCTCTGTCACCCCAGTCAGTCACGGACGAATCGACGAATGCATCAAGGAATCCAGAAACAAAGCAGCACCGCAAGGTCCTGATGCTGGAGAATTGCGTTCAAGCAATCGAGAAGTCGCAACAAGGACAGTCGGTACGATTGATCGCATGAACAAATTTGAAGCCCAGCGCAAAACGAAACTTCCACAGGGAACGTTTGACTCCTGGCTTCAGAAGTAGGAGCTGAATTTGATGTCTGCAAAAAAAATTAATCTTCTCTGTCTCTCTCCATCTCTCCGTCTTTCTCTCCAAGTGTTGTTTGACCTGAAATAAGAATGGCATTGCGCAAGTCTTGGGGAATTGTATTAGCTGCATTTTGATATACATAATTATCATATAATGGGATCCATATATGGTCGCGCGGTGCAAACCTCTAACTAAAGACCACCTGCTGCTAAAGACCGCTTTTGCTGGCACCAAGGGGTGGTCGGTAGTCACAGGTTTTAATGTATGTTGATAGTATGTTGCGACTATCATGCCAACCACCCACTCCCCATAATAGCAGCATAACGATTGCCGTGTCCGAATTTTGTGCAAATGCGTTGCTTGGTGTTGCATTCAGCATACATCGGAAGAGCAAAATATACCTTCTGATTGTGACAAATGGAAAGCACTGTCATGCTTCTTTCCTGTGCTCATATCAGGTTTTGAGGGAGATGGATGCAGACCCGGTTGTAACCTCTTTGACTGCAGATCTTGCCAAATTTGACAAAGCCCATTACAGATCCTTTCGTTGGACTGAAGAAGGATTTCATCTTGATAAAGATTGGTGAGTACAGTTTGGTTTCAAGATTGGGTGGGCTACGTCAAGCAATTTGCATTTTTGTCTTGAACTTAAGGGCTCAAAAAGAACTGTTCTCCCCAAGAATATTCATGACTTCCGGCCAATGCTACTGGTGCTCGAGTCCCATGCCTACTTTGGATGCATGGTCTGCGTTTCGGGAGAACAATCCCACTTTTACAGTACTCCATACGATGCGGAGGGGAATAAATGCATGCTATGAAATGCATCTTACTGGTAGCAATTTAGCCGAGGGGGTGGGACATCATTTTCCTCTACGTATTATGGTCTGGAAACTATAGTAGTCAATATCGTTTCTAAGTTTTCACATTTGTTGCACTCATTTTCACTGTAGTTCCTGTTTTCGTGCTAGTTTGGTTTTGGTTCTTGATAGTGGCTGCTGTGCACAAGGCCAGCTTTGAAAGACTTAGTTTCTAAGGGTTTTTTTGCAAAGTGCTTTGCTACTCAATGCACCTTCCTACGCCACACAAACTCCTAAAGTACCCATGTCCAAAGAGGAAGTAAGCAAAGCAAAGCAACTGTGCACTTGCTGGTGTTCGTCGCCCCAGTATGCTGGCGTGCAACTCCATGCCTTTGCTGATGCTCATCGCCGCGGTATGCTGGAGTGCAACTCCCTCAAAGCGCAATCCTGGAGTGTACGACTCCTTGGCATTCGCCTAGCTGAGTACAATCTGTACAAATCTTTATAGGGAAATGTTCAACCCAGCGTTCAATTGTTGCTAGGAGGAATTCCCATGTCGCATTGCGAAAGTTTAGCTAACCTCAATTTCTGCAATCAGGTAGTTGTGATTGTTGCAGATGCTGCACAGGGTGTTCGATTTGGGGTTTCCTTGGTTTTCCGCCTTCGAATCGTATCTGCGAAATACTTGTGTGGATGTCGCCCTGGCTAGCATGCAAACCAACCCGAGTGAGGTGTGGTACACTTGCCCACTACAGCTTCAAAATGTGGTCTTGTGCCATTCAATTTGAAACTACTGTGTTTGCCGACAGGAGGAACGATTTCCTTACCGTGAACTTCTTTCCCTTGAAGCACGACAGTGCGGTGGACCTTTGCAGCACCTATGCTAAGGAAGCAGCCAATTTCAGGAACTACACTGGTTCTGCCGCCAGCCAAATGCTGATTGGCTAAACAGGGAAGGCTCGTGCTACATGTTAAAATTTGGTAGCAGCCTCACCTGCTCTTTTTTTTCCTTTCTCACTACTTCGGTGTTGAATCTTAACAATACTCCCTGTTAATAATTTTTCTTTGGGTGCTTCGGTGAATTTTTGCAGAAAGCTGTGTTTTGGTCTGCTTGTTTCCCTTTTAACAGAACCGATTTTTGCACTTCTGCACAACATTTCTAAGCTGTTTGTGTTCAAAATTGCATTTTTTCTGCTTTAATCGATAAGATTCTCTAACTCCCTCAATGTAATTAAAATACATACAATTCTTTCCTACTCATGGCTTTCTACATGATGCATACTGCTTCACGTGACTTGAAATGAGCATTACTATTTCGAGTTAAAATTTACAATGATGACCCATTATCAACAATAAAACTACTAGAACATATCTCTCCTACACTTACTTGACTCCCGAATCCACAAAAAAGTGAGAGCAAAATTGAGTGCGCTAGGCAAAGAAAGAACATTGCGTTCCCTACACTTGACTCCCAAATCCCCAAACAGTGTACTTGCGCTAGGGAAAGAAAGAACATTGCGTTTGTCACAATTCCACCAATCCTATATCTCCTAAACATAGAAATGCCAAAAGGGGAAGAAGTAAGGCAATCAAAAACCCAAAATATTGAAGAATTGTTGTGCAGAGATGCTAATAATTCTGGCAGAAATCTTCGCTAGGCAAATAGCAGGAGAAGAACAGCCTACTCTAAATAACACTCAGTGACTCAGTGACTCTGCACAACAGCAACTGAAATGCAAATATCGACAAGACGGGGGGGGGGGGGGGGTCGAGTGGAAACAAATGGAACATTGGCTTATTGAATAATTCAATAGTAAAAGTTGCAATATTCCACTGACAAAGTGTGGATAGCAAAATGACCTAAAGGGCCGGCATCCACTCATTTAACAATGTAGACTCTTGAAAGAGGTGTTGAGTTGTCGAGGCTTGTCATATTATAATTCTTCCCTGTTTAGCCAATCAGCATTTTGCTAGCAGCAGAGCCAGTGTAGTTCCTGAAATCGGCTGCTTCTCTAGCGTACAGGTTGCACTTCTCTACAGCATCATCTTCTTTCAAGGAAAAGAAATTAACAGTGTGGAAATCCTTCCTCCTGTTGGCAAAATACAGTAGAGAGTCAAATTCCGTTATTACACCAGGACACCGGAGCCACGGCGACAACATGTAGGAGTTTGAACAACAATTTCATGTGACAATCGTCATGCACGATATGACACCGAGGACTGAACTATGCACACACTGCACATGAAAGTCTACTGGGTAAGCCGTCACTCTGCACACACTGAACAAGTAAATGTGAACACGTCACTGTTTGCATATGGTGGGAAAGAGCTTTGCACCTTCGTATTTAAAACGAAAATGCAAGAGGTCTGACTTTTGCTTCAAAGTTGTTAGCCTTGTAAAAATTCAAATACTCAGGTGCATGGTTTACGACTCTCTTGTCTTGAGAAGGTGACCATTCAATATAGAAAAGTCAAAATACTTTACCAACAAATGATTGTGATTACAACTAATCTCATGTAATACTTCTTTCCTTTCTGCCTCATCCTGTGAGAGGGTGGGCAATTCTCTTGTCCATGCAAGAAAGCAGCAATGCCTGTTCATTCTGGCAAAGTTTTAAGTAAAAAATACTTTGAAGTACCAAGTAAACAACCAATGAATAGGTGCATATATTCTCACGCTAGATAATGAGTGAAGGTTGAAGGCAGTGAGTTTGTGCCCTTCTCCAATCCACTTACCAGTCTTTGTCCAGATGAAAACCTTTCTCCGTCCAGCGAAATGATTTGTAACTTCTCTTCAAAAACTTGGAAAGATAGGGAGCATATTTTCCGAAGACTGAGTTCACATCCATTTCCCGTAGGACCTAAGAACGTCAAACAAAATAATACTACCTTTCTTTGTTCTGTGTCATCTTGCAAACTCTCAGAAGGCATTGCCAACAGTAATAGTGCGAGTCAATCATGTCTTTTGAACGTGCGAAGAAAATCTATCAATCCGTCACCTCAGTTCACTTTTGAAATACATGATGAATTTGCAATATTTGCCAGGCCAACTTTCCAATTGCTATTATAGCAGCAGCTATGCCATTTAGGGAGCACCACAGTTGTTATACACTACTCACTTCGTACGGTACATACAGATGGTCATCCCTTGGCAGCTCCAGAGCCAGGTAGTTCTTCATCCTGATGGCCTCTTCCCTGGGTCGTGATGCGCCGTATCGAGTACATACACCACCTGGCAAGTCCATGATGTCCAGGAAGTCATTCATCCTCAGCCAATTGAATACTATGCAGAGTCGAAAAGTTTTAAAAAAAACAACAAAAAGCAACAAAAACAAGACTTGGATTTAGATGAAGAGCCAAGGATTAAAGTGAAAAAGAAAGAAAGGTTAACAAGTTATCCGTTGTTTGTGTTTAACACTAACAAATATAAGCATGATACCGGTGAGTCAGAACCTGCAACGATTAGTACAACACTGACTGATGTGATACATCCAACGACCTAATGCTTAGCTACATCACGTCTAGAATGTGCAAACCAACAGCCGTCCAACTTAGAATGTTCTAAGTTATGAAATGACATAAGAAAGGGGAAGGTGAGCGCACTCAAGACGAAAACAAGCCAAACATCACAGCGAACTAAGAATGTTAGCTATGACAAAGTGATAACAAAGGACGAACGGCCACGGCGCAGGACACCGTGGATCATTTCGAGAATGCGGAACAACGACCACCCAACTTGGGAGGGTCATGCTATCGGAGAAAAGCAAAAAAGTGCCGTCCGGTCTGTCTCACTTCGTGTTCGCGTAACATCCCCCTATTTGGTTAGGCATGTGTTGCTACATGAGTGTTTCAAAAGGTAGCATGTACTATGCAAACATGTGCTATGCAAACAGGTACTAGCAATACATGTCATAATAGCGAGCACCAACCTGATAGGCGTTCTGTGGTATTCCATAGCCCATCTCCTGTCTTGTATCTCATGCCTTTTGCTTGAAAGGCAGCCATGAGCTTGTCATTGTATGCATGAATCAAATAGAAGATTGGGTCGACTTGAGCAAAGACGTTTGCAAAAGATCCACCCATCGAAACATGGATGGCACCATCGAGAACTTCGATGATACCTATTGGAAAAGAAAAAACAATTTTAAGAACACCCTGAGAGGAGCGATTAGTAATTAAGAAGACAGACTAGCATCATGGTATGGGGAATCATGATATAGGGTAGAACGAGGATAACCAGATTGACTTCACAACTGTGTGCATAGGATGTACTTTGTTTATGTAAAAATTGTACTTAGACTGTATTTGAATGATATTTCGAGTTGAGTGTATTTTCAGTACTTGAGCCTTAACACGAGAACACGAATTGAGTGGAATTTTTGGAAAAAATGAGATGGGGTGTTGAGACGATACCCACACGACTCCCACACAACTCGGGAAAAAGCTGAGCAAATAATATTCAATCTTCATGGATTCACGCTGATTTTTGGCCTCCAGAAGACCGTAATTGTCACGGAACGCAAGTACATGCGCTGCACGTCCAGCTATGCCATATATGTATCGATTTCCTTGCGGCCGAGACCCAGTGAAAACCAAACAAGACCACTCTACACTAGAAAATAGTTGCTAAACCCAGCTGAGCAGCGAAACAATTAGCAGAACCAAGACGCAGTCAAGCGAAGCAAGGTGATCTCCTTGGTCAAACTTTTGACAGGGTTTTCTGCACTGTACTTGTTTGTCTTGCAGCAAGGCTCATACTATATCATCTGATCCGTCATGGCACAGAACAAAACCACCAATAGGAGAAAATGTGGGTGACATCAAATTAATAAAAATTAAAATATATTTCACGGATCGCCCGAGACTCGGCTGGAAGCAGAGTTTTCCGCATCCGCCGTGGGAACGCCGTCACACTCCAGGATCAAAGGCGCAGATGCAGCGCCTAAACGGTGGGAGGTGAGTAGATCAGACCCACCACCAAGTGGTCAAAGACCGAAATCCCATTAGCTGCATCCATGGACGTCAAATTATGAAACAGAAAATTCTTCTTTGTAAACTAGTTCTTACCCAATAGAAGCTAGCATTCTTCTGGTGAATGCCCAGTAGCAATAGCAGAGTGTCAACAAGACAGGCAATTTTCTTACCGTCTTCAGCTAGTACGGATGTATTGGCATTAATAGCGGATATCATGACCTCAATAAGCTGCCAAGGGTATGGAGCAGTAGTATGCCATGGGCTTATGGGGTAGAATCCGACTTGTCTTTCGAGACAATTTGGGTAAGGGAGCGACCGTCCTTTGTAGAGGAACTTAGGTGGCTGATAAAAACCTGGACAGAACACACCACGCATCAATTGACACACATACATTGGCATGCATCATCATTAACTCAAGTGGGAGAGCTTGAGTGCTAATGTGCATGTGTACAAACAGGGCATACATAACTGATAGAAGTAATTCTCTTCTGCAGCTACCAAATATAAATTGATATCAATGTGATGAGATAATACCATCGGATACAAAGGATTGTTACAAACATAAGTATCATGTGTTTGAGAAACAAAGTTCCTGAACAAATTTCTTACCCTCGCCATACGGTGGTCCCTGAACACATTTCGAAGGTGGTACGCCGTTTCCGCCAAAGGTTCCAATAGTGAACATTCGCTGCTGTAGGAATGGAATGCCTTCATCGCGTCCAATATCCCAGTATGGTATCGTGACTTTGCAGTCAACAAGGCGGAGGAGATTCTCAAACGCCAGCAACGTCATTCGATGGAATGCCATGAGTGCATGGTGCAAGTCCGCACGCACAGGACGTATAACCATATTGCAACCCATGACAGGATGAAGCCATGTCAATGTTCTAAAGGCTTCCTTGTAGAGAGGGTCGTGCCACGCTTTCAGGAAGGCATTGCTATAGCGCTCAATGTCGGCCTGAATTAGAGTAACAGAGACAAACTTACACAACGGCTGATAAGTGTATGTCTCTGATTCTAGTACTAAGAGTTGGAGCCAAATCAGAGGATTTGGCGAAAATATAATTTCAAAGCCGGCTTCAAAGCTTGGTATGCTTAGTTGCTCAGTTCTTAAAATTGCTTTCTCTGACTTCATTTCAGGAGCTCAGAGACAAACATATATTTTTTAACGGTGGAGTGTGAGAAATTACACTTCATTACCGCCCACGTACAGAGCTTCATTGTAAAAGGTCTGGACATTTACTATCCAATTACCCACAGATTGTAGACAAGTGCACTGCCCCGAGAATGTTAGTCAAGTATTTCCTCCGTATACAAAAACTTCGTGACTTTTTTTAAGGCTGCGCACAGCTCTAGAATTGTTCCGTTTGACTTGGAATACACTCGTGGCATTGTCTAACCTGTTTACAAGCTATATACAAAGAAACAAGCAACTCAGACGAATGAGATTGAGTTTATTCAGAGTCTTCGTCGCTCCTGTCATTGTCATCTGACGACGCCGCCGCCGCATCGTCAAAAGTTGCTGCTTCCGTTCGCATTTCGTTCAGATTCTTTTCAGCTGCAGTGATGATCCGACGCGGGACTTTGCCTACGTCCTCTTCATCTCCAGAGCTGTGTACGAATCCGTGTCGACTATATTCAGTCGGTCTAACCCGCGACCTCGATTATGCCGTGAAACGAGTTGCTCAAGCACATCCACACGCTTCGCATTCTCTCGGCAGGATAATCCTCCCAGCATTCTACAACGGCTTCGAGGAGTTCCCTGCGATTCCCCTCCGCAACGACGAAGACGTCTGACTGGAGAGAGGCGAAGAAAGCCAGGTCGTCAACATTCTGATCTGGAGTCTGTACTGGTTGCACGACGACTGAAATGTTTCATCTTGCCGTGCGAGCGGAACCAATTTATGTTCTCACGCTGCGTATGGGACCACGCACCGCAAGTACGAGCCTGGCCAGTTTCAGGGCAGCGAGTGCCGCGTGATTCCGTGTTCCAGCCGCGAGCTCCACTTCGTCAGTTTCGAGCAAGTAAGTTTTTTCATTTGACTCGTGAGTTCCTGTCGGCAACGTCCTCACACGCATGGCTTCCGTGGAGAATCTGTTTGGGATCAACCAAACCTACCTCAACATGAATGTGGGTTATCGATGACAGCCTTTGGCACGGTTCGTTGAGCAGGTTCTTGCCCAAAAACACTGTAGAAAAAAGTCACGAAGTTTTTCTATACAGAGGAAGTACATGTACCACAAGGCTAGCATTTACCTTAGCCATGGAATCGAAACTCTTGCGTACGCGACAGCACTTCATTCTTCCTTCAACACATCTGCAATCCAGTCCGCAATTCTCAGTTATGAAGGTCTCAGTGATGTTACATTCTGCATTCACATCAGGAGAAAATGACAAGTGCAAAGTATCCAATCATGACATTAGTACTTTGGAATGCTATAAAACAGAGAGGTTCCAGGCTGTCCAAGAAGGGTGCTCAATACCGAAAAGGCAGAGATACATGCAGTTCCAACAAGAACAAGAGGATGAAAAAGGTGTTTTTACTCCGTGTTTAAAGGGGAAGTTAAGGCAAGAATTAAAATTTCACCAGTTGTAGTCTTCGGGGTGCTGAGTCGAATGGTCTTGGTCCGAGGAAGCTGAAACGCTCCCTTCCTACTTGAATCCCAATCGAACTCGCGCACTTCCACCGAAACTGGGTGACTGCGCCCTACTAGATGGGGATTTGTATGCAAAATGTCACTAAAAGCGCCATTTCGTTCTTATAAAAGCACGGATGACCGCGATTGGCCCATATGTTGTAGTCTTTTGGAAGCTGAGTCGACTGGTTTTGGTCCGAAAAGGCTGCGATGCAGCGTTCCTCCTTTATTCCCAATCGAACATGGTTGAAGAAGCGGTCACGTGGTCCTGGGTGCCCAAATCACCTGGTCACCACGCCAGCAGGTGACAACTTTCACACCAAGGTTCAACTCGAGTTCAACTCGAGTGACAGGAGTGCACCCAAAAAGGTCAAAGTTGTACCCTGCAGGCACGGTGACCAGGTGACTGGTGTACGCAGGAGCACGTGACCGCTTCTTCAACCATGTTCGATTGGGAATAAAGGAGGAACGCCGCATCGCAGCCTTTTCGGACCAAACCCAGTCGACTCAGCGTCCAAAAGACTACAACATATGGGCCAATCGCGGTCATCCGTGCTTTTATAAGAACGAAATGGCGCTTTTAGTGACATTTTGCATACAAATCCCCATCTAGTAGGGCGCAGTCACCCAGTTTCAGTGGAAGTGCGCGAGTTCGACTGGGATTCAAGTAGGAAGGGAGCGTCTCAGCTTCCTCGGACCACGACCATTCGACTCAGCACCCCGAAGACTACAACTGGTGAAATTTTAATTTTTGCCTTAACTTCCCCTTTAACTCTGCATCAAGCATAAATGTAGGACTCAGTATAGAGTCCATGCACTATATGATGTCCAGCACCCTATATAGAGTCCATTGGTCCAAAATCCACTACACAGAGTCCAGGAGTCCACTCAGTTTTGATCAGCTTCATCCTGCTGCGCAATCCCCTATAAGGAGTACACTTGTTCTACAAGTCCCCTATTCACGGTCCAGGAGTCCAGTTTATCCAGTTACGCCGTCCTGTGTGTTGTGCCCACAAGAGAACAAACACCTTTTCAGTTTTGCTTGCCTCGTGGCAGCGCATTCCTTTCTTCACTTCAGCCATGGCTGCCAGTTCTGCTGTGCAGTTGCTGACAGTAATCTGTCTCGAGGTAACCAAGGAGGATAAGGAGACGTTCAAAATCAAATCTGGAAAGCGTCTTGTGGTTCTCTGAAGACGTTTCATCAGTGCGCGGGATGAAAGCAGAAATTGCAGAACGAGAAAAGTTCAGCACAGTTCAAATCTGACGGGTCAGGTACACTGACACTCTCTTTCGTTCGACGCCACAAGGATCCCCTGTTTGGCTGGCCATTGCTGCCAGTAAGACGTTTGAACGGTTTCGAATTTCATCAGAGCGAGGGATGAAAGCAGAAAGCGGAGAACGAGAAAAGTTCAGCACAGTTCCAATCTGATGAGTCAGATACACTGACACTCTCTTTCGTTCGACGCCACAAGGATTCCCTGTTTGACTGGACAAGAGCTGCCTGTAACACCGTGTCAAAAGGCTGTCCAACTACATGGCAGGACGATGACTGAGGTACGGAAGCTTTTGCTCGTTTCGATTGGTCTGCTGTTCTGTCGTTATGCTTGAATTTTTTTCCATTTTCAAGGAGCGTATCGCGTTTGTTTGATGTTGCTTGAATGACTGCCCTAAAAGTAATCAACCACTTCGTAATAGTCCTCAAGGACTGCAAGGACTTTGCATCAATCGTATCCGATCGTCTAGCTATCATCAATTATTGTTTTATTTCATGAGAAATGTATTTTTATCCCTATGATAATTATGTGAACTCCACGACACTCTTCCAGTACTATGCTCTAATATGATGTCAAATACAATGTCAATGGGATCCATAAACGCAGTGCCAGTGTACTAGTAGTAGTAGGATTATTTCTTGTATGCCGATGACAAGAAAAAGCTTCAAGCTAATACATGTACTTGTATTCCATGAAGTAACCGTTTTGATGTCACAAACATGACACTGTGTCAGTGAAACTGCCTCGTGACAACAAATCATTGCATTTCCATCTTGGGGAAGACTGACTGACGGCAACGCTGTACAGATTGTTCAAATAATCTCATTTCAATTTAGTTGCAATGAAGTAAAACACTGTGTACACTACATGATTGTATTGTTGTGTGTCTGTGCGTCTTGAGTGTGCACAAACGATCTTATTCCTCGTATTACTAATAGATTATTGTCCCCACCGTCACCTGTTCACAGGTCTTTGAGTGGATGGATTTCATTGAGCATCACATTCGTTGAGAACTTGGTAGTTGTGTGCTCCCATGCATCATTACGGTAATAAGCGTATCCTTGTGCTACCTATTTGTTGCAGGTGTCCTGATCTTCAGAAGCTTGCGGAACTGAGTGCTGCTGAACATTTGCATGGCCATGAGCAATGGTGAAGCTTGCTATTGCAGTCTCAGCATGTGCTAGTATTATGCTGACTACTGCACTATGTTACTCTCTTACACGTGCGTGCATCCGCCCACGTACGCATTCGTTTCGCATAATTATTTGTTATCCCTCTCGACTTAAGGCCGCACGTTTTTATTTCTATGTTTCTCGTCACCTGAAAATCTAAAAATGTATGCGAGAGGTGGAAAAAATAATAGATGACCGAAAAATAAAAAAAGTTTATTAGACCTTTGATCACATTAAAATCCACCAATGCACCATGAAAAATAGCATCCATAGTTAGCAACTAGTATGTGGTAGGAGCTTCTGTCACAATCTGTGCATGTGCAGCTAGATTGCTCACAAAAAATGCCGTCCTTGCATCATGTGTCGCGCAGGCCAGGCCACATTATGTACATGTGCATGAGTGTGCTGGTCCCCACATGCACAGTCAGTGCAGCACAGTTTTTTTCTTCCAGACTCCTGAATCGTATGCGCGCGGGTGACGAGAAACATAGAAATAAAAACGTGTGGCCTTACGTGTAAATGGTTGGACGTTTGCATGGCTGTTGGAGTTGCGTGTGTATTGTGTCTCTACTCTTTTCTTGGCGTTGTATAAGTTTGTGTGTGTGTGTGTGTGCGCGCGCACACTAATTTGAAAACAAATAATTAATCCCTGGCTCTCCATTATTCTCTTTCGATTCATGGTTTTTTTCTAGGTATTTTCTTGGCGTTGTGTGGGTGTGTGCATGTGTGTGTGCGTGCACAATATTTTGGCAACACAACATGATCGAGATAATATATATTATCGTAATTTGCAGCGTCTGCGAAGAGACCACTTGATTCGAGGATGGTGTTTGTAGGGTTTTTCATGTAATGAAGTGGCTGCAGTGGCGCCTCAATACTTATTTTTAATCTTGAGAAGTGAATGATGTAAAGGATTAAAGGGAGAGGCCGTTTCTGGTTAATATTCACTGCACAGCAGATCCTATGTATAATTTCGAACTCTGGGTAGGGGATGCCTAATTGGCTGGACTTTATTTTATTTATTTATTTATTTATTTATTTCTGCACCTCGTGGCATGTCAAGACAGCCATTTGAATTGAGGAGAGGGTGAGACCAACCACGGAAGAAGAGAAAAAAAGAAAATGAAGAGCACGTACACAAAGTGGGAAGGGATTAGCAACTTACAAAGCAATGGGATGCTCAGCGAGCTATGCAGCGGAAGTGGTGACTGTGACTTTGTTTACAGGGAGATACTGAAGTGCTGTCTGACGAGGGTACGGAATTTGGGCATATCTGGAGCTTGTCTAACACTGGGAGGCAGTTGGAGCCACGTGGAGTAGGAGGAAAAGAAAGGGGAATTTACGAATAGGGTAGACCTAGCTAGGGGGAGACGAACGCATCTTCGGGTGGTGCCACCTGAATTGAACCAATTAAGGGACTGTAAATGAGCAGGGTGCTGGTCAAGAAAAATTAAATGTGCCAGGGTGCACTTGGAAGCATCAAGGTTATGTTGCAGAGTGGTAGTGGATGCAGCAGCATACAAGTCTAGAGGGAGTATTGTCCACATAAAGACTCTTCACAGTTGATTTCAAAGTTTGGACTCCGTACAGTTGATTTTGGACCAATGGACACTATATAGGGGTGAAGCCAATTGGCTGGACTCTATACAGGGAGTGATGTCCATCTAAACTTTGAGATCACAGTTGATTCCAAGTTTGGACTCTGTACAGTGGATTTTGGACCAATGGACTGTATATAGGGGTTGGACATCATATAGGGGCTGGACGCTCTACTGAGTCCAACATACATGTATATAAAACAACAATGCGTTACATGGGCAGATTCCTGCAGAATGATGGATAAGAGACTATTATCCCAGTTGATGCTGGGAATAGCTACAAAGCCTTTAAAAAGCTGTAACTGCACTTGACTATGTCCTATGAACATATTATATATATTTATATTTATTACAACATCTCAAGACTCGGTGGAAACACCGGCCAATGTTAAGAGAGTGGGTGATTGCCAACCACGGCGATAAATAAAAGTAAGGGGAGGGAAAAAGAAGGAGTAGCAAAATGAACAGCAACAATATGTCGTAAGAGTTGAACATTGGAGAGGTTTTGCACAAAGTTTCTTCTGCGGAACGTGAAATTTAGTGCCGGAAATGTATTTGAACGCCGGATTCGAGCATGAGCCGAGTGTGGCACACATTCGAGTACAACGTTTGGAGAAATTCTCTATTGCCCAACTTTCCCTGTCCTGAAGATCACTGGAGATTTCCGTACAACTTGATTGGACTGATTTGCATTTTAAATGGAATCTACTGGGACAGATTGTAAAAGGCTCCACAGCCCAGTCCCAGTGGGTACCGGCAATAGTGTGAGCCAACCTTTCCCTAGATGAATTTAAGCCTGACGAGCAAATACTCTGATAGAAAAAAAGAAGTACAGTTGATTCTTGATATAACGTACACCATTGTGCGAGAGAATAATATGTTGTTTTACTGAAGTCTTGTTTATGGCCGAAGTTCATCATAACAGAATTGCACTCAAACCATGCAATACGTCATGACTCGCATGTGGCCAATGACAGTATGAATGCGCCTGGTTTACATGCAGATCTACAAGACTCTGGTTCGCGATATTACGAAATTCACCATGATTATGCGAGTTCGCTTTAAGCGGAGTCCACTGTATACTATTATCCCAATAATATTAGAAGGTGAAGCGTCCATACTTTTAGATGGGCGTGAAATATTAAATTTTACCAAATACCACTATTCAAGGGAAGTGCAGGCGAACGAAACCTATGATTGTTATTTCAGCAAGTAACATTGTTATAGAGCATTGTTATCTTCACACTTACCCCCACCATGTCTGGGTTGCCGGTGACCGTACCGTTCTTCGTAATCGACAGTCAGGTCCTTCAGGATCTTTACGTGCTCTTCGCTCAGTCCAGAAAGGATATCTTCGACTTCGTTGTACTTCTCTGACAGTGGTTTGGCCGTGCAGGAACTTAGGCACATGATAGCCAGCCAGGGCAGCAGTACTACAGCTGTCTTCAGCAACATTCCCATCTAAAAGCGAGGATAAACACGCTGAGCACTGTAGAGGGCAAGCAAGCCCAGCGATATTGTCGACTTTCGGAACAGCTGTTAGTGTTACTACACGTACAAGTAACTAACTAATTACTTACTTAGTTTCGAAGTGTTCCTGCAAAGAAAGCTAACCCCATGCCGGCCCAGGCAGCCAGAAGAGTTCTGTCTACCAAGGTCTACTCTACACTAAACTCGGGACTCCTCGTTATGTTCATGTACACAGTACAGGTGCGAAATGCGCGCCAGGCCGCCGACGGGAACTGGCAAGCCAGTGTGACTCAGCTCAACTACGTACATGTACAGTACATGCAGTATACTACCGGTAGTAGACGTGTAGTGAGAAAACTGTGTGGTCAATATGTATTATACATGTACGTACAAGTATACAAATCAGAACAATCTGCCACCTTGTTCAGAAGAGCTCTCATCACTTCAACACCGATATTGCCTTCACTCTGAACACGAGCGGTTATGTTCATGCAGTGCACTAAATGCTGCACAGCGTTATACTTCTCCGTGTGTTGAAAGACTTTCTGTAGGATCTGTGGAAATTTTTCTTTAGACTTTCCCGTTTGCACCCCCCCCCCCAGACTAATGAATACGTTGTAATTCCCATGAAAAATAGCATGCAATCAAATACCCAAGTGCTGAAGATTTGTGGTGTTTCCATACATACGCATCCCGCTCTCGACGCGTGTATGCTAGATTCGTTTGTACTCACTTGCTAGATCCTACACGCATGGCAGCACACTATTTCAAGTATTTGGACAACAGATATTGAAACCCAACAATGTTGGTGTGCAGTATTGCTAAACGTGAGGTGATTCTGGTAGCAATCCTATCTAGGCAAATGGTAGAAGAAGAACAGCATTCGGCACAATAGTAACTGAAAAACCCAAAAGCTACTAGAAGTGAAGAGGACACAGATACATGCACAAAAATAGAAAAAGTGCATAGTGCAGTTCAAATTAATATACTGATAGTAGTACCGTAGAACAGCGAAAGAGCTTACTATGCAGGCAGACAATGATAACACTGTAGACAGACTATGATGTATTGTAGAGAGACAATGATATGCTGTAGACGTTGAAAAAAAAGGCGTGCTGAGACTTGTAAGCTGATTCTTCAATATTTAGCCAATCAGCATTTTGCTGGAAGCAGAGCCAGAGTAGTTCCTGAAATTAGCTGCTTCTCTAGCATACAGGTTGCAAATTCGCAGTGCTGGATCTTTCTTCAAGGAAAAGAAGTTGACCGTGTGGAAATCCTTCCTCCTGTTGGAAAAAATGAGTAGATTCCAAGTTCAATAGTCAACGTTTGCGAAAAGTATGAAAAATCCTGCCCCTCAAATACCTTCCTATTTTTAAAATAAAAATGCATGAGGTCTGTCTACCTCTACTTCAAAGTTGTTTTCCTTTCAATAATTCAAGGACCCATGCAGTCTTTTACTCCCTATGCTCTTGAATAGCTTCCTATTTACATGAAATTAAATGCTACACGCATATCTCTCTTATCCGGACCTCCAAGGTACGGCCACCTCGGGCTACCGGGCACCCTGTTGGTGAGGGTTAGTGGAAGTATTACTACTATTGCCCATTTAATGGAAATTGTGACGTGGTATTCCAGATCTCCACCGTTTAGGAGCCACATCTGACGCCTAATAATGGGGTGGTGGCGTCCCACGGAAGCGGAAAGGTGGTTCTTGACCAGGGAGTTGTACGACTCCTTGTTCTTGGCCTGCCCGGTACGCGAACCCGTCGAATTTATTTATTTTTATTTATTTTTATTCCAGATGTCTGGACCTTTCCCATCAAAATGTACGCGATTCAGAGTTGAGGACATGTCAAAGTTCATTTCAAAGTTATGGGCATTGCCCGGTTCCGGACCGCCCGGATAATAAAGATATAAGTGTACTGGTCCAACTACAATGTAAAGGTTCTGATACTTTCAGACTAGATGTTGAAAGCTGCAGGCAGTAGATATCAATCAAAATTAACGAAAAAAAGTATTTAATGCTGGTCTCCTCCAATTTCACTCACCAGTCTTCATCAAGATGAAATCCACTCTCTGTCCAACGAAATGACTTGTAGTTCTTCTTGTAAAACTTGGAAAGATAAGAAGCGTATTTCGTGAAGACTGAATTCACGTTCATTTCCCGTAAGATCTGAGAACACAATGCAAAAAGAACACTGTTTGTCAGGACGTCGAATGTCTCAGTACTCTGTCAGTTTTGTGCCTAGTTGTTTCACTTTCTGACTGTATATAGTATCTAGTTACAGTGGTGGAGAGTTACTCTTAACTCGTTTCCATATGTCCTTTTCCTTTCTACTGTTTGTTTTGTTATGTTTTCTCTGTCATTTGAACCGTCCCCCTCTCCACACTGCGCTCTTGGCCCACATTCACAACGCCACTCCATGGCGAGGAAGTTCGTTCTTGGGTAGATGTTCCATATCCTCCAGACAGCTGTTTCGCTCATTAAGAGCTCCTCACTGGAGACAGATAACGAATGAATAGCAGATAAAGGAATGAGTATAAATATGCTCATTCCTTTATCTGCTATTCATTCGTTATCTGTCTCCAGTGAGGAGCTCTTAATGAGCGAAACAGCTGTCTGGAGGATATGGAACATCTACCCAAGAACGAACTTCCTCGCCATGGAGTGGTGTTGTGAATGTGGGCCAAGAGCGCATTGTGGAGAGGTGGACGGTTCAGATTATTTTCAAATGGCCGAGTTTGTCGTTACTTCTGAGTTTTTTTCTCTTTTTTCTGTGTCATTGGTTATAGTATCTTGCACACCGGTTCGTTCCGAAGGGCATTTACAACAAGAATAGTGTATATCTCTTCTCATTTAACTGGTTTTCATATCTTTCGAATGTAAGAAGTAAATCTATCAATCACTCACCTCAGTTCACGGTTCAAGTGCAAAATATCGTGAAATTGCAATAGTTACCAAGCCAAAATGCCAATTGTTATGATAGCAACTAAGCCATTTAATTTTTTTATTTAATGTCCTGCAATCATTCAACCCAAACAAGCAAACAAGAGGGTGGTGGCGTTCCTGTGGATGCGGAAAACTCGGCATTTGGTCGAGTCTCACGCGAACCGTGAAAAAATCATTCAACCCTACTTACTTCATATGGTACATATAGGTGGTCATCCCTTGGCAGCTCCAGAGCCAGGTAGTTCTTCATCCTGATGGCCTCTTCCCTGGGTCGTGATGCGCCGTATCGAGTACATACACCACCTGGCAAGTCCATGATGTCCAGGAAGTCATTCATCCTCAGCCAATTGAATACTAAGGAGAATTGGACAGCGAAAGAGGGTATAATTATCATAATTAGTATTTCTTATACAGCAGAGCTGCTTAGGACAGCTAATGTATTGTGTTTGCCATTGGGCTAGCTTGGGTGTTGCATTTTGGTTGCCTAATTTCCCAACAGCTTGAAAATGGACTGTTCGAACCGATTGCAACTAAATTTGTGCGTGTGGTGTACAATGTTCGTTGACCACCACGTCACAGACTATTTAGAGAGCTGCCAGTGGAGTCTGGACACCACAGCCTGGAAATGGAGATGTTGAATAAATAATAAATAATAAATGCATGGGATAAGCTGTGCTTGTACATGAAACAGCACTCACGAAGTACACGCCCATATCTGAGAGGAAAGGCACTAATGCAAAAACAATTTCAAACACAAAAGTGAGGCTAGTAAATCAACAATTTAATTGCGCAGGACAAACTGAGAAGCTGAAATTTGACAATACAGTAAAACCTGTAACTAACGACCACCCCTTGGTGCCCGGAAAAGTGGTCGTTAGTGGCAGGTGGTCTTTAGTTAGAGGTTTGCACCGCGCGACCATATATGGATCCCATTATATTATATGTATGTCAAAATGCAGATAATACAATCCCCCACCACTTGCGCACTGACATTCTTCTTTCAGATCACACAACACTTGGAGAGAGAGAAAATCAAGTTTTTTATACACCGGAAGCGATACGACCTTTTGACACGTATGTCGACTCACTGGGTTTCCAGAGCAGCGCTGGCCTGGCCAGGCAGTGGACTAGTCACTATCGACTCCATCCTCATCTGTGTGCGACTACACTGGCAACTGGTATCAGTGTGTAGATCTCCAGTGGAAACTCAGGCGGTGTTTATATGAGGCGTTTCAACCCGGGTTGAGTTCGACCCGGGTCAGATTTCAACCCGCCATGTGCATAAAATGAATGGCGCGTTTACATGACGCATTGCGCTTGACCCGGGTTGAAATTTCGCCCTGGGTTGATTTCAACCCTCCCCCAATTCCAAGGGGAGGGTTGAAATCAACCCGGGTCAAGAAAATCGTACAAACGTACTTCTGTGCGTATCTCGCGCCAGGTTTGAACGGCACTGCAGATGCAAATTTCGCGCGAACGGATTCACGTGACCATACAGGACTGTAGAAGTGGACTTTTGGCGGCATATCAGTATTTGACCCGGTTCAACTGTCTTCATGTAAACGCTCACCTCTTTTGTCTATCGTACAGACTTTCAACCCGGGCTGAACTCGACCCGGGTTGAAATTTCTCATGTAAACACAGCCTCAGTGTGACCTGGTGACTGAGCTGTGTGATTGCACTTCGACAGAGAGCCGCTCAGTCTTACTAGTTTCTCCTTCGAGTAATAACATAGCAGTAGAATAGTAGTAGTAGTAGTAGAACATCGATCAAAGAGCGCTTTGGATGCGCTCTCCAAGACGTTTCCTATCATGTTTGTTCTTGACAGCACTTGAAATTATGACAGGTGTAGTGCAGTCCACACTGATTCCACAGTAAAAATGAGACTGCGCTCATTTGTCCAGCTGTAGTATCGAAACGACCATGGAAAATCATCAAAATTTCGAGAAGGAGCTTCAAGCAATGTTTGATTTGCTACATCGCGGTCGCTAGTTACGGGTCAAAATTCGACATTGGGACAAGAAAAGGCGGTCGCTGGTCGCGTTCAGCAGGTAGTCGCTAGTCACAGTGCATTTTGAATGTGAGACCGTCCGTGCCTGACGAAGTGGTTTGTAGTACCAGGCTGGTCGCTAGTCACGGTGGTCTTTAGTTACAGGTTTTACTGTACTTTTGCTTTACTTTGCTGCATTTGGAGTATTCATAATTATGATCAATGTGTAACGCAATATTATTGCACTACACATTGATCTAACTTTGCCAGTACAATCTTTCTTAGCAGACGGCAACAAAAACATCCGAATTTGTAGCTTGGACCACCATGGCCTGGAAAGCCTTTTACATCCTGCAAAACAAAACAGAAATGCTATTTTCTCTTTTTCTAAGCGTGCGTGCATACACTCCAGAAATGATAAATGGCCAACTGACTTTACATTATTATGTCACCAGGTGTTCACTATAACATCAAGAACCGGTACCAACCTGATAGGCGCTGTGTGGTATTCCATAGCCCATCTCCTGTCTTGTATCTCCGTCCTTTTGCTTGAAAGGCAGCCATGATCTTGTCATTGTATGAATGAACCAAGTAGAAGATCGGGTCCACTTGAGCAAAGACATTCGCAAACGATCCACCCATCGAAACATGGATAGAGGCATCAAGAACCTCGATGATGCCTAATGGAAAACCATAAGTTTAAAAAATTCAAAGGATCAGCCTGGGAGGTGAACAGCCTGAAAAGAGAAAAAAATGCCAGACCCGCCATGGCTTAAACCATGGACCTTGCTTGTCATGAGCAATGCTCTAACCATCTGAGCTGTGGCACCATGCCGAACCTAGAAGGCGCTGTCAAGTACTTCAAGTATTTCACTCCAAAGACAGCTCACAGCACATGCCACACATACTGATGGCACTTGGGTCTTTTTCCCTCCCCAGGGGACCAAAGTTGTCGGCGCCTTCTAGGTTCGGCCTGGTGCCATAGCTCAGATGGTTAGAGCATTGCTCATGACAAGCAAGGTCCCGGTTTCGAGTCCTGGTGGGCCTGGCATTTTTTTTCTCTTTTCAGACAGTTCACTTCCCCGACCGACCCTTTGAATTTGAAGTTCTGCCAATCCGTTTAAATAAAAATTGATCACTTTCTTTCCCCTCTGGTAGTACGTTCCGGAAACTGACCGTGGTTGTTCCCCTGGGGGAGGGAAAGAGACTCGAGTGCAATCAGTATGTGTGGCACGTGTTGTGAGCTGCCTTTGGGGTGAAAAACTTGTCAGCGCCTTCTAGGTTCCGCCTGGTCCCATAGCTCAGATGGTTAGAGCATCCCTCACAACAAGCAAGGTCCAGGGTTCGAGTCATGGTGGGTTGGGCTTTTTTTCTCTTTTCAGGCACTTCACTTCCCCGACTGATCCTTTGAATTTGAAGTTCTTCCAATCCTTTCAAAATAGAAATTCAATGATAATTTCTGAAGAGCCTTTACGACTCAGAAGCTAGACTGGCTAGTGCCATGAAACAGTAAAACCTGTCAAGAAGACCACCTGTCCTAAAAGACCACTGAAGCCAGCATAAAGGGATACTATTTCCAGTCAAATAACTCTGGATAAGGAGACCACCTGGTAATAGAGACCACATTTTGAAGGTCCCTTGAGCGGTCGTCTTAGACAGGTTTCACTGTACATGGTTGGGTGGATGTGCGTGTGTGTGTGGGGGGGGGGGTGGGGGGGGGGGTGGGGGAGGATAAACAAATAGGTTACACGACCCTTGTGCATGTAAAATTGTATTTGGATAGTATTTGGATGAGTGACCACTGATCACAAAAAGAGAAAATGTATTATTTCGTTAAACCAGTGTGAGCTGGCATTCTCCTGGTGCACATCACAGCCAGGAGCAACAACACATTGCCAAAACGGCAGCCATGCAGCTAAGGGAGCAGGAACACGGAATATACTCTTACCGTCTTCAGCTAGCACGGATGCATTGGCATTTATAGCGGATATCATAACCTCGATAAGCTGCCAAGGGTACGGCGCGGTAGTATAAAATGGACCTTTGTGAAAGTATCCAACTTCTCTTCGCAGGCAGTTAGCATACGGGAGTGCCACTCGTTTGTAGAGGAACTTTGGAGGCGTATAAAAACCTAGCCAGAAAACACCGCATATCAATTGACACACATACGTTGATATGCTCACCATTAACTCCAGTGTGCGAGAGCTTCAATATCGATGTACTCGAGTCTAAAAACCAGGTCATCGAGAAAGGAGTATGAAACTATTGACCATCTCTTGGGGTCAAAAGAAGTGGTCTTCAGTGGCAGATGGTCTTTAGTTGGAGGGTTGCATCGTGTGACCATTTATTTATTATTCAGTGAAAACACCGGCAACCACGACCATAATTACAAGTATATGAATCCCATTGCAATGATACTTCAAAGTATGTATGTCAAAATGCAGACAAAGCAAATAGCCACTACTTGCGCAATGTCATTCTTTTATATAGATCACACAACATTTAGAGAGAAAGATAGGTAGGTAGGTAGGTAGATAGATAGATAGATAGAGAGATAGAGAGAGAGCGAGAGTTGTTGATATCTAAATCAGTTGAAACTTCTGAAGCTAGTAGCCAAGCAAGATCGATAGAGTAGAACCAAAATTCTTTCACGTTGCGGAAGGATGTCCAGCCGATCCTCAATTGAGCCACCTACTACTCTGAATGCCGACAACACAGTTGTCGGTATGCTGATAGGAACGGAGCTTTTCTTCCTACCAACTTCAATGAGTTCTCGACCACCACAAACCTCATCATCATCATCATCATACCTCTGTCTGTTTTGTGGTGCATTAAAGAAGTGAAGTCGCACTCCTCCAAACACTAGATGAAGGCTGCATGCAGGCAACGATGTTCATCACTTCTGTACACTGCGCTTTTCGGCATCCTGCAGTTGCCTGGCCGTGGCAATGCGTTCAGAAAATAACTATCATGATTCTTGTTCTGCCATTCCAGGTTAGTAACTCCCAGCAAGCATAACTCACAGCCACGCGTCGCAGAGCTTCCCACCTCCGATTCCACCCTGCAATGCAGGAACCGCGTGCTGTGTGGCAAGTTCTAGCGCGGGTGAAATCTGCTGTGCAACACTATCCAACAATTCCTTGCCATTTCTGTAGAGTTCTGACAGCTTTTCCCCTAGCTGCATTCTACACTAGTTCATCTGTCTCATCTACAGTGTAGTCTGTGTAGTCTCACAAGTCGACGTACTTGTGGCGACACATAGTGACAGCGCTGGTCACTTCCATTGTCATAACAAATGGTCTATTTCCTGTAAGAAAATGCAGCTCTTGACGTGCATTGCATTGAGCATGAGCTCTGCATCCCATCACCAGCATATCATCTCTCCTAATACTTCAAAACACTATCAACTCAATGTCCTATGTGCCCATCATTCGATGCAGGGAAGGAGGTGCTGTTATGGGTGCTGTTATGGGTGCAAAAAGGACGCAAAAAGGACTCGAGAGAAGGAAATCCCAATTTTGGGCAGTTTTGCCAGATTCTTTTTGAATTTTGGCTATTCGGTTTCTTTCTTTTGTGATTTTCTGAGAATATTTTAAACCACTGTCCGGTCCGGTTTCTCGGGAGATTGCTCATATTATACAAGGGATGCAATACAGTTCTTACCCTCGCCATACGGTGGACCCTGGACACAGTGTGAATGCGGTGCGCCGTTCCCTCCAAACGTTCCAATAGTGAACACTCTCTGCTGCGGGTAGGGGATGTCTTCATTGCGTCCAACATCCCAGAACGGTATCGTGACTTTGCAGTCCACAAGGCGCAGGAGGTTCTCAAACGCGAGCAGCGTCAGTCGATGGAACGCCATGAGTGCATGATGCAAGTCCACGCGCACGGGCCGAATTACCATGTTGCAACCCATGACAGGATGAAGCCATGCCATTACCCTAAAGGCTTCCTTGTAACGAGGGTCATGCCACGCTTTAAGGAAGGCAGCGCTGTAGCGTTCGATGTCAACCTGCATTAGAGCAACAGAGATAAACCCTAATAGCTGATATTTCCTATGTTATTTTACAGATTTTTGAAGCCACATCAGAGGATTCTGAACAAACCAATTTGAAAGACAGCTTCAACAGGAAGCATGTTGGTTAATGTATCTTCATTTCAGGAAGCAATAGACAAATATCCTTTTCAGCATTGGGGAGTGGGAAACTGCACTTCACTACCATCTCACATGCTGGTGTGGAATTTAGAAGGGCATATACAAGTCAATTTTCCACATATAATAGGCAAATGCATTGGTAACTGCATTGAAGGGTGGGGGAGCACACTTCATTTCCAATCTCACCTACTGACCTTCTCACCTACTGACCTTCTCACCTACTGACCTTCTCACCTACTGACCTTCTCACCTACTGACCTTCTCACCTACTGACCTTCTCACCTACTGACCTTCATTGTAAAAGGTATACACGTATACTATCCAATTCCCCACAGATTGTAGGCAAGTGCACTGCCCTGGAATGCTAGGGAAATACCCCAAATTTTGCATTTACCTTAGACATGGAATCAATACTCTGCCGCAGGCGACAGCACTTCATTCTTCCTTGCACACATCTGCAATCCAGTCCGCAATTCTCAGTTATGAAGGTCTCAGTGATGTTACATTCTGCATTCACACCAGGAGAAAATATGATGAGTGCAAATTATCCAGTCACTTCCCACACATTTTTGAAGGCAAGTGAAAAGCAATATTGGACTCGAATGGAGAGCCAAGGATAAAGTACCGTCTGTCAGTGCCGTGCAATGTCATCGCATGAGCTGATTGTTTAGTAACATGTGGTGTTAGTGGACATTATAGCGTAACTTGTAGTTTCTTGGTCCTTTTTTTCTTCACTATAAGGCCAAGTAAAACAAAATTAATTGATTGTTTATCGCCCGCGCCTGCCCCAAATTTTTACCCTCCCCGCCGAATTATTTTAATTTTTAGTACTGGTAAATGTACTGTATGTACTGCGGTCTACAGCCTCTAATCAGCATGGCCGTAGATTTTCGAAGGTCAAGTCCACAGACTGAACCAAAGCTTACTTGCTATGGGCTTGAAAAATGAATCTGATCATAAGCTGCCTGATTTTCTTCGTTTTTGTACATAACGTTGGTTGTTCCACTTTCCATTATCCTCTGGGGTTGCGAACACCTGCCCTACAGCCATAAATGCATAATAAAAAATAGAATTAAAACCTCCCGTCCGCCCCGATTTCTCGGGAAATTCTGACGATAAACAATCAATATATTTTACATGGCCTAAAAGTAATATTACTATTGAATTGATATACCTAGAAAGCAAGATGCAAGAAGTCACCGGAACGGAGGTGCAGGCCTTCACTGCAGCTCACCTTATCCCACTCTAGAAATTCCCAAGTGTTCAACCCGTTGACATTCGGGGAGGTCTTCAGATGCATAATCTGCGGGGAGATGGTGAGAGTCTTTCAGTATGATGCCTTGCATGCCCCAGCAACAACGCACCTCATTTTTGGGCGCACCAGCCATATGTGAAGCAGCAATGCATACAGTTGATGGACACCTGCGTGCTTGTGCGCTTATGAACTCCTTGTGTTCCCTCTGTTGACGCTTCAAAATCGCTCTATTGACACTGCAAAATCGCTCTGTTGACGCTACAAAATTGCTCTGCGTGCTTGTGCGCTTATGAACTCTTTGTGTTCCCTCTGTTGACGCTTCAAAATCGCTCTATTGACACTGCAAAATCGCTCTGTTGACGCTACAAAATTGCTTATCATCTCCCTCCCTCCCTCCCTCCCCCCCCCCCCTCTCTCTCTCTCTCTCTCTCTCTCCCCGTAGCTCTCTCCCTTTTGAAATTCGCTTCCATAGAATTGGGCACCATTGCCCGTTTGGCCTTGCGAAGCAAAATAAAAAAAATCAACAACAACAACAACCTGCAGAAGGACGGAGTAGAGGAGATTCTACTAGAAGGTGCTGAGAACGTCTTCAAAGCTTCATTCGGTACAACTGCACTTGACAACGTCACATCGACAAGTTTCAAGAGTTGAACATTAGAGAGGTTTTGCACGATGTCATGTTTTGCGTAATTTTTGCGGCGAATTCGATTTGGAATAAAGAAGTAAGCGAGCATCTCAGCTTCCTTTGACCAAGACCATTCCACTCAGCACCCAGAAGACTACGAGGGGAGAAATTTGGATTCTAGACCATGCCTCTCCTTTCAACTGTGTACAGGGTTTGTATTTCACCTTTTTACAATGAGTGAAATCCAGCTTTGAGCAGTACACTTTATATTCAGTGGAATCCGGTTATAAACTGAATGCTGGTTAGGTTTGGCGGAAATGTTGAAATCCTTGCACTCGATACCGAGTTCAAACTATGTACATGGAATTTTGGAGCAATGAACACTTTACAGAGTGAGTACATCACAATTATAGTGGCAGAATTGCCTGCTGAGCCAGACTTATCGATACATGTAAGATGGGATGAAAATCAAAATTCACTCCTCAAGTGAAGTACCATGCAAGTATATGGAACCAAAGTGATTTCATTAAGACTATTATTGTAGAGTCAGGCCACACTGAAGAAGGTCTGTGGTTCGACTCACCCGACCGACCGTACATTTTTCAGCCCGACCGTAACTTTTTTTCGGCGGGCTGTCGTGTGACTGACGTACGTGGACTGAACACGTCCACGTCTACGTGCTGTGCAGCGTGAGTCTGCGGACGCAGGCGGCTCCTTTTGGACTTGACTTGTAGGTGTACTGCAGTGCAGTGCAGTGAGTGGTAGACTCTACGACTGCTGCCTTGTGCTGGTAGTAGTGTCTACTCGATTTAGTCGATACGACCACCGGCAGACTGGCGAGACTTATTTTGAAGTGACCGTCCGATTGAGAGTGATTGCCTCGTTCCAGATTAAGGACGGCCTTCTGTTTTGGGATGAAGGACAGACGAGATTGCACTTTCCTCGTGTATTGGGAACGATATTTCACCTGTACCGGTAAGCTGCTGCTCCATGTGTGCAAGCACAGGAAGCCCATGTATTCGTGCACGCCGACACCAAACTAGCAATACATGTACCGGTACATTGTACAATTTGTACTTCGAAGTAGTTCCCGAACTTACTTTCAACTCGCATCCTTCTTCATTTGCTTGATGATTTGGACAGTCAGAGTCACCGCTTGAAGTTATTCTCTTCTCGTTCCAGAGCTACACAATGTTTCAAAGTATTAGCCAGTGATCCCTTTATACAACATGTATGGCATAACACTGCGTAATAATGCCGATGTACTGGGTGTATAAAGGCAGTACAGTGTATTTACATGTACTAAAAAATATATTTAAAAAAAAATCCGCCCGCCCGCCCGTAAAAAAAATGTCCATGTTAGTCGAACCACACACCTTCTTCAGTGTGGCCTCACCTGCAATGAAAGATTTAGTTTTGCTTAATGCGATGGACTATCTTGTGCTTCAGCAGCACCCGAGCATCTTATCGTCGCAGGCCAATGCCCTTCCTAGGCGAATTCAGGGGGCTGGTCAGCAGTAAATCTCTGCCTCGGGTATAATACCTCTCCATGGTATCATACGTCTGCATTGGCAGAAGTATTCACCTGGTCACTATCATAACAACAAGCTCTGATTACATTTGAATTCGTTGAGTTCTTTGTCCATTGTTGTTCTCACATTTTGACGATCGTGCATAAACAGTTTGTGTCGAGTATTGTACTAGTGCCAGTATGCCTTACTTCACACTTACGCGCACCATGTCTGGGTTGCCGGCGACTGTACTTTTCTTCGTAATCGACAGTCAGGTCCTTCAGGATCTTTACGTGCTCTTCGCTCAGTCCAGAAAGGATATCTTCGACTTCTTTGTACTTCTCTGACAGTGGTTTGGCCGTGCAGGAACTTAGGCACATGATAGCCAGCCATGGCAGCAGGACTACAGCTATCTTCAGCAACATTCCCATCGAAAAGCGAGGATAAACACACTGAGTACTGTAGAGGGCAAGTACGCCCAGCGATATTGTTGATTTTCGGAACAGCTAGCACTGCGAGTGTCGAAACGTTCATGCTTTGAAAGAAAACCCTAGGCAGCCAGAAGAGTTCTTAGAAACTAGAGAACCCCATGTTCGTGGAGGCCGAGGGGCAGGTGTGAAATGCGCGCCAGCCGCGCAATGGGAAATCAGGTGAAGCACAGAGAGGTGTTGGCAGGTCTGGTGCACACTGCACTGGACTGGAGTGTAGTGCTGCACCGCCTCGTCCTTGATGATACGAATGAGCCTTGTAAAATGTAGTGAGTTGTAGATCTACACGACCCCTGCGGCACTGGGCTGTGCGTTGGTAGAGGACCAGTGCGCAACCTAAGGAGTCGTGACAACCGTCGTGATAACCGTTACAAGAACCAAACAGAACCATACAAACCGTATACGGCAGGCACTTCCTCGAATTTCGCTTCATTGCTTTATCCACATACCGGTACCAAACATGCGTGACAGACACATAACAGAACAAGTGCCAGATGCTGTCAATTTTTCTGTCAGCATTTCCGCCAAGGGCTAGTTGCAAGCGCTCGTAAGGGCATTGTGAAACATAACCTCAACATGCAGGTATAACCGATGCAGAACAAATTCCTTTTGCAGTTTTGGGTTTGCACTCAAGTGAAGCGGGCTGCTGGTGGACCCCTATTCATGGTGTCTACATTCTGACTTTAAAAACATTCTATATTCTCGTTCCGTGGTTGGATTCACCATCAGTGAAAGCTGAGAACGTCCATTTAGATTCTTGGTCCGGATAGTCAGGGTGATGTGATGGATGGACCATGTCCACGTTTTGACTGACCCTGATCTGCAGTCCTATTCCGGTACAGTGTATCATGGTGCTGTGCCATTCCACAGAAACATCATCAGAATACTTGTCGGGTTGGAAGGAGGGAGTCAAAAGATCTTCATGTTGTACTTCATGATTACAATCATATACCCAGTAGAGTCGCGCGTCCAAGAACGTTGTTTCCCAGTGGTTTGCCTGGGGCGTTCTTATTTTTCAGCAATGTGGCTGCGCTCTTATCGCACGTTCTTAGAAACAATTCGTACTGGATCATATGTATCCCAAAAAGCTGCCAGAAAACCAACACCGCCGTTCTTAACTTTAGGCTGTGGCGTACTTAGCATTTTCAAGCTGGACGTTCTTGGGCTCAATGTTCTTCGGTGCGCGACTCTACTGTAGCGGTAGTACCGTAGTGTCTGCCCTAGTTTTTCACACTGACAATAGATTCACGACTCGTAGTCGTTGCACATTCATTGTGTGGTCAGAATGAGACCGTTTCCCCACGGGTCATATTATTATCGTCTATTGTCGTCTACAACGGCTATCCACTTTGAGTATCCCTCTCGCACTATAGTCCATTCATTGGAAACTGGCACCCTAACTTTTTGGCGTCTCTCTCACATAGTTGTAGATATCGTGAAAACAACAGTACATCCTGCATTGTGTGGCCCGTGCAATTACTCCTTGCCACATTTGAGGCCAGAAAATTCCAAGAACAGGGAAATAGAAATTCAGCCAGGTTTTACAAGATTAGGACAGGTATGCCATGGCAAAATGTATGGAGAAGCAGATCCAAAACCCAGATTTTTGAGATTTAAAGTGGGTTTTTGATCCTCAATTCGGCCCAAATCCGACTTTCAAAAGCCAGCGGGCCAGTTTCCGATGAATGGACTGTACGTTACTTCGATCTCAATGGTGATGAATTTGCCGCTCTCCCGACACTGAAAGGAAAGAACTTGACCACTAGATAGTCATCTACACTGGTAAGTTGAGTGATAACCATGTTACTGTAAGTATTAGTTGCGCTGATGCACGGGCCGTGGCCCAGCTATCCTCTGTGAACAGGACAGTTTTACGGACATTGGAAAATTCTCTTGAGATGAAAGAGGACGCTAGAAGTATGGAGGTGGATGTAATGCTTCACTGCGCCAGCGCTTCACCTTACAGGCGGCCATCACGAATCAACCATAATGGTAGTCGTGGCTCCTGCAAGCTGTGAAATGCGAAAGTATCCGCTTGTTGCGTGCCCACTGAAGACGACGCGTTCTTCAATACCTTGCTCTTTGGTCCGCATTATCGTGTTTCTGGCAAATCTTCCACAGGGTGCGCTAACTGCAGAAACTAAAATTAATGGTCTGGTTTTACTATTTTTCTGCGCTATCAATATTTGTCCGAATCATGGTTTGGAATGTCGTTAACATGATAACGTTAGTAGAGTTTTGGTAGATCCAGCGAAGATGGCCGGTTATACCAATGTGTTGAATTTCACTATCGCTAGCGGCTGGTACATCGCAGTCGTTTGGTTACTGCATGCTGTCCAATATGGTGTTGGAACGAAATCTTTGAATCGACACGCCCTGCGTGAAAGCTACGTGTATACGCTGCATGGCTCGGGCAGTTATGATATGACACCATGTGTAACTAGGGAGTGTCTGCGAGCTTTAGACCTAGACGTTGATATAAGCAAGGACGGTGATGGGCGCTCCATGTACAGCCCTCCACGGACTGTGCAGCCAGATCCAGAAAACCAAGGTTCTCAGCGAGTATCATTGCTTGCTATCCACACTATACCTGCCGGCTATCTGCGACGTATGGAAGGGCCAAGAGTGCTTATCAATTTGTATATCAAGGTCAGTGATATGTTGTAGGTCCCAAAGTGAACATTTAAAATTACACATTTTTGGAAGTGGAACTGTTTTTATTGAAATTATCAATGGATTACTGCACGTTTATCTCAGTAGCATTAGTAATGCTCTAGAGACAGCAAGGGTACCATATCCAGAAGCAGTGGCACACAAAAATACATTCCGGAATCCCACAGTTGCGTTATACCAAATTTCGTTCTGTTTGCTACAAAGCCACCCTTGTGCTGGTCTACTAAAACGTTACGTGCATAGAGATAGACGTAAAGGAAATAATTCACAAGCTTACGGGAGTCGCAATAAGGAACGTCAGTAGAAAATAATAATATTAATTTTGCCATGCATGCCTTAATGACACTTATCATGCACTTTCCGGATGGTGAATTTGTTTCTACTGGAACGCACATTGTGTCTGGTTGGTAGGGAGATGTCCACTTTGAATGTACACCATCGTCGTCTAGCATTCAAGTCAGTGTGAACCACGTAGGCATGGCAACAGAGATGCGCAATCTACATACAACAGTCGTGTACAGTCGCGATACGAACACGTTGCGCATCACGGCCAACCAGTCAGCTGAGGTGAGCAGACATGTTGCTATGATTCAATTCAGGTATGCATTACCATGCAATTATATTAACAGAGTGGCTTTGGGATTTTCCCGTCACTGTTAAGCGGGATTCACAGAAGCTTTTTTGTGATGCGACACGCGATGCGACAGGCGCGAAACCGGGAAAACCCCAAATCGCAGCCATGTCGCGGCCCACGCAACTGCCGCAACTGGGCCATCGCAGGCCATCGCAGAAGTTGAGCTTGGCTCAACTTTTGCGATGCGATGCGATGCGACAAGCGATTTGGCGTACGATTTTGACCTTTTCCACAGCAAAGTTGTACAAAGGTTCAAGAGTTGCCTATAAATTTGTACAAGTTGTATCAAACCGCGCGAATATCATGGTGACGTAGCCAAATCAGCAAGACTTTGTCGCATCACTGACTTCTTCTGTGAATGGTATTTCGCGAGTTCGCATCGCACGCGTCCGTCGCAGATCGCGTCGCATCGCGTGTCGCATCGCAAAAAAGCTTCTGTGAATCCCGCTTTAGAAGTCCTTGCATGGCACCAAGTGCATGCACGCATGATCGTGTTGTTGACATTTCATGCAGAATGAAGGTTTTGAATCGTTGGGTAAGTAAATAAGTAAATTATCGTGTCCGCTCCCAAAGGGAACTCGCGACGGCCGCTAACACCCGGTAAACCCTAGCGGCAGATGCAGGGCCTAACGGTGCGGGTGGGTGGATAAGTCTATTGTTGGGTAGTTTTATTGTTGGGTAGTTGTACCAATTTCCTTCACCAGTATCTGATTTGAAGGCTACTCCACCTTGATTAACCCCTGGCAGATTTTGCTGGTACCTTTTCCAGCATAATCTTCGGATTTTGTCTAAAAATTATGCCCTGGTATAAAAGGACTTCAGAGACCATAACCTGTCGGCATAACCTGACGATGCTGGCTGAAGATTAATGCTCCAGGCGTATTTAGGCATGTTACAGAAAAGAAACTGGTGAATGTTACCCCTTATAAGCCGTGCTGTCATGGTACCAGAGTCTTTGTAACGTTGCAAAGTGCAACACGAGTGCAAGGGTACAGTAAAGCACAATCATTGGCAGAATTCCAGCATCATGTAGCATAATCACTGGCATAATTTGGGCGTAATGGAAAGCATAATTCAGCAATACCGAGCATAATCCGCCAAGGGCTGTTTGTACTGAGTTCACCATCCCATTAGGTTGGACCGCAGCATAGTATAGCACCATCATTGGCATAATTTGGGCATAATGGGAAGCATAATTCAGCAATTTACCGAGCATAATCCGCCAAGGGCTAACCGTGTCATGATGCTGTTCAGGTTCATTCGGCTGTGAAGTGTCACTCTGACATCACTGTCAGTCTGCCACGACGTCATCACTGGCCACACGACGCCAGCATCACGTATCATGGCGGAGGCGAGAGTAACGACGTGAATGCGGTCACTGTGAATCAAGGCCCCCATCAGCAGCCAGTACTGGCTCATCAAGAGAGGAATAGAGGCATGGCAACCTGTTTGAAGCAATCTCAGCTGCTTGTGAAAGGTAGGTCTTCATACTAGAGGTTATAATTTTTTAAATTATTACATGTAGTAGCTGGGATGAATCTTCTCGCATGATCTTCAGAATCGCTTGCACTACCGTATTTTTCGGAGTATAGTGCGCACCTTTGTATAACGCGCACCCCCAATCTTCATTGGGGATGCGCACTTCAATCTTCATTGAAGTACATGCATTTCATATTCGGAGCATAGTGCGCACCTGCGATTTAGGGCCTAAAATAGCACATCTAAAGTGCGCACTACACTCCGGAAAATACGGTATTCCTCAAACCTGCTAAATACTCTATACCGGTAAGTACAAATTTTCGTTCACGAAATCTTTCGTTAGATCACTCCATTAGCAGATTCGTAATACGTGCTAAATTTCGTTTTTGGTCGAAGTCTGCCGCCCAGAACATTCAGAAAAAGATTGGTTTGGTAAGTTTGGTACAAACTAACTTTAGTTATTTCGTGCCCCCTAACGGAAGTTAATTCCAAAACGAACCTTTGTACTTGCACGGTACACAGTGTTTCGGGACATTCACCCATCAGCAGTTCAGATTGGGTAGGCCGAAGACGATTGTGCCTGCAAAGCACCGCTCTTATAGTACTCTCCACGCAGAAGCATCACCAGGGATACAAACTTGCAGGTTCGACGAGCTGAAGGTTAGATCATCAGTGTTGCAAGCGATTAATTTTCGTTTTCTAACACGTATCGCCGAAGTCGCCACCACTAATTTATTTGCTGTACATGGCGTTAGGAAATGAGTGAAATCGCAAAGAATGCACTGCCCCTTTCTGGGGTTTGTATGCAGAGACTACGAACATACCAGTAGTACAGGAGTTAAATGTTGCACAACACATCATGAAAAATTCCAAGTTCGCGTAGAGACTCAGTTAGACCGAGTACTAACGACACACATCAAGTGGCAACGATTCGCACAGCTAGGTAGAACTTGTGAAACTGATTTCATAATACTGGCAGCAACATACATAGACATTCAAACGTTTGCAATCCACAACAAATCCCCTAGAAGTGTTATCAGCGCTTACATTGTACTTATCACCTGTACTAAGCCATCAACATAACGTGAGCTTTGTGCTGTGTTGTGCTACATTACGCTTTACGGCCCCTTGCTGATATCGCTACATGGGTGTATTGATGCCACTTGATATGTAGCGCAACCTTGAACCCCAGTACTACGGTAGTACCGGGGTTCAAGGTACGTTATCATGGGTATCAGTCTCGGTCCACACTAAACACACTCTCGCCTTATCCTCACCCCTGACGATGACCTCATCCGTGAACATTTGGAAGATCTATTTGTACTCGTGTAGCCAAGGACTAGGGAAGACCAGACCATGAGTATCAGAAAATGTACCGGGTATGCTAAATTGCGTGGTGTTCTGTGACTTATTTGAGGTCGGGAACAACAACATTGCCCACCCGGAAGGTGTCAACATCACTGCAATGGTGATCTAAACACGTGTGAGTGCTACAGAGGATTCGTGAAGCACGGAACTCAGCCTGGGAAATGTCTCCGTAAGTGCCCCTATGGCATCTGTTATGAATTGTTTAGGGAAACTATCTTGACTTGCTGGGGTGTTCGGGGCCAAAACTGTTCATGTTATTACATCGACGTTTACCTTGTTATGCCTCTTTTGCCTTGCACAATCTAAGGAACAGTTCAGATGATATGAACCATACCGTACATTCATGCTCTAATAATTATTGCAACCAGGTGGTAAAAGCGTGCAGTGATCATTCTGCAACAAAGTCAAGCAAACCTACTTGTAGTTGGCCAATAGTTTTCATTATTGTTTGTGTCCTGTCTGTCAGGTTTACTGGTGTTTCAGCTCATAGTACCGGAACTATCACACATATCAGCACATCCGCTGTATTCCTCCTTCAACCTGGAGTCATTGCTAGCAATAGCCTTGGCAGGGAAGCTGCAGATCACACTTGAACAGGTGCACATGCTGAGTATTCGCCAGAACACAATGGTGATTTCCATTGTAGAAGCTAGCATGGCCACTATTGAGTATCGACTTCTGAAGAAGAAGCTTAGAACACTCCCCGGTAGCTCACTGGTGGATCTGCCTGACCTTCATCATATCAGAGCTGCATCTTCAACACAGCTGTATGCGCTCGGGGAACAGTATCTCAACAACAAGCAGGACAATAAGCGATCCCCAGATGATGAGAATGCATCTGGGAGTAAACTATTCTCTTGGGATGGTCTATTTTCAAGCAGTGCCAATGGTCATACTCAGAAGAAGCAGCAGGACCTCCAGGACACTGCGTCACACGTGGCACCACAGCAACCGAAGGAGCAGCTACAGCAACTGAAGGAGCATCCACAACACCAAAAGGAGCAGCCGCAAAACACAACTGATGTTACAGCTCATAGCAGACAACACGTGCATGAAGCTGGTGCTGGAAGCACAACTGAAGGTGCAGGTAATTCTCCAGTTTCCCAGGAAACCAAGCCCGAAATGGGCGCACTACTAGTTGATGCACTCAAGGATATAATCCCATCCTTCAATATTGATGAAATCAAGGTATGTTATTGTAGTACTGTGCATTTGGCAAAATTGGAAAAAGGTAAATGCTGTGTCTTCATGAAAAGTGAATCATTTAGTACTAAATGTTCTCTTTCATGGGAGACTAAATTGGGTTAGTGGTTGGAAAATAGCAACTAAGGTTGGAGGATATTTCAAGTGTTGACCACCCACACATATGATCACCGTTTTAGTGCTCACGTTGAGCGAGCGAAGATGATTTTCATGCCTGGGATATCCATCTGGTGCTTGACTTTCATTGGCGAGCCAAGGGCAATGAGGGAGAGGAGACGAGCACCACCATTGTTGTATTATCTGTATCATGCCTGTCATGATTGTCTGAAGCTGCTGTATGTGTTGTGGCTGACTTTAGTCTTTAGTACTATTGACTAGCATTTCATACAATACGTGTTGATGTCTAGAGACGTACTGTCTAGCCTTCCCCTAGTGCTCTTATGGATACACCATCCAGCTTCTCAGCGGCTCTCCTCCCACCACTCTCTATGTCGCTATACTCTTCTTCACACTCTATAAGTTCGTGTCTTCTGTACAATAAAATCCGTCCAGTGACTGACGACTGGTTGGAGGGGGGGGGGTGATGGTGCGCTTGAAATATGTAGGGAGAAGCAATCCAATGATTACCAGGGGAGTGCTTGATAGTAATTGGTCTGCCACATGTGCTTGCCTTGTTCCCAGATACCTGGTACCAGCAAGCTGAGCGATTTGGCATTGAGAGTAGCTAATGTCCAGAAAACACCCAATCAAATCAAGGTAAGGAATGCCCAGGTGAATACAATGTTTAGCTTTTATATCTATTGTTGTTGCTCGCAATGCGGCGATTCTGTGGGCTGATGCATAGCATAACTTCGCTGTACACCAGACACTCCAAAACCTGATGCATGTAGTGCTTTACAATATCAAAGCAGCGACGGGTGGATGCACAGCCCACACGGTATCCCTCACCCTCCCCTCCGGACGGCTATTCGTCACAATCCAGCTTGTATATGTTCCTGTGAAACTGAACATTCAGGAAATAATATTATAGGCAAATGACGACTTTCACCTAATACTTTAAACTGTAAGCGAGTTACTGTGCAAAATGAACTCTAGAATTTTGACACCATGTTCCATCCAGTACGATTTTGCCTTTGTTGTTCCTCGTCCATGCCTCTCCACAGATCGTATGTCAATTGCCGAGCCGTGTCGAGAGCATGATACGAATATCCAATTTGAAGTTGAGTAACATGACTCTGACACTAGATGTTCTGGTGCAGGATGGCTATGCTCACAAAATGATGGTTTATCTCAACGGAACAGTAATGTTTGCATCACAAGGAGCATCATTTGGTGCACACATCAACATTGGTGGCACTCGCAAAGCTGAGCTGTACCTGGAAGCGCACGCCATCAGCCTCCAATCTGTTTTGAAAGCGGTCTTGGAGAAACTATCCTCTAAGTTATCTTCAACTGGGCTGGCTTCAGTGGTAGTTGACTTCCTTTCTTTGCAACTCACGTATGACCCTAGTTCACCAACGTATGCCATTATTCATATTCGAACTGCATCATTGAAGAACATTGCATCCAAGATGTTTGAACACTCTGGGTTATCGAAGCTAAAGTTTCTGAACTTGAAGAGCTTACTGGGATCCTTTGACATTCTCAATGTCTCAGCAACAATCATCCTGCAGAAGGGCACTGTTTCATTCTCTCTGGGTGGCCTGCCGTCTATTCCAACCCTGGGTCTGGAATCTGAGATGAGTCTGGCTTTTCTGCGCATAGGTGGCGGCAATCAAAGCTTTCGCTCCCAGCAAATCACTGTAAGTGCACCAATATTGAGCATTGTCACTTCATTATGCAACGTCGATGCACCTGTTGAATGCATAATTACCTATCTCAGGCAAATTTGCTGTTTGTTGAGTTGTGCAACACTGAAAATGTGAGCTGATGGCCAATATGGGAAATATCTGTACATCATGCAAAAATGCCAATTATAAAAAGCAAAAAACCCGAATATCTGGATAATATTCGCTGTTTCTGTACTCTGTTGTCCACCCTGCAGTTCCCGACATGCAATCTCATGACGATCCTGTCAACGTTTGTTCCTCACCTGTCAGCACTGAAATCTATGCCAGGCCTGGGATCTATTCGAGTTCCTAAACTCTCCGTATCATTCTCTACTGGTCATTTACCCTCTAATATCACATTGTTCAAATCACTTTGGCATAGTACTGGCAAAAACAGCAAGGGAGGAAACTTCAGCCTTGCTCACTTCATGCCACCAAAGCCGGGATTCAGTTTCATCACCCGACTGATGCCCAAATCAGGCAGAGGGATAACTCTGAATGGGACCCTGTCATCATGGAGGCTATCCGTTGGCAAGATGAGGCTGCCCAATGTCACGGAGGGTGTGCTCTCCGTTCAGAATTTCATCACTTCGTTCTTTCCCAAGTTTGACTTGAAATCACTTCGGCTTCCTCCCGGTCTTGCCAACATCCAGAGGGCCATTGTCGATGTGTTCAAGTTTGACGTAAAAAAGAAGCTGCTTCAGTTGAGGATGAATTTTGGCAAGATCAACTTGCTGAAAGGTGTCATGCAGAATAGCAAGTTGATAGCGTGCAATTCGACCATAGTTTCCCTGAACACGAGTTACTCTTCATCTAATTGCAACACCACCGGATTTCAGGCATCATGTCTTGGCAAATTCTTCGGCTTCCCTGGACTAACGTTGATTTCGAGGCATCCCAATGGGTTTCTATTCTCCACTGAGTTGTCCAGGATCTCACTGCCTTCCATTCTGGGCCTTGTGAATTCTCAAACAAGTTCATTCGGTTCCTTTCTGAGATCATTGGGTCTGTCTAAAGTATCTCTGCAGAACACCGTGTTTCAAATTGTCACTGGACCGCTGGGAATGCGTTTTTCAGGAACGCTCAGGTTTGGTGACCTACGCAATCTAATGGCACACGTTCACATACTTAATCCGTTCAAGAGAACCTCTCGGTTGTTCAGCATGGAATTGCTGGTTGCCAACTCTTCGCTCTCTGCTGTTGTCAAGTCTTTCTTCAAAATTGATATATCGTCCATTCCTTTCTTTGGAAAGTTGTCCCTTCCGAACGCCAATCTCCTCGTTCTATTCCGGACGCAATCATCGCCAATTCCAAAGTTCCTTGATCACAACTTGGTGCGGATAGTCCAACTAAATCCATCAAAGATGAAATCTGTTCTTGTCAAGTTTCCTGTGAATTTCGGCAAGTTGGGTACGTTAAATCTCTCCTCGGCCATCTCCAAAATGGACGTGTATTTCAAGGTGGGTTTACCTGCATCATGTCCATGCGTTTATATGTGTTGACATCATGTGCCTGTGTGTATGTGTGTGCGGATGTTTGTGTACATGCGTATGTGTTGTTCTGTGTGTGTGTGTGTGTGTGTGTGTGTGTGTGTGTGTGTTGTTCTGTGTGCATGTGTGTGAATGTGTGTGTGTGTGTGCATATGTGCATGTACCCATGTGGACACACATGTGTGTCCCATGTCTCAAAGATACTATGCGTCCTGGTGCAGATGCCCTTCTGCTGTCTATCCATTTCAGAGCCTCCACCTTGTTCTTACCCACTTACTGTTGAGTCGTGAGCCCATTAAAAGGGGGAGACCCGCGTGACTAGTTTCTGGTGGTTAACAAGTACAAGTGTGTACAGCTGTGTGCACACACGCATTGTGTAGAGGAGTGTGTGTGTTAGGAGGGGGAGGGGAGAGGTGGTCATGTGACATTTACTCCTGTGCAGCTGACAATACCGCACCTTCAACTGTGGTGTCCTCGAGTGCATGCTGGCAAATCAGGGTCGTAGTACCTTGTCTGGCAGGTCCGGCTGTGGCCTGGCCTTATTTCCAGAAAGATGACCCAACTCTCCCTTTTGAAAACTGTTTTTCATCAATAGGGTTCATTTCTAATCGCTTGTCCCATTTGGCCGGACCACAGGAGATTCCGGTTCTACAGTCCTACCAGTGGAGCACGAAGTACATTCATTCCCTTTCCTAATGGCTTGCTAGTAGATTCAGGATTTGTATGTAGTGTATTATCATGAGCTTGTGACTATGAGTATGATGTTCCCCGAAGATCTCCACCGTAGCCAAGCTGAAAAACTCTGCTGCCTTGTTCTACACGTTCTATTGTTCTTTGTGCAGATGCCAAATGTCTCCGTGTCGGCCTACAACTTGCTGAATGTCATTCTACCCGGGTCAGTGCAAATGGCCAAACTACCTCCATTCCTTGGTGGGCTGAAACAGCTCTACATCGAGCAATTCAGCGTGAAGTGGAAACCGCGTGAGCTACGCCTCCATGCCACTTATGACAAGGATATAACTATATCAAAGGGCATCTTCAAAATGGCTAAGGTATCAGTGCATCTTTCATTTGCAGCATCGCACTTTGACTTCTCGCTCGCTGCAAGTGCACAGATCTTGGACTCCATGGTAATGACTGCTAACGTGACAAAGAAGGGAAAATTGTTCTCTGCTGAGCTTTCCACTGTCGAGCCGGTCAGGATCATGGATATGTTTGCGCACAGGCCAAGCATGCAATCATCTACGAAAGACATGCGCGTCGATCAAGTTGTGCTGTACAACCTTACTGGAGCGGTGAAGTTCACATCTCACTTCAAACTAAACCACATATACCTGTTTGGAAATACAACATTGGGACATGCGCAGGCGTCAGGCAGTCTTCTGCTGGCCAAAAAGGAGATCTCTGAACATTCAAATTCTACGGTTCAGCAGAATAGGGCGTCGGCATGGGAGACTTTGTTCAGTTTCTGTGCACATAACGTCAGCTTACCGGCACTGGTGAAAAACCTCACGAAACATGACATCAGCTCAATACCTATTCTGGGAGCTATGTCCTTCTCGCGTATCGGCGTCGTCATGGCTACGGGGAATGTGTCTGTGACGAAGTTGATCAGAGGATGCCGAGGAATGACGCTTCCGGATCGTATCAGTTCAGGTGTATGGTTTGAAATTGTACTGGACAGAAGCCTACAGAGTGGCACACTGAGTCTGAGTGTGGCTGGCAGCACGGTGGCTGTTAACGTCAGGAATGTCACATTGCTCGCAATTGTCAAACTGATCTTTCCGTCGTTCAAACCATCCTCCATCAAGATACCAAAGGGCTTCCCTCAGCTCAGTGAAATGATGGTTTCCGAGATGGACTTTGATTCTGCATCCAAAACTGCAAGAGTGCGTGTGAACATCGGCAGTTTTCATCTCCCTAAACAAATCTTGTCTTGCCACCATACTGTGATCAATCTGAATGTCAACTACTCCATCAGGCCATATAACTTCTCTTTCGAAGCCAAGTGCACTGGAAAACTGCTTTCCCAGGACATAGAAGTTGTGTTTGGTCTAGCTGAGGAATCGCCTCACTTCAAGACAACTATCAAAAAGATGTCCGTTCGAGCCATGTTGTCACATGGCCATTTGGCTGACAGTGACTTCAAGAAGGTATTGGAATCGGTCGGACTTCTTGATCTGACGTTGTTGAATGTCACACTAGAGATGAAGACGAAACATAATCTAATGTCTATGAGTGGTACACTGCAGTTTGGTGACAGGCCCGGCGAGAAAGCTGAATTACTGGTGCTCAATCCATTTAACTCAGCCACACGTAAAACCATTCTGGGGGTTACGATGCCGAAGATTAACCTGTCGAAACTAATTGCGCAGTTGTTCCACAAGGCTGGCATCTCATCGTTTCCAGAGATAGGCAACATTAACTTGGATGAAACGCGACTTCTCACGATGTCCCAACCTGATATACGCACCAAGGGATTGACGTTCTTGGATGGGAAGTTGAACAAATTACTGGGCTTGGTCAGTACCCACAAGGACGTGGCTGAGTCAGAAACGCCAGAATCATTTTCATGGAAGAGATGGAAAAAGACGAAATCAGACAGGAAGCTTTTCCGCCGCTCACTGAACGAGAATATGAATGCTGTGAAGCGCTCACCACCGGGAAATTCTACAAGATCCAGGCCACAGACGTCTTTGTTACCCCACGTGTCAGCTCTCGTCTCCATGAAGTTTTCAACTGAGAATACGCAGGACATGTTGCTGTCGCTCTCTTCCAAAATTATTGATTTCATTGTAAGTTGAGCACAGCATGAACAAATTTTTAACATGGAAAAATGTGGGCACAAGTTATGCGATAGAGTCCACCAACTTAACCAGATTTTAAACAGGCAGACTTGCACAATGTAGAACAAAACTGACCAGGAGTACAGTTTTTAGTGACCAGGAGTACAGTTTTTACAGCATGAGCATGTCGCTATTACTGTATAGCAGGACATTTTCAGACGGGAATATTTTCGAACAAAGCCGAATTTCGACCTTTCGTACGGATTTCATTTTCATGCAGAGCATGCTGCATGCTGAATGCACGAGTTTGCATGCAGTACTCGCGCGCATGTACAGTGTACATAATTTCACACGAGCACATTTTAGCACGGAATTAATTTTAGTACAAAAGATGCCGTGTCCGAAATTGTACGAAAATACATTCCGTCCGAAAATTTCCTGCTTTACAGTATTCAGAATTCAAATACAGGGGAGCACCATTTGTGGGACTACTGACTGAGACTGCTCTGATCCACAACGCAATATAGCAGCCCACATTCTTGTACTTGTACTAGTAATAAGCGGTCTGCTGGACCATCAAAGAGTGGGCCGCGGGGAGCCACTTTTTAGCAGTTGCTCTCTCTTTTGCTAGCCTGAAAAACGGTGATCGGTGAGGGGCCACGACAGGGTAAGGCCATGGCTGAATTCGAGAACGTGAGATATCGAATGCACAACTTGTAGAAGATTAATTGGCGGGATACTACATATAATTATTTTCCACATGCACGTATACTGCTGTTCCACTTTCTTCCTGTGTACTGTCTCTGCTTTTTTCAGCCTTCTCCCAATACGGTTAGCTTGGCAAACGTCTTGAGAATCTTTGTTTCGTCAGAAAACCTCAAAGCACTCGGCTTGCCCGATTTCCTGCCCAAACTGGAGAGTCTGTTCATCAACAGTGTATACATCAATGTACCTGAAAAGATTTACAAGGTTGATGCAACCCTGAAAGGTCCCATAACGGTTGTGAAGAGTTTCCTGGTGCTCAACAACTTCAATTTCGGGTTTTACTACCAGAATAAGACTCTATCATTCAACTTCACTGCCAATGCACAAATTTTAGGGAAGACGTTCAAAGCCGAGTTTTCCAGAATTCGAGGCAGGTACAGACTGCTGGCGAGTACTCCATCTATACATGTCAGCAGCACGCTGGGGAAGTTTGGAAGTCTTGAGAAGCAATACCGACACCTCGGCGTATCGGATTTCACTATAGAACAAGCCAGCCTGGAGGTGCGCTGGGGAAATGGTGCCAACTTGATCTCCGTGTATGGATTGCCCACACTGTCTGGTTATCAACATGCTAAGGTACAGATGACCATATTCAACTTCACTACATTGAAGGAAATGAACTTCTTTATTGGAATTGAGATTCCGCTTGGTAAAATATCCACCCTCATCAAAAGGGTAACCTCTATTGACATTGGAAAGGTTCCCACAATTGGAAAGGCTGAGGTGAGAGGCATTGGCCTCTTCCTGTCCTCCACTGTCATAGAACTCAACCATGGATTTCACTTTCAACGCTCCGGTTTCGAACACCTGAAAAATGTTCCAAAGGGCATTCGCCTCTACTTCTATCAAAGCGTTGACGTGAAGAACATTTCAATAGTAGTTGACGTGGGTTTGAAGTCATTGACATTTCGACTACCCGATGGCTTTTCACTCCATGATGCAATTGCCTACCTATCACCAGCGACTCTGAATGATAAGACCTACAAAGCGTTCGGCAAGGTCTACGGCTGGCTCTTCAAAATGCAGGTGAAGGCATTTACGTACGACTCGGACGCGCAGGTGACCAGCATATTGGGTCGCTTTCCGCAGTCATTCAAGCTCTTCAAAGGCAAGTTTGTGATGACTTCAGCATCCTACAATGCCAGTTTCCTAGGAGCACATAACTTCTCGTACATGGTGACTGGTCAAATGAAGCTCTTCAACAAGCCGTTTAATGCCAGTATTGGATATAATTCAAGAAAGGGAGCATTGATATTTCAATTGTCATCATCAAAGGACTTCAAGCTTTCAGACATTGGATCGTTCAAAGTCAATTCACATAACAAATTCATTCGGAACCTTCATTTGGACAAAATTGGAGTTCAGAAACCCAAGGTGCAAATCATGAGAATGCGAGACGGCTTTGGATTTCGGTAGGTGACCTAGATTTTCTAACACAGATTTTGTATTGTATTGTTCATTTGCGAATTCTCCACAGGTAAATGGATATGTGTCTTGGGAGTCCCTCCAAACCGATAGATGAATGAAAATAAGATTTACGTAGGGAGTGGATAAAAGTCTAATAAAAACGTGTGTGTGCGCGCGTTAAGTGGGTGATTCATTGGCCAGAAAAAAGCCACTTCAACCAGCCGTGTGGTGTAGACCAGGCTAACAATTAGTGGCGGTCAATTCATCAGCCTTGCAAGCTTTTGAATGGTGTAATCCCAGCACAAGTTGCTGTGTCTAACATAGCTGGTTTGCTATCATCGCTTCAGCAATGGGCAGGAGCATGGGTTTGAGTGGTTGATTCAAAGATCACAATGGATTATTCAGGGATGGGACTATTGCATTACTTCGTTTTTTATAGTGTATGGCGAGAACTGTAGATACCTTTATGCACTGTATGCACTGTATGCACTGTATGCACTAAATACACACCTTGGCTAGTGTCGACTACCCGAGAGTCAAGACTGCAGAAAGACACACCCGGTGATTATCAATGATAATAATTTTCTTTAGGACTGCTTGGACATTCGCAGGAGACCAGTGCCATATCAGCCTGCTAACATGCTACAATGTATTTGTTTTGGAGGATACAAGCGACATTGAATGAACACGTGAATGGACGGATGGGATCCTATAATTATTATTTACATTATTACTGTAAATATACAAAATTTCGGCGCTGCAAAATTTCGGCACTTCAACGATTTTTGACATTTCGGCGGCGATTTATTTTCGGCGTGGGGTAGAGGGCATGTATAGTGCGACAGATTCTGTGAAAAATTTCATCGGCGTGTTAATTTAGGCGTTTTGGGTCGGTGCCGAATATAGCCGAAATTAAATAGCTGCCGAAAATTCCTGATGATGGTCATAAAGACCGAAACGTTGTAACGATACCAATGGATTTTTGTGAAATGCAGTGCTCTCTTGAGTGTAGGCAGGTTGCCTGCAAACGATTCAAGGAAAATTTGTATATTTACAGTATGGAGAATGTGTGAGAAATACTTTACTGAAATCGTTCATTAAAATTCAATTTGTTGTTCAAACCGCTCTTTTGTACTGCCACAGGATCAGTGGCAAGCCGACACTGCCCTTGTTTGGCACATTCGCATTCGAGGTGATCACAGTGCCCAATCCAATGCGGTACCTGATTACCTTCAGCAAGCAACACACGTCGGTGACAAAGATCATCAAAGATTTGACAAGCTTCGACCTGAGCAAAGTGTTCTTTCTCCACTTCCTCTCTGGACCGGCTTCCATTGGAGTATCCTACACAAATATCAAGAGGGGAGAGAAACTTCCTTTCAAGGTAAATTCCTATCCATTGCATGATGTGAAGGTTATACCCGAAGGCCTCTCACTGACATTTGAGTACAAGTTGCCCAAGTGTGGCAGTGATTTGCTGTGCAAGTTCATTCATGCCATCATTGGTGACAAGGAGGTTGAATTTGAATTGGAGAACATCGGACACGAGCCAGAGTTCAAGATCCAAGCACCGATCGCGCAAGAAATTAAACTCGGTGGGTTGAAGATATATGATGTACGCGTCGGCGCTATGATCAGTGAAGGGCCACCAATGTTCGGCTTGACGCATGCCGAAATGGATATCAATATTGGAAAAGGAGAAAAACTTCACTTTGAAGGTGACCTGGAGATCGATGCCGCCATGGACGCGGAGCTGGACTTCAAAATGGTTGGCATGTGGAGAAAGGCTTTTGGTTTACCTTTCCTGGCGATTGGCAATATTGTAGCTGGTGCACGGATCAACATCAACTGTCCTGAATGCGTGACCAAGCTAGAATTGGGTGGTGAGATTTGGCTTGGCTACAAGTGCAACATCAATGATAACAAGACGAAGTGTATCATGGGACGAGGGTACTTTGGCATTGACGAGGAAAGGCCCGACGACAACTATTTCTTCTTCAGCATCAACCAGTTCAGCATGAGTAAGGTGCTAATTGCACTGGGTGCCAAGCCATCGCCCATTCTCAAAATCCTTGACGTCTGGTCAGTCAAGGATATACTTTTCAGCTACAGCGTCCTGGAGAGAGACGTACCGCACGGGAACACCACACAGCATGTGCCTGGTGGGCTGGTCATGAAGGGCAAGATAACGCTGTACTGGTTTCTATCGGTGCACATCGATCTTCGCATTACGGCCTTCCATGGAGTTCCCACGGGCATGGTGGGTAAAATCTGGGCTGACCCGGTGAAAATTGGCAAAGTGCTTCGCTTGACTTCGGCAGAAGATGACAAGAAGGGACCATTCATCAGTGCCAAGTTTGGAGTTATCCCCCTGGGGTTTGGAGCAAAAATCAGTGCCAAACTCTCCATTCCCATATTCAAGATCACCGTGAAAGTCAGCGGCTCAATATCGCTGAAAGGCATCGAATTCAACTTCTCCGCTAATATTCTCTTCTTCAAAGTCAATGTTGAGCTCTCTGCAGGATTCAAGGATAACAAGCATCCTGGAAAACTGTCGGGATTTCGCTTCAAGGGTGTGTTCGACCTCAGCAGCTTGAACGACTTTCTTGCCAAAGTGAAGCACGTCATATCAGTCTGCAAGAAAAAGGCCGATGCTGCATTCAAGAAGGCTCTGGCAGCTGTTGATGCTGCAAGCAAGAAACTCCAAGGCTTTATTGCGAATAAGAAATTGGCGGCAAAAGTGAAAGAGAAGCGCAACGCTGCATTCAACAAGGCCAAACAGGGTGTGCGCAAAGCCCAGCAGACAATTGAACATCTGTGCTCAGTCAAGAAATGCGCAAAGTGGTGCGGTATACCGAAACCTTGCTTCAAGAAACACTGTGGATGTCTTCACTACCCTTGTGGCTGGCTCAAATTCTGCTGCAAGAAGATCTGCGTCCCCTTACCTGGATTCTGCGGCAAGATGTGTGTTCCGAAAAATCCGGCCTGTTTGCTGAAAGCAGCCGCTTGCCTGCCTCTTCGCCTGGCCGCCTTTGCAGCGAAGAAAGTTGCCATCGGAGTGTTGAATGTGGCACAGAAAGCATTGAATGTGGCGCAGAAGATATACATGGCCGCTGCAACAGCGTTTGCCAAGTACAACCCTGTGTTCCTGATTGCCAAGGGTATACTACACCTTGCAAAGCTGGCAGTAGACGGTATTGCTAACATCATTATCCACTTCCCGCTGCAGATTAACAAAATTTGGTTCGATCTCCAGCTGGGAACAGCAAACGGATCCTTCCTGGAAGTCGGCTCAGAAATCGTCTTCTCTGGCAAAAAGCGCACACTCAACTTCCGCATCAATCTGAAGAACATCTGGGCAACAATCTGGAGCTTGGCAAAGAGCTTGTTCAAGTCAGTGTTCGGATGGCTGAGAAAGCTGAAAATCAAAATCTAATTTCCAAACTCTTGTATGTAATAGGGCATTGTGACTTTTGTCCCAACACTCTGGAACTGGCTCTAGCATAGGCCCTTACATGTTTCCGCAGGACAGAATGAATAGCACGTCTTTCACTTGAAAACAAGTATGTACATACATACATGTATATGCCGTAATTGCTTCAAACGCATGTCGCTTACACTGATGACTTTCCAATGTCATAACATATTTTACCTCGAGGAACACGAGTTGTTCTCATACATGCACGCTCTGCCTACGTTAATATGACCAACGGGTTGCAAAGATCATTCACGAAACACTCTGCCACATTCCTCGAAGTCAGATAGCCATGCTCACAACCTTAAGCAGCAGAATTAGGATTATTTGTCCCCTGTGCCTCGTCACAAACGTTGTTCACAATTTGCACTTACACTCCTGTGCAGAGTGTATTCACACAAGAGCAGTATTGGATGCCTTAAGGCCCATGGCAGCTGCGATGATTATTGTCATTAATTTTACTCTCAGTCCACACGCAGACCTATGTGATCACAGGACCAACAACATCCAGACAGAATCCCCTAGGCCTTGGTCAAGTTGCTGCAGTTCTACCCTGAGAGTTTCAACCTCAATAAAAGTTGTGCATCTTCCGAGTGCACAGAGTAGCAGTGTGTGTGGTGCTTGGACCGTGTAGCGTTCTGCGGTATTTTATTCACGAGGTCGGATTACTCTCTTGGCAGTTTTGAAGGAAGCATACAGACGATGTGAGAGCTTGCTCGCTGGACGTACACCAGGACATGCACCCAACCTCCCCCCCCCCCCCACACACACACTCTTAGCACACAGCCAAGTCGCATCATGTATCCAAGCATGCCGAGAAGATGTACGACATTTTCCACGATTTGCGTGAAAATTAGTCTGACTCATCTTTCCACATTCGTCAGATTTCCAATGACCTCGAAGGTCAAGGGAAATATGCAACTCCTGAAGCACTGAGACTGAGTCGATCAGACACACCAAACGGTTCAAGACCAAAACTCCTAACATCTACATCCATATTACCCTCATGGATGCAGCAGAGAATCATTTTCAATCGCGAAGTAAACGGATAAATAATATGAAAGGAAATGATTCAAGACAACATTAAATTTAGGCTAAAGTCAACAAAAGTAGAAAGTGAATTGAAAACAGAGGATGAAATGGTCCAGGAAACGCACAGGTTCGGACCCAGTAGATACAGTACAGGTGCTGTGAAAGTACGGTACACTGATGGCCTGGAGCTTAGTACAATATGGCTTCTGCGGTTGTGTCACTTTCCACAACTATGGGAGCAGGTTCTTGGCACTCAGATGGATTGTTGTCCTCCATGCGCTTCAGCCTTCGCACACGTGCATAGAGGTACAACTCACTCAGTCCGGAGAGAAGGAGAACTCAACCGCCAATAGCTGCGGGCAGTGCGTAGCTCCCACTGATATCGTATAGCCAGCCTACAGTGTATCACATCAACACACATACACACACACACACGCACACACACATTATATAATTATAATACCCAATGCCGTAGACAGCAAGCCGTTTGGGCCACATAAGCCTCATCAGTACAGCTAAGAGTTTCATAAAAGCAAGCCGAGCTACCAGCCATGGTGCAAAGGACCTCTAGCGCCAGAGTGCTCAAACTATGAAAAAGGAACGTAAAAGTCCGTAAATAAGTACGTACTTACTCTCGAATTTAGTGGTCACACTAACTTTCGGGCATGTTTTCTTTCTTTTTCTTTTTACCAGGCGTGGGCCATCCCCTGAATTCATAGGTGCCAACTCTAAAAAAAAATGTACTGACTTTCGGGCACGAACTAACTTTCAGATCCGACTTGTGTGTAGTGAAGAAGTCATTTTCATGTAGATATACGTACTATGTGCTGCATGTGCGCGCCATACCAATACTTGTTTCGAATAGTATGTTTATTGGGCTTGACTTGACTTCAACAGACAGAGTCAAAAGAATGAAGGAGGTGTTTATCTCGGGAAGGTACTTATTTACGGACTTTTTCGGTAGTGGGCAGTGCGTAATGGAGCAGCACTAGAGCAGCCTACCGAGAGTGCTCAACAAGACAAATCTCGAGAGGCGTAATACCCAATGCTGTAGACAGCAAGCTGTTTCAACCATATACTATAATAGGTGAAGTATTTTCTTCAGACTTCTCCCGTTTGTGTCTTTCCCTCAAACCAGTGAATATAATTATTATAATATCATTATACACACACACACACACACAACACACACACACGCACACACGCACACAAAACACACACACACACACACACACACATTTCAATCCACAGGAAGACCGATACGTTTGTATGTACAGATTTGGTATCACAATTCAACATCTGATGACCATCCAACAAGTCTTTAGGCCTCAAGCGAAGACCCCTGGTTCGAGTCGTGGTCATTTTCTCTTCGGACTTTTACCGTTCGCATCTTTCCCTCAAACCAATGAATACTAGTATACATACTCAATAATCATGTCTCACCTGCTGCAGGGGGACCACGTATTATCGAAACGCACCCAGGGACAATCAGCTGACCGACTGCATGTGGTACTTGATGGCTTTTGACGATCTCCAGCAGAACAGGACCGCCGAGAGCACCAACGTCGCTGATCAGGAAGCTGTAGAACGTGTTGAAGTAGCGGAAGCCGTTCACCGTCTTCACCAAGGCACTGAAACCGCAACAGAGGCCGGAAAGGGTCATAAGTACACTCTGTGTTAGAATAGCTGACACTGCCAAGTACTCCACAATTATACCCATTGCTAGGCCACCACCGAACCAACCGGCTCCTACTAGCATAACCTGCAGCTAGCTTTCATGGCTGCTACTTCCAATGTTTTGGGAACGATGTTTCTACAAGAGTATCACAGAAAAATACAGAACACACAACAGTATTAAAAAGTCTAAGGAGATTGCCTTTGGCAATATCATGTAACGATGCTACTTACCGCTGTCACAATCGGGAAAAAGAAAACAAGGGACAAGAAGAAGTAGATAATGGAGATTATAGTGAAGTTCAAGTTGCGGTACAGCAATAAACCACGGACAAACGACAACCTGGCTTGTTCCGCATAATGTCTCAGTGTGCTACATGCACCAGCTACTTTGGATACTGCATCTCCCGGTGCATTCGAGTTTGTCTCTTCCTCTTTGGAACTACTGGATACGGGGCCAGTGCTTGACTGACTTGTTCTGGTTCGTTTGTATGCATCCGATGGTAGCTTTCCAGGTAATATGGAGACTGTGAGCATTGTAGCTATGCTGGTGAAACCCAGCACACTATAGTACCACTGCCAGCCACCATACTGGATAGCTGACCGACCAGCCAGCGCAATGATGATGGCACCAAGTCCACACGTGCCAAACGCCAGTGCCATTAACAGCAGCTTGTGGCCGGAGAAAGCAATGTCGATAATAGTAGTTGGCAGTGGAAACATTACGCCACCTCCGATTCCGGATATCAAGCCACGTGTGTATACAGTATATACAACTCATTGGCAAATGAGCTGCCAAAGCTTCCCAAGCAGAATATCAACAAACCCAGGATAGCTGATTTCCGCCCTCCTAGCACTTCAAACAAGATCCCAGTTGGTCACGACGTGGCGAGACGCGATGCAGAATGGATGGAAGCCACCTATGCTAGAGATGAGAACCAACACCCACACCCACACATATGCGTGCACACACATGCGTGCGCGCACACACACACACAGACGCAGACACATACACACATACATACATGCACGTATATAGACACAGACACACACATACTGTACTGTACTTGCTCACTGCTAAAATCACGTGGGTCTCCCCGGGAGAGGGGAGAGAGACTTAAAAGGAATCTTGGAAAGATGCCTCAATTGGCTATTGAACCGCCCAGCGGCCGACACCCCCTGAAATCCCCAAACTCTAGGGTGGACTTGAAAATGATCCCACTTATGAGCTCACCACATCTAAGAAAGTACACACACACACACACACACACCTTGACCTTTGACGCCTCATCTCCAGTGGAGATGACAGGCTACTGAGTTGGGCAGTACCTGATGTGACGCTTTAAATCGCCACTTCTCCTAAACGCTCTGCCGCATGCGCAGTGAAAGTCCTTCGGTGCCGGGGGAGGAAGACGATGTTCATAGACCTGCCTGCGCCATTCCGAGCGATCTTGCGCGAGCCGATACCACTCGGACTCCGGAATATCCAGTGAGCGCAGATCACCGACAATCGTGTCTCGCCAAAGCTTCTTTGGCCCATGCCGTGGTCTGGTTGCCTCGAGCTCCCCAAACAACACTTTTTGAGGAATCCGGGCCGCGTCCATACGGGCAACATGATCCAGCCAACGCAGACGGTACTCACGCAGGAGAGTGCCAATGTCTTCAGGAAGACGCGCTCTCTGGGCTAGATCAGCAGTAGTAAGATGGCGGGAGTGCTGATCGCTCCTTGAGAGTCCCAAGACGGTACGGACGCATGAGCGATGAAACAGATTCAGGCGATTCATCTGTCGGGCCTTCATGGGCCAAGTCTCTGCTCCATAGAAGAGGGTAGGGAGGACAATGGCCTTGTAGACAAGACGCTTAGACTTGATGGATAGGCCGCTACACCCGAAGATTGGCTTTTGGAGAGCGCCAAAAGCACGAGAGGCCTTGGCAAGGCGGGAGGTGAGCTCCTTGTCCAGAGCACCGTCTGCACTCAGGACACTGCCAAGATAGGTAAAGCTGTCCACAACCTCCAAGCTTCCTCCATCCTGAAGATCAATGGAAGGTGGCGGGTAAGAGCAGTTCACACACACACACACACACACACACACACACACACACACACACACACACACACACACACACACACACACACACACACACAGGAACAGGAACAGAATTGTTTTAGAGATCCATAAAAGAGGCTATGGCTCGAAGAGCACAAGCTCTACAGAATTAGACGGCATAGCTTTTTCTTGGAACATTTCAGGCTACATTCCTTGCACCTTTTCACGGCGTTCTAACTTTTGAACAGTTCATTCTTGTACAGTATGACTGTATGTATCTGTTTTAGCGTGAGTGTTTGAAAAACGACTTTCTATTCCTATTTCCGATATTTCTTGCACACAATAAATCAAGTGCGACATATCATATGCATGTGTGCATAGGCAGGAAGATCATCGTACATGCAACGTAGTGCTACTGTGCTACGGCTGGTCATAGTCCCATAGGCTTACCATGTGGCGATGCAACATGAGCTACATGACCACAACAGTTGCACTTGCAGCACTACGGCGCACCAAGAGTCGGATCAGAACTGCGTCAGACAGATTTTATTGCTACAGGAAATACGCTTTGTACTAGTCGGGCATGTTTTGCTATCCAAAGTCCATTCTTAGGACCGATATATTCTACTATGCGATAACATTGCTTGTAAGAATAAAATGTTCACTTTAAACCCAGATTATGATTATGAAAATTCCATTCTTGTAGGCAGTATAGTCTTTTACATGACTACATTAGAACCGATACCCACCGTATACTTCTAAGGGGTGGGGGTGGGGCACAAATATAGGATTTTGGTACCCGGACGTACCAACGTACACTGCGTATCGGTTATAGT